CACTCCACCAAACAGGGCGACATGATTCCACAAGGTAGTACGTAGTTCATTATGGGTACGAAACTACACGAGTTGTCATCAATGTCGACTCCTAATTTTCTGTTCGTATTATTTCTTACGCGGAACGAGATTTTTTTTCCTCTTCTCTTTTCTTTTCTCTTCAGAAATTCGCCAGGTCAGCGTCCGGCAATCGTCATTTTATTAATCTCGGCACGCCAGTAAATTTTCCGATCCCTGGCAAATGGGGTCCTTGCAAGTGCTGAAATCGAACCAAACCCCATACCTACCAGGGTCTGGTGGGTGCCCAGGTGGTGCCATCCTCTTACTACGAGAAGTTTCCCAGTGCGAACTCACGTACGTTATCTATTGTACATATTTGCCTTCACGAGAACTGTCTGCGCCCCGATGGGTTTTATAAGGAATCAATTGGTGTGGCAGAAACTTGAGGCATAACAGAGCATCAGGCTTGCCAGGGGATTGGGAAGGATTCTGGCATTCTCAAAAATTAGTTAAGGATGCACATCCTGCTGCTGGCGTTTCGTTGTAGGCTGGTAGGAAGTATTCGTAAGATCCCTTAAATGCAAGTCACAACACCCCGTCAACCTAACACCAACTCATTCCGTCGCATCCTATTTCTTTCCATTCCAAATCATCAATCCTCTCCAGCTTCCTCTAATCGTATCCTACTGCTGTAAAGAAAGAAAAGAAAGCAATTTTTGCCAGGGGATTTCTCGAAGCGAGAATATTGCACGTGTTTCTGCCCCTGCTGCTTTCGGTGGGCTCGTGCCGAATGTAATATATCTTGTACCTCTCTGCCGGTAAAATAGTACATGGCTGGCCCTAGGTCAATTGAGGTGGCCCAGGTACATTATGTAGCGCCCCAGTTCCGCGGGAGCAGTTGGTGGAATTCCGCTAAGGTGTCGCTACCACGGAGGGGAAAACGATCCAATGAGACAACCCACGTCGGTCCATTGCGAATTGCCCAATTAACCACATGCATTTGCTGAGATCAAGTGGTACATTGAGCCTGGAAGTCGCTGGCATGAACCTGGTCTTATAGACGGGGATAATGATGATATATGACTACTCAATTCCAACCGCCAATTGGTGTCTTTTTCTTTTTCTGTCCTTTTTGTTAATTCGCTCATCCATCTCAAAACTGCCCAGGCAACAAACGTGGTTATGGCCTTGTTACCTAGCGAAAGCGAGCAGCAGCATGTTCTCTGATATGCTAGGGAGGTCGTCCGAAATCCCCACCCACGGATATTATCAACTTGAGATCTACTCCGTGTTGATCAACGTCTCCTCCCTCCCTCCCTTCCGCGCAGACTGCTTGCTACTGATGACTGACAGTCTCCAACAAGTCCAGTCCAGCCCAGCTCTGGAACGACCTTTGGAGGGGCTCCTTTGCAGATCCCTTGAGCCCCTCCCTCCTCAGGGAGCCTGACTGGCTGCCAAGAGCTTTTCGTCCATTGGTCCATTGGCAAATTGATCTTTGGCAGGGTCATGCCATGTTTGAGATACAAGGTAATCAAGGCAAGGCAGGCAAACAGCATCAGTATCAGCATCAAGATCTACCCACTGGCTGTTGCTCAACACCATTCAACTCTCAACAAACTCAGCTTACAACATTCGCCAGTCGCTGATCCCAAGACTGGGCGGGATGCTCGGCTCCTCAACGTGCGACAAGCAACACTCAGATCCATCGTGTAACCTGCGAGAGCCTTTTGCCTTCGGCGACCGCGGTCCACATACTGTGATTGAATCATGCCAGGTCGGGCATCAACAATTCCAAGCTGCTCGAACTTTGCCCATGTCATAAAATGCTATTAGGAAAAAAAAAAAAANAAAAAAAACCATGAACCCTTGTTGGCGAATAATGCGCCCAATTCCAGCTCTTTTTTTTTTAACCCTCGTGCGCGAGATTTTTACACTTCCAAAAAATCTGGACCTGGTTTGGTTTCATCGTGTTCTGGGTGTCGTTCCGAGCAAAATGAAACAAAGACATCTCAAGCGTGGTCTCCGAAACCTGCCCGGGGCCCCCGGGCTCATTCAACCATGGCAAAGGCACATGCAGCAAGCATCCAAATCTCGGACGATGCTACGTACCTGGATCTCTCTGCAACTTTGAGGTACCTATTGCCTACCCACTGGGCTACCTTGCCTGACTGCTCTCACTCAGGCTCTTCCTCGATGCGATTGTCTGTCTCTCTTCTTCCGCTTTCTCGTGGCCGATGCATATGCACTCCACTCTGAACTGGTGGCCTGCACTCTCTTTTTTGCTCCCCCACATGTGCACATACATGGTACATGGCGCCCCTACAGACTGTTCGGCGCGACGTCCGGACCTGGTAACATGTCCAGGAAACGCTTCTTGTTCAAGGCTACCTTCGCGTCTGTGTGTCGCTCTCACTTGTTCATTCCTAGGGAAACACTTTGGCCAGATCCCACCAGATCCTCCTAGCTCCTACCAGTGTACAAAACTTCGTGTGTCCAATCGATTACTCGCAGCAGAGGATGAAAAAGAGGGCAAATGCTACCGTTGGCTGAGTAAGTCCAAGTCTTTATTGCCTGCTCTGAAATGCGAACGTACCAGCCCCGAGTCGTTTGCTGACTTTAACCGCATCTAAAATGCGACTCGTCAATGTATCACCACCCCATTTACCCATCCATCGTCGCTGCACCCTTCTCCTGTAGGATACCTATACAAATGAACGTGCCAAGGAACACACCCATGTGTAACTCTAGATAACGCACCCTACATGTAGTACAGACATGGTCTGTGTGAAAGCTATGCTATGACGATGCTGGAAGGTGGATTCCCATCTATCTGCAATGTTGTGTAAGGTAGCGGGCGCACAGGGGGAGAGATTCGAAGATTTTTTTTTTTTTTCAAAACGTCATGGCTACCTCCTTTGCAGATACCACCTACATACATGCGTTCCTCTGTTTCTTTCCCGGACGGCCCTTCTCCTGCACCTCGACTACCGACAGCTGTGACGCACATCTTTTATATTCCCGGCCGGAAAGACAAAGTCTGTCGTGCTGTCTGTGTCTATGTGACTGACACTGACGGTTACGGCGGTAACCTGTTCATAAACCATTTTTCTCTCACCGCATCTTATAACCTATGAACCTTTTTTTTTTAAGCTTCCTCGCCTATCTGTAATTCGCGCGATTGATCATAACCACATTTGTTATGATTATCTACTGTACTTGCCGGGAACCGAACACGGCAGCTTTTCACCGCATTCTTGGTTGTATCGAAGCAATACGGACAGGCCTCACCGACTCAAGATGTAGAGAAAAGAGAGACAAGAAAATGTTGAGCTCGTATTAATGAACAGTCTGTGGGTGACATGTTGGTCAATGTGCGGGCACCTCGAGAGAGAGCGTGCGACTATGTGTGCAAGCTGTACACTGCGACTGGGTGGGTGGACATGTTGCCACACACACACTCACACACACACACACACACCTATCTCTACAACGGCCCCGTCCGCTCTTTTTGTCCGAGCGGCATCTGAGGGTTTTCTGGAAGGGTACCCTCCTCTTTCGCTGCAAAGATCGACGAAAGGGTATGAAGATTGGGTTGGTGTTTTGGCAATTCTGAACCATAGAAAGATATAACCCCCTCCCCCACCCAAAACAGCCAATAAAGTAAGCACACGATGAAATATCTCGGCCGATGACGAGGTCAAAGGTAAAAATTCAAGATAGCCGCCGTTTTCGCGGCTCGCGCACGGCTGCTCGCTTAAACACATATAATGCACCCGCCTCCGCCTCCGTTGTCATTGCGCGCCGGTCAAAGTAGACAGATAGGTTAGACAGAAGAGGCATGTGATGTGCTTGCCACGTTTTTTTCTTCTTCTTGTGCCTCCCACCACGTGCAATGATGCATCCTTTCATCAAGTCGTTCGCTACAAACTGTCATCGCCTGTGCCTGGAGAGCTCCATGAGGCAGGTCGACTGTGTCCCTTTTTTTTTTTTGTCCCTCCAGCGCAGTGGTCAAGAGGGCTCGGCCATCAGGATACACATGTCCTTCTCCGTCTCGGACTTCTTTAGCGAATGCGCCGGTCAGTATTGCCTTGCGATTGTGAGCACAGATACTGTTGATGCGTGGTATACTTCCGTGTTCCTAGGAGGTCATGGTCTGGAAGTGTCGGCAAGGTGGATATAATACGACTAAATCATTGAGAATAGAAATTCTTGTAGTTTACCCGGTAGGCTTGTAAGCAGCCGTGTTGCGCATGGTACTTTACGATCTTGAAGTTTTATTTTATATTCATGTCTATACAAGAAATAATCTTTACCTCGAGAGAATAGTTCTATGCTTCCAACTCATTGCGACGTGAAGGATTTTGGGAGTATTACGAATTTTCTAACGTCATGTAACAGTGCTTGATGAACAAACATAAAATTGTCAGTCTAGCATGCCTCCTGATCAAAATATACAATGTCTCTGTGATACCATTGTATGTACGAGTCTCGATGACTTGTGACCCAGAGACTTTGTTAGCGTTTCGGGGTTTCGACGACCAGCAGGAAGAATCGTCGACTGAGTCGCCGGAGTCGTCCTTATCGTTCACTTGAAGCTCTTCAAATACATTTGAATCGAAGCCCGTTGATTGGAGAACCATCTCAACTCATGCCGGTATAACGCCTTGTTATAAAGACGTGATAATCATCCATTCTTTTGGGGTGTCTTCTATAACGTATCAATTTTTCGTTTATGTGCAAAGTCAAGCTAGAAATCACGACATCATCAGCGCACTCCTAATTACCAACAATATGTTCCTAGACAATGATTTTGAACGTCTGTAGTTGTGGCCTGACATAGAGGTAAGGTGGAAGCGAACCGGTTGTAGTGCGGCTTAGCGAGCCGTAGGCAGATTCCGATGATCTAAACGCGTGCCAGAGACATTAAGACAGTGCTCGCTTGGGTAGTCAAAGCTCCCAGCTATCCCACTCCAACCCGTCGCGCCGCGAGTTCTTCGAAAATGAGCGGCTACACACGCAACGAAGTGATTGAGGCTGTGCGCTCCTTCTATACTTTCCTGGCGGGCCTCCCGCGCCTATCGGCTGACGACATCTTGGATCCGCCGGAACAGGGATGGCCTGATCTGACAGACGCGTATCTGGCTGCTCTGGGGAAGACACCGGTCGTGTGCGATCTCCTACGACACCTCCCGTACATTCGTCCCAACGGGCAAAACAATCAGCAGATTGCACCGTGGACGACAGCTACGAATTACACCGACTCCACTACTCGATGGACGCTAAACAGAGGCCTCATCGATGGCAATCTGGCTCCAATCGGCGCCGGGGATGTACCGCCACACGTGGCCGTCTTGACGTCTGGGAGTCGATACGGCAGCTGGCTTCTGCTGGACACCGAGACAGGCAAGTGACTGAATAGAGGGAGTGCTGACAACCCGTGGGTGTGTCGACACAAACGGTGTCGTCGTACTGGTTAGAGGGGCCCTAACCATTCTCCTGCTTTACTAGGCGCGATCACGGATTTCATCCAACAGGAGCGCCCTGAGCGGTCTGAGCCGGCGCAAGACAGCCCAGACGCGTGGCGCGCCTACCACACCAGGCCAGCAGAGGAGTTTTTCGAAGAGTGGAAGGACAAGTACCGCACGTTGGAGTGGGCACCCTTGATCGAGAACGCCGACGATGGCGTTGTAATTAGCTACGATGCTGGTTCCGAGGTAAGCTCAGTAATTGACACCGTGTTCCAGCATAATGAGAATCTTATTATCTCGTCTTCGTGTTGTATGTGGACCCTTCAGCTAATTCTGTTGGTCTAGGAGGTTCGCCAGATATACCGTGATCACGGCTGGCCGGATAGATTCGATCGCGCAGCATGTGCCGATGCGATTCGGCGGTGGGAAGGGAACACCTCAAACTATGAGCTGTAAGGCCGAGTCTTTCTATAGCATTTAAAAATCAAGATGATGCTACTGGCCAAGGTGCCTCGATACATGATTCTGCAAATAATTAGAAAACAGCTGAGACTCTAAACGTAGGAATTCACTTTGGCCAAGTCCTGATCCAGCTTGACGTTTAATCATATTTCAATGTAATTTTGTTCAGAAACTTAAAAGTATTTAATCAAAGGAGTCTGGTACGCATGTACTACTAGTAGTTTAAGCCAAAACGTCGCGGTTCGTTGACACCTGAGCTGGCGTGGTTTGTTATAAGCAGGAGAGACATATGATGGGGGAACTGGGAATGTAGAAAGTGGATAAGATAGCGATACCTCACTACTCATCCACCAAGATCATGGTCAAATGGAAGCTTGAAGCAAAAGTGAGGTGCTTACGTATCAAAGCAAAAGGGGCTGGTTGAAACAAGGCAGTGGCAGCCGAATGTGGAGACCTCAACGTCGCTCAACTGATTGAGACGGACTTCGATTCTGTCTTTCTCTCACAAATGCTATTCCGAGCGTGGGTCTTTGGGTTTCCCATCTGATAATGAATAAAAGATTGTCGGAAATATTTACCCATTAAAACTATATCCCGAGTGCTGAAGCTCAATTCGGGTAAAGCCGTTCTAAGACATAAGACATTGGCCTAGGTTTGATCCAATCAACTTGGATTGCTTTCCCCCCTCCCCCATGCTGTATAATAAGCAATGATTCTTGGCTCGATGTTCCAAAAACGATTGTTTCAGCACCAAATGACCGTTCAATGTAACTCGTACTGGCTACTGCCGGTCCAGTCAATTGTGTTCAGCCGCACAGCCTCCTGACAAATTCTGACATCCTGTTGTGTCTCGCTGTTCCTTAAAGACCTCTCATCCATGGTGTGCAAGTATTTGAGATTTCATCATAGTCACGAAAAGGCATACAGCCGGGTTTTCACAAGAAACATTAGACGATTCTTGCTGAAGCTCTACGTTTCGTGCTCTTATTAAGACAACCTTTTCGATTAAGGCCATCTGTGATGTCGCCTTCAGCTATTTGCCATCTCCTCCTTCTCGGTCTACTTTCTGTCGCCGCCTGAGACGGATGCAATCTCTGGCACCTTGAAATTGCGAGACAGTCGAATTCGATAAAAGCTCACAGTTATTTTGAACCATGTCATTCCAGTATGAACCACTCGACCCGTCGCGTCGTGAGATTCGACTCTTAACTTTGCTACCGTCTTGGGACGGCAAGATCAATGGGCGATTACATGTTGTTTCTCTCGACCTCGAGCAGCAGCCAGAGTTCCTTGCACTCTCGTATGTATGGGGCCACGAAGATGAGCCCGAACCGATCACCATCAATGGTGCGGGCTTCAAGGTGAAAAAGAACTTAAAGGCCGCGTTGCTTCGACTGCAAAAATCCGAACCACAATTGATATGGATTGATGCTATATGCATTGATCAGGGAAATGATCCTGAAAGCATCCGAGAGAAAAACTTTCAGATCCCATTGATGCGGGATATCTACACGCAAGCGTCACGGGTTATCGCCTGGCTTGGTGAGGGGAACGACAAGATTGAAGCTCTATTCCGATGGGTTCACCACGCGCGCCCCGAGGCGAACAAGCAGATCAAGTTCGAGTCCATCTCACCTGAGGTCGCCCCTCCATTATCCTCGGATCGCACTCGAACTTCATGCCAAGATGCAGAGACCAGCATCGAGGAGCAACGAAAGCTAGACATTGACGACAAGAACATATCCAAAAGAGATCTCACCAGCAATAAAGATTCACGTATAGATGACCTATCCCGTCTCACAGAAGGCGGGAAGGCGTATCTTGGATTCCTAGACTTCCTCCTGTTGCCATATTGGCAGCGAATGTGGACTTTTCAAGAGATCTCGCTGCCAAAGAGCGATCCTATTTGTGTCTACGGTACCCATACGGCCAATCTCTCTGTATTTCTTGACACAAGCAAAGATAGTCCAGTGCCATACAAATACCGACGTCATATACCCAAAGCTGAACTGGTAGATCTGGAACCTGCCAGATATGGTGTGAGTGAAACTGAATCCATAAGATTCACTCTGACAGCAGGGAAAATTAGGGTCATTCTCGACGGCATTCTGATAGCACGCCATAAAAATATGCGTGGTGATGGCGGTCTAGAATTGCCGGCGTTGATCAAGGCCACGATCGGACGCAAGTGTCATGATCCTCGAGATCGAATATACGCATTATTAGGGCTCGATTCGAGGCGAAGTCTTTTCCATTGTAATGTCGACTATGGTAAAGACATCTTGGTTGAGGAAGTTTTGACCCAGGCAGGCATTTCGAGTGTGGAATTTGAAGATCCTGAAGGAGCCTGGTTGTTTCATTTTTTTGGTATGAGGCCAACCCGGTTCTCTGACAATTTGTCATTGCCATCCTGGATCCCGGATTTCGACTCACATTGCCCTATCTCGAGTTTGATCAAACCGGCGGCAAAAAGCCTGCTACAAAGGTCAGCTCACGACGACACCATGCCTGCCACACACCAACGCGACTGCGTCGTGGTGGTGGGGCAGCCTGGCGTTGGTGTCGTGGTCGCTGGAGAGCCAAAGCACAGCACGATCCCAGCGAGCCTCCATCAACTTGCGACATTCAATTCTTCTTTGGAACAGAAAAGTTCCGGTGCCGATGCTCTCGGACCAGATGGTTCAGAAGAATGGCAGACTATGAAGCTTCCGGCTTCCAAGTCCAACGGGCCATATGGGAAAGGTGAAGAGTGTGAGTATGTAGATGCACACGTCAAAAAGGATCCTACCCGGCCGCGTCTGCGATACCTGTCAGGTAACCTGCCCTCGTTGCGCATGACTGCTCGCAAGCTTGGCCAGTGCCAGTCTCCGCGGAGCTTCGCGGAGGATTACTATTACAATGCTGAGCACGTCATGGAAATGATCCACACGCAGAAAAACCCTAGATCATGGAACCTACTGCTGGAGACGATGGACGCAGTGCCTGCATTAAATTCATCCGCCAGAATACCCAGAGACATATTTGCCGGGCTGCAAACGGAAGCGGCTTTCGAATTTGCGAAAGGCGAAATTGAAAGAGGGTTTCAAGACACAACTGCTTTCTTGAAAGGTTTGTTCGAGTCTATACAGGACAGCTGGGATGCTCAAACACAAACAAAGGAAGAAACACTGAAATACTACCTCAGAGTCTTTATCGGGTTCTGCGCTTTCGGTTTGAGTGGCAGGAGTGTTTTTAAAGTGCTTTTTCAGGAAGAAATGTATTTCAGCTTCGTAGGTGAGCCTGTCGAGGAGGGTGATGTTGTTATCATGCCTTTGGCTCCCTACTTTCACCCAATCGTTCTTCGAGAGGAAAAACGCACTGGTGGCATTTCTGCAGACGATGGTGATGAGAAACCATTTCATGGGACATGTGATGACATAATATGGCACAGAATGGTCGGGGCTGCTTTCATACGGGACTTGTTGGAGGAGGAATCAGAGATGGTTGCTCAAGTGGCGAAGCTGAGAGTTGAGGACTTTTACATTAGATGAAGATGAATCGATTGGCTTTTGACAACTGAGGACGTGCCGGGCGTATATTGACATGATCTGCAGTATACTGGAAGACTGTGACCGCTCTCGATGCGGCCGAGTTTTCTCCATCTCCAAAAGAGCTAGCTTTGTCCACAATGTCGCCCTCCTAAAATGCAATCGCTTCAACAACTATTTCACTCATTTCCAAAATAGTTGGTCCCATCATGCCAGCTCATATCTGGGCCCATAACGAAGCTTCCATCAGTGGAAAGCCAAGTTACGCTATTCCGCGTACCCGGGTTGCTCATTATTGGTGAAGAGATGTTTTCTATCAATGGTAAGCCGAGTGCTAGCTTCTCAGGTAAGAGAAATTCTCTGTAGGTTTTGTTTAAGGGCTCGAAACTTTGATGACCAAATGGAACCATGGTTTTACACCTCAAACATAACAGAAAATGTGGAAACTCACTTTAGGGCGGTCACGTCCGCATATCATCTGAGGGCGCACCGTTCGTACTGCTGCGCATTGAAGCGACAAGGGTCACGCTTTCTATAGGGACAGCTAAGGTTGAGTCCAGTGCGACGTTTTTTCTTGGGATATCTCGTTGTCGCCTTGAGCCCAGATGGTATTGACGATTTAAGGTCGCCGTTGTTGAGCCGCTTCTTGTTTGTTCCCGATTGACCACTTGCTTCGCCGCCTTGTGAGTGTCGGTGAGGTGCAAATTGGCTGGGATTTCCTCCACTGTAGGGTTGGTCATCAGCAGCATCAACATCAAGCATGTCATCCGTTTCCGGATACTCAGTCCTATCTTCAGCAAGCACATGTCCTTCTTCCTCCACAACAGCAGCCATCTGGCCTTTGACTTGCTCGAGGCAGTGTAGCACTCTGATTGGCCGCTCGAGACTGTTGATTTCAATACCAAACCATTCAGAGAGCAGGTCACCTGCAAGTCTCTCGAGACATATATCACCGTCATCCACCGAATCAGATTGGCCGTATTGGCGGTGCGAGAATCTGAAAATAACAAATAGACATAGACCCGATACTGCGAGAGACCTCATCACCATGTATATCTAGAAACGGGCCCTCAGCCACGTCGTCGATCAGCCTGTCATCCCACGACGCCGAGCACTACTCAGCTTGAACCGGGCCCGTTGGACAAAATTTCTATGGTCTGATCTTCAGGCTTTTATTTCTCCCTTGAACGTTATTTTCAACGACTAATTCGATCCTGGCGGCAACATGGCCTCGGTCGGATCTGGCACTGCTGCGGCTGGTGACAGAGATGGCGCGACACAAAAGTATGCATTTGTCCTACTCACATAGCCCCTATGGGAGACTAATAGTCTGATGTAGCGACCCGAAATGGACTCTTCACAATTATCTAGACGATCGCGACATATTTCCAGACAGAGTCACTCAGATAAGTCTGGGTCAGTGGAATCGCGACAAAGCAAAAGCACACGCGGCAAAGATTATTACGCAGACAGAACAACACCAATACAAGCACCAGACGCCAAAGGATCCTCGCGGGCAATCTGGACATTGAGACCACTAAAAGTGGCCTGGCGATGGGATACAAGCATGAGATATGTCCATTGCCCACTACACTATACTTGACCCCCCACCCCCAATTGATACAGCACCATAGCGCTAGTGGGATCTGCAACTCTGGTGCTTATTGCTAGAGAGTACCTAATAGTATAATAAATGGAGTTCCGCTATTGTCGACCACTTGGAACCTTGATTTAAAAAAATAAAAAAATAAAAAGAGAGACGACTATGCATCGGCCATCTTGGTGCCTTGGTCATAAGTCGTCTGTTCAATCGACAGAACATGAAAAGAGCGACCGCATCCGCTAAGGCCTAGTGATATATTTCCCGTGTTGAAGAACATTTTCCCGTATCCCCGAATCAAATTCTGCATGCCAATATGCAGTTTACTCGCTGAGGTATACGCCATGCACCAACCAACGAGGTCCACATGTCGCTTACCTACCGGTACTGTACCTAGTACTATCAATTGGCGGCCATAATGCCTTGGCCACTAATGGTCGAATGGACCCTCAAGGCTGAATCCAAGATTCGAGGCATCTCGCTATGGCGGGGTCTGCGGGATGACTTGTTCTATGACTGATGCGCCACAGTGTGGCTGGTTAGTGTCCTCGGGCGACACAATGGGGAAGGGTTATCAAGTCTGTTTATTCACACATAAATTTCGTAATAAATGTAGACCATTTGTAAATTATACTTTATTTTGGATACTGGTTGCATCAATAGTGGCCTTTAAATCATTTATTTTTGTTTGCCTTAACAATCCAATGAAGTAAAGGATCCGCGAATCCCTAGGGTGGTTCATATTTATTCCAAAATAGGCATTATTTCACACAACTGACCTGACACTGGGGAACGTTGCTGAGTATTAACATTGGCACTTTTCACGATATCTGAGAATTTGATACAAACCGAAATGATAAGATTGATTTCATGGCCTGGTAGTTATACATGAGCTTCGACTCCAAACGATAGCCAGAGTCGTTTCGGCATGGCCCCGGCCCCGACCACTCTTTGTGAACCGTTACATAATAATTGGTAACAAAAGGAATTACCATCACATACGACCATAGCTCTTAGAAAACTCGGCATCCCGTCCGCTCTGCCCTAGATAAACTGAGAAGCGCCGGATTAGTACTCAGATCGGTGACGGCTGGGGAATCCCCGGTGTTGTATGTCTTTTTTGCTATCCCAGAATACTGGGATCGTGGCTTTGCATTGGATAACAAGCATCGCTGTAGGAAGTGCAAAAATATTGAACATTTTTGTTTGTTGTGTCGTTTACTAGCTTCACACATGGAAGAAGAAATGTCCTCTTATAAGACACCAAAAGTGGACTTGATTTAAAACAGAAAGTGGAATTGACTGCTAACACACCTAAAAATAATTTCCTAGAAGATATCCTCTAAACTCTATTCCTCCTGTTACTCCTCATCAGCCTTTCTGGCCACAAGGTCTCCGATTGCCATTATGCTAGCTCCACCCATGATCTCAAAGACGGCAACGCCAACTCCAAAGTCCCTGTGTATCCAGTTACGCAGCTCAACAACCATTAAAGAATCAGTTCCATAATGGGAGAGACTATCATGGAGATCAATCTGTTCTAGTGCGACCTCGAGCGTTCGTGCCAGTTTTGCTGCTATGGCTTCAACCACAATGGCGCTGCGCTCAGCCGGCGTAGTCGCCTGTTGGAAAAGTGCTGCCACGTCCACCTGCGTGGAGACGGCCGAGTTCTTACCGCTGCCGTTGTGCAAATGGGGTGCATTGAATCCGGCAAAGAGTGGTCGGGGTGAAGATGTGGTGCGGCGTCTCTCCCAGCGCGAGAAAATACGCTGGCGTCAGCATTCCGATCTGGACTTGGCTGTGGTCGGTGTGCAAAACGCCTAAGCAAGGATCGCAGTAGTGCTCCAGCAATGCAAAGAAATCGGGCTCTTCGACGGTATACATGTGGGCGCCGTCATTTCGTTTCCGGCGGTACTCTTCGGTCTCGGCGATGATGCCAATGTTGCGCATGCGGCCGATGTCGACAGATACTGAGCCTCGACATCCAGTTGCAGATCGGTATCGAGCCAGTGCATCTTGGAATGAACACCCGGCCGCGTAGTGACTCTGACCGGGAGATCCGCAAACACCGGCGATTGAAGAGAGCATGATGAAGAAGTCCATGTCTTGCGGCAGCAATGAGTGCAAATTCCAGCTCGTGGCTACCTTTGATTGGATCGTTGTTGACCATTGCGTATAGCTCATATTCTCGGATACTGAATCCTGTGGAGTTATTAGCAAAAGTCTTGCCGGTAAGTGAAAGTCTCAAAGTGGGTTAATAGCTCACAGGCTTGATGCATCATGTGAACAATGGAAACCTGTGCAGATGCACATACCTGAAGCACCATGGCAGCGTTTATGCACCCCTTAATGGGGGGCATGTCTGTGGTACAATTGTGCAGCAATGCCGTCAAGTCGTTGGAAGAGGCTGCATCACAGCGTGGCGCCATCATACGCACACCTCTGCCTGCCAGCTCTCCAATAATTGCCAAGGCTGCCTGCGTCGAAGCTCCAGATCTGGATGGTACGATCAGATTTTTTGCGCCTCTTCCTACCATCCACGTGAGAATAGCGCGGCCAATGCCACCAAACCCTCCCGCAACGATGTAAGATGCGACTGGATCAAAATCCTAGGAACTCTTGAGAGTAACAAACTTCTTTTCGGTCGTTAGTTATTGCTGGAATCAATGATCATAGGTGAGACTTACTTGAACCAGGTCATCTTTGGAACTGTTCAATATGATTCGTCCTGTGTTTGTTCCGCTCTGCATGAGTCGGAATGCTTTCTCGACATCTGGAAGACCAAATATGTGCAAGGGGTCGGGACCGCTGATGATGCCTTGAGAAAGTAGGTCCAGAAGACGTTTCATCATCTGAGTGATTAACTTCGGCCTCGATTCTAATATGTGGACGAGATCCACAGCAGCAAAACTTTTGTTCTTGGCGAAACAGGACATTGGCAGGGAGGAGTTGGAGATGATATCTGCTTTTCCGATTTCCACGAAGCGTCCATAAGGGGCGATACATTCCCACCTTGCTTTGAGTTCCTCTCCAGACAGTGAATTGAGTATCACGTCGACGCCGTAGTCATTGGTCATGCGCATGACGCCCTTCGCAAAAGATGTATTGCGGCTGTAGAAGATATGGTCGGCAGGGATGCCAAATCGATCCATGAACAGCTTCTTTTTGTCATCATATCCGACAGTAGCGAAGACTTCAGCACCAAGCCACTGTGCAATACCAATTCTCTGTCGAAATCGCCCAAGCCATCCGTGATGGCTATGAGTGAAGTCACCGCGACATTGGCTTCCACACTCACAATGAAGACCATGATGCCTATTCTGTTTCCGGTCAGAAAGTATCAGCTTTAGAAACGCTTTCGAGATTGCTCCATGACGGTATTTTTTTTAAAAAAAAAAAAAAAAAAAAAGAAGAAGAGGAAGGAAAAGAAATTGTGTAGGGGCAACAAACAATGAGGCAAGCATCACGAAGCGGATGCCCTTGAGATAGACGATCTCTTTTGCACCGCCAGTATCCAAGCCAGAGTCCCTGTCCAGAGAAGACACATCATGATCGTTTGTCTGCGGTTCCAGCCCTCCAATAGAGATTGATGGATTATTGTTTTCCAACTTCATGATACCTATCGTTCGCAGATTGTTCAATTCCAAATATCACAACTGGGTTGAGTCAAAGAACTTGCCTGATAGAATGAGGAAGGCTCTTTGCACAGACCTGGGATTTCATTCGAGACAAGGAGTATGCGCGACTCTGCGGCGGGACCTTCCGCCGGCATACGCGAGGCAAAGAATGGAACCCCGTCACCGGAGACCCAATCGCAAATCCGAGCAAGGCAGTGAGTGGCTGTCGCCTATGAGTATCTGCATATTGCGCGCATAGCAAATTACTATGTATACATGTAGACTTCTGGTTTGGTTCAAGAATATTGCTCTCCAAGCCCTCCTAGACGCGACGGTTGCAACGGCTGTGGTGCCTGGTTGGCCCCAACGTTGCAGATGGTCTGAGGACGATTACACTGCAGAGAGGCTGCATGAGAAAAATCCAGACTGATCACCAACAGACGTCTTGCAGGAGATGGCGGGCTTGCTTACCGTATTTGCACTGTGCGGGCTGGTCTACTTTTATGCCACCCCATGTCTGCAGCAGCATAACGGTAAATTACTATAACCTCCATCTTTTGGGATCTCAGGCTTGCAAAGGCATAGATCATAATAGTACGGCATTCTTGATCTGAATGATCATGAGCTCCTTCATCGCCATTTCCGAATCGACGCCGGGCCTATTCGGCTTTGCGCTTCTTCTGGTAATCTTGTCCTTTTGGCAATAGTACGAGAGATAATTTGACAAGATGTTTTGCTAACTTTGATGCGCGGCAGAGCATTTTTCTCCTCAGCTACCGATTACTGGCACATCCTTTGGCAAAGTATCCTGGCCCTTTTGTAGCTAGGGTAACCGACGGCTATGCTGGATACTTTGCTTTCAAGAAGCGAGTTCATCTTGCAACGTATAGCGACCATATAAAATATGGTACGTCTCTTTTCCGTTCTCGTTCTGCTTTTCCTTTTCACATTTGCCGGGCATGCGAGTTCTCCTCGAAACCAGTGTTAAGAAGATCCGCTTATTGACCTTTGTAATATAGGATCTGTCTACCGCCAAGCTCCCAATCGTCTAGTTTTCAATACATCAGCAGCTTTGCGCGGTGAGTACTTATACAGAGTTATCCGATCATTGTTTATATCGCTGACTTGAATAGATATATACCTTAATAACGGTATTGGCAAGGCGCACGTCTACCAGCATACTCAATTCAATGCTCAAATCAACATATTTGGAACACTTGATAAAGAGCAACACCGACAAAAGAGAAAGATCTATGGATCTGTTCTCTCGGAACGGTCGCTGCGCAGTTTCGAGCCTTCCATGACTTATGAGATCAATGTGTTCTTAGCCCAGCTGCTCAGAAATGCTTCTCAAATTGTTAACATCTCGCCCATGTGTGAGTACCTAACTACTGATATTGCAGGTCAGCTAGCTTTCGGGCAGCCCCTGAACACGCAGGTAGAGGAAACAAATAAACTTTTCCCTCGTGCTATGGTATCAATGAATGCCGTTGTCAATATCTTCAGTATGTCTTCCTCTTCCTTTCTGAATAATTACATCAACTAAAATTGATCATGTAGTGTGTTGGCCTGTCCTTAAAAAGGCATGGCCATTGCTGGCACGCCTAAATAAAAAAAACGGTGCAGCATTCTCAAATGCCATTCGGGGGATAGTGAACAAACGCAAAGACCTTCCGAAAGACGCCAGGCACGACTTCTTCTCTCTCGTAGCGACGGACGACAGTACTACGGAAGAGGGCTTGAAGGCAAGCCACTTGTGGGCCGAGGCGATCTTTATCCTTCCTGCTGGTAAGCAAAATCTTTCATGTTGTGAACCCCTGTTATTTCCTTCTGGGCCCTTCTGCATTCAAAGGTCTGGTCTTATCATATGGCGCACTGAGATAATTCATCTATCAGCCATATTGATTCAATGGCGCTGTTTGTCTTGAATCCCTTGGCGGCTGCAGGACTGATGTTGACGTACAGGAGGAACTACTATTGCCTCGGCTATATCTGCTGCCTTTTTCTACTTGTCACGCTATCCAGATGTATATTCGACGCTCGCCACTGAGATCCGCACACGATTCTCTTCGGGTAGCGATATCAAAATCGGACCGCAGCTTTCCGGTTGTGAATACCTGCGAGCTACGATTGATGAGACCCTGCGGTCTGCTCCGCCGTTTACGGGCACCTTTTGGCGCGAGCCATTCCCTGATTATACCGATCAATTTATCGTCGACGGGCATGTTATACCGCGAGGAGTTCTGGTCGGCGTCAACCCTTATTGCGTTATGCATAATGAGAAGTACTTCCCTGAGCCTTTCCTGTTTCGCCCCGACCGATGGCTGGGCCATGATAGTCAAGAGAGAGCCGCGATGCGAGAGGCGTTTGCGCCGTTTGCTTTCGGGGAGACGGGCTGCCTGGGCAAGGCAATGGCATACCACGAGATGTGCCTTGTTCTCGCAAAGACGCTCTGGTACTTTGACTTCAGGAAGGCCCCGGGAGAGGCTGGGAAGCTCGGCGGCGGTGAGCCTGGACGGCTGGATGGGAGGGACAGGGTAGACCAGTACCAGCTGCTCGATCATGCCGTTGCGAGCCACGATGGCCCGAACCTCGTGTTTACTCCTCGCGGTGACTATTATAAGAGCGAGCTGGGTAGTGTATAGTTGCAGCACCGTCTGCATGTATTTGTATCTCGGCCATAAGGACCATTGCGCTGGAGGCGACTAAAGGGACGACCAACTTTCAATCAGCATCATAACCCTTTAAGGGATATTTGTCACATGCACCGCTGTGGTAGGCTTGGTCACGATGTCAAACATAATCAGAAGCTGGTTTCAAGAGCTTTAGGCAGTTCCAGGTACAAATCAGCAGGCCAGGCAGAGAGAAAAGGCGGAGAACGAAGATATGTTCCGGCGAAGGATCGGGACCGTCAACCTATATTTGGCCTTGGGCGGCAAGATAGAAACGGTCAATAGCAACTACAACAAGACAATATTACAAGTCTAATTGCTTACAAGGACCAATGCTATCACGGTCATGCCCACAACGAAACCCGGGCTGGAACCCGAGCCTTAGCCCAAAGCTGACGCAAAATGGACGCACACCTCCATCCGTCTACCATTTCGCGTTTCCTATAAGATTGTTGAAACAGCGCTTGCGCATGAGAAATGAATCATCGGCGGCGTCATCATTAGCCATTACCGAATCTTGAACGCCTGGCACTTTGTTTCATTCCAGGCTTCGCCATTCATGATGCCCTGCACGTAGGCCTCACCCACCAACTGCCAATATTCGCCTGCCCCAGCATTTGCTTCATGAGGCCTGATTACCAGAGGCGCCCTCCCACCCTTGGCAAGAATCACCATATCGCCCTCCATAGCTTGCGCAGGTACCAGACACAGGTAGCCGTTGGCACCGCGGGCGAGACGGCGGCCGTAGCTACCGTCGAGGAACCGCAAGAAGTCGCTGTACATGTTCCACGTCTTCATGATGTAGCCCAAAAACGCAAGTGGTCTCAATTTGCTTTCCGCCTGCCATCGGTGGAGATCTCTTATCAGCTTCAGAGACGCACGCCACTTGTAGAAGGATATTTGCGCCGCGATCTTGGAGCCTCGGCCCTTTGCTTCGGTGCTGGCCTCGGCCTCGTCCGGGTACGTGCCGGTACACAGCGTCTGCCAGTAGATTGCTAGACGGTCCTCGGGCTCTTCCTCCATCTCCGCTGCTGCGGCTGTGATAGGACCGGGACCAAGACTCAGAACGCTGGCGTTCCTGGTGAGCCATCTCATCGTACTGGTTGGGCGTGGGTTGGTTGGTTGAGTCTTACGCGCGAACTCTTCCCATTCGGCAAAGATGGTCAGGTGTGAAACCATACTCATGAAAAACTCATACTGCAAGAGAACACGCTGTACACGGCCTAATTTTTGTAAGCCTTTGTCGTTAGGGTCATCCTTCTCTTTCAGCTTCTTCGGCTTCAAACCCGGAGCTATGCCATTAAAACATTCTCTGAGCGGGTCAGACAGATCGATGAGCGCGGTCAACTCGTGAGCTTCTAGCAGCAAGGTTGTCGGTTGGCCGTCAGCATTCTCCTCAAGCAGGTGCGGCTGGTATGTGCTTTGTGCCGCAGCGTGCGTCTTACGTGGCCGACCAAGTGCATCGTGTAGCAGTGGAACCACGGTGGTCTCGACCATGCTCCAATCGGGAACCCACGATGGAAGTTGTAGATTGAGGTGGCTTGAGTGGGTGTCCTCAGGGTCAATCTTTTCTAGACGGTCTGGTATCAGATTGGAAACGAGATATTCCGGGGTAGCCGCTGCTGCACAAGCGCCGAGGATATCGAGTGATCCCGTCTCGTACATCATTTGGTACGCGAAGTTGGAATAAACACTGCCCTCTGACAGTGTATAATCAGGCCGTATACCAAGGGGCGAGATTGTTTTCGGCGCCTGTTCCTGGTCTATTCCTGAAGGGCTTGTCTTGGTGACAAGCCCTAATAATGAATAAATCTTGTCTTGCGGCTTTTTGGCGCCGCGAAACTGGCATTGAATCATCAATTCCAAAAGTAACTTTGCAGGGGATTCTGTACTGTTGCGGTACGTAGCCTCCATCAGTTGTAGCGATAGATAGGGCGTGATGATGGTGTCGTGGGTAACCCCAAGTTTGAGGGTGGACCAGATTCCCAGATTGACGCCATGATTTCCACCAAAACACATCTCGTCCCAGTCTATGTGATGAGTTCCAATCACAACGGTTGCCTTTGTTGCGAGGAGAATCTCCTGGGTCGTCCAAGAGCGGCGCCACCATTCGGACTGTAGAACGTGAATGATGGTCTGATCGTAGCGGTAACGATCGAACTCCTCAGGGACTTCAGCCCTCTCTAAAAGTGATAGTGGATGGTTTGCAAGGTGTATCATGTTTTCCGGATCGCTGGGTCGTTCAGCACGAGAGGAACTATGCTTCTTGCGATGCGCTTCGGCGTGAGCGGCCAGTTTGTGCAGCAAATCAAAGGCTCTTTCCGTCTCTCCTTCTACTTGATCTCGTAGCCATATTATTGTTTTCGTTGCCCGACGATAGATTTCGCCCATGATGACCACCTGCTGACTACACTCCTTCACATCTCCTTGATTGATACATATGGCATCTGCCCACAAAGTGATGGGATCCCTCAAATCACGCAAGTTGAACAAGGCTGTCCTCAGATTGATACCGATATCCATAGTCTTGTTGTTGATCTGGATAGGAGTGGTTTCCGCCCCATCACCCCATACGTAGCTTAATGCCGCATAGGAGCCTGTAGATTCGTCCAGCGTAGTTTCGTATAAGCGACATGCTAAATCTTCTTGCCTGGTGCCGGGAAGAATTTCCATGAGCCGCAGCGACGAGGATCCTCTGCTGAGTCCATCGTATGTGTATGTCTGCGTCGTGATCTCATTGCGAGTGCGATCCTGTCACACAGTTAGGAGAAATCTACTTCGGGGAGTAATGGAAATCCGCACAAGTTTGGAGGGAACACGCAGCGGATCACGCTCCTTAGCATCAAAAGCCTCCTTCTCACGTTTTTCTTGGTTATGGTACCCCCACAGGAAAGAAATTGTTCGCCGAGACATGGCCACCAAATGTCTTCCGCACGACAAATATACCTAAGCTATCGCGCTTTCGGAAGTGATGCAGAAAATGGAATTTGGCAGCGTCACAGATCTAATCCTTCAAACCATGAGCTTGCGAGTATTTGGCTGTAGGATCATTGGGACTGCGATTGCATACTGAAGAAATCCAAGGTCGGTTTGGATGCTGGGAGCCAATTAAAGGCAATATCATAATCTCAATTGTGCATAATTTTCAAGTTCTCCATCTGCACAAGGATTGAAGGAAGACAATACATACAAAAAGCTAGGAACCTAAGGACGAAGGTTTTGTGCCATTCCCTTGACGTTTTGAAGGGGCCATGACTGTGGATATATTCCCGGTATTTATGGAAGGGATGGGGTCGCATCCCTGCATGTCAATTACCAGTGGTAAAATGCGACCAGTAGATCCCCAAACTGCTGAAAGTCTCATGCATAGGTACTCGCTAATGTGAGCCGCAGCTTTGGCAATGGCAAATCAGTGCAAAGATTCGCACTATGTTCATGTACCTAGTAGGCAAGCAAGGCGCTTTCCCCCTACACAACACTTGGGCACTTCTCAACCCCACTGGCGCTTCTGCCTGGCTAGAGTGCATAGGGGGTATGTACTGCTAAGTAATGATTGGATACGGCCCATATAGGTAATCAGAAACTCGCGTAATCGTCCCGTTCTCTAGGTGTTTAGCCGTATACAGCTACCAACCTAGTTTTATCAGACTGAAGCCAACCACAAGCTTATATGCCAGGTAGGGCTTCATGCAGCTAGGGTTACAGTATCGAATGTAGGCTTTTGGGGGCGGCACCATTCCTCAGCCAGACGTTGGCCTTCTTATCAGTTCCAGCGCGTGATCAGAGCTGTGCCGTACGTAAAGTGCAATGAAAGTGTCTGTCCGTCGGCGAACCAACGTTGTGATGATGGCCATGACACATTGCTGATCCGGCGGCATTACATGAACTAGTCTCCGCTCAATTTCGCCACGCGTGAATTCCATGGAAGATTCGGCTCTAACTTGATACGATGCAAAGATACAGCTGGCTGATATTTATTTTCTGTAGGTCAAGGAGACATCCCCATATCAAGCCTTACGCGATGGCCCGTAATCTCACTAAAGCTAGACATCCCATCAAATTACCATCATACAGGAGGCGATAAGGCAGCGTTGTGTCAGATGTGATAAGATGGTACGACGACTTCATCATTAATTAGAGGTTGTAATGCTATGTATACGTTTAAATTCTTGATTAGTCACCGATGCCGTCTATAATCAGGTCTTACATGCGCTTTAAAAAAGAAATAAGATGCTCTCTCTGACAAGAGTAGAAAGCATCGCCAAATAATGCATCAAAGTATGAGCCTTACGGGAAAAGAACTGACATCCTCATATTTCCCACCGACGTTGCCTAAATGTCATTGGTGTAATCCTATTATGCTATAACTCTTCTCTCCTCTTGCCCCCGCCGCCTGGGTTTGGTTCATCTAGTTCGGCAATCGACATGTTAGCTCGATTAGCTTAAGGCGATTTAGACTTCTCGAAAGGCACTATGGTAGGTGTACACTAAGGCATCCAAGCCTCGGAGGTGATAATTGACGTCGATGGGAAAGCACCACGCCAGTTGCCTGGCTCCCTTTCCTCAAGCCTATTCCCTTTCGAGGCAGCATGTCGGGTGTTCCCATGGCTCTTGCAAACGCGGAAATGAGAGCTGCAGAACCAATGACAAGTCCTACTGGTCCTTTAGCAAAGGCGAAGCACCATGAGTATACCCTTGGTGAGACCAAAGTTATCACATGTGTAAAGCCAGCCTGCGCGGCGATTTGCGCTCCATGCCTGCATCCACGCCTGTGATGGCCTGGAAATCACACGTGTGAGCTCTAGAAGTGATTTCCACAACCAGGCAACATAGTCGAAAGAGTCACGCCAAGGCGACTGTGCTCTAATATAACCACGGCAGTAGCTTTGGCAACTCTGCGACCGTCATAAAATAAACCATATCCTGATGCCTTCATCATTCCTCTTTGGTTGCCCAATCGTGATGGACTTTTACAATTCCTGACACGACGTAAACTACAAGCTCGGATCCATACTTGAAATAGAACTCTTTGATTTCTCTGTCGTAGCCTCTAGCTGAATCGGACGTCCGAAGCTGCGTGCACGGTTGTGCATATCGACATATCGACAAGTAACCCACTAGCATGTCCTTGCCGATGACGGTCCACTGCTGTGAAGGAGAAACCAATGCTCATATTTCTAACTTTGTCATCAGTTTGCTCATGGCTACCTGGTTATAAACCATTTGTCACGGCCGGATTAGTACTCAAATCAGTGACGGCTGGGGAATCCCCGGTGTTGTATGGTTTTTACCATACAATAGTACTGTATGATTTTTGTTATCGTGCCGAAATCTGTTGTATTTTTTTTTTTTGAAGAGCCTTTCAATCTGGTAGCAGAGATGGTAAATGTGTTTGGAAGTTTTATTTTGGAGTAATATAACAGATTCTTGAGGAAGGCAAACATTCTTTTGCTGTGACGCTGATGAGAATAGAGCGTACGGACTAGCCAAGCAAGAACTCTCTCACGTACTCGTTTTCAAGGAACCAAATACTTGCTTCTAGAGCCTGCAACTTGACCAGTATTCCTCCTTCTTTGGTTTCGTACTTGATGAGGGTGGCTCGGTCCAAACGACGCCTGCCGTAGATATCCCTAGAGTCTACCACGGCCAGCCAATCCCCTCCCCATTCCTCGCCTTCCGGTACTCCACAGTCAAACTTGATTCTGAAATCTCTGCCGCCTTCCATGTTTCTACAAAATATTACCTCGGAACTATACTCGCTTGGTAACTCCGGTTCGCTTGGCATTCGTAACCTGGCCGCTTGTACAATGCACAGTCCATCTACTGTCAAGTGTAACGTCGGCGCCTCGTCGAAGTCTTCCACCCTCCGTTTGGTAGCTCTGAGTCGACTCTCCGTTCCGGGGGCGGGACACCAGCATCTTCCCGGTTTTTGAGAATTAGTTCGTGCCAGGAGGAGGCCAGGTGAGATAAGGCCCTTCTCTGCGGCCCTCCGTACCGCCTCCTCAAAGCCTATACCATACTCCACATTCACTGTCTCACCACGCCATACCAGGCCCAGCATCCCATATACTCTGTCTTCTTCTGCGCTGCAATATCTTGCCCCTGCTATCCTCCACACGTCGTCAAGAAAGCGAAACTGGTGGTTTATACTGTCACCTGTTTCCGGCAGTACGATATTGTCCTTCAAAAGGTGAGTAGCGGAGACCAGCGCGACCCTATGGCCACGTGCAATCCTCTGCTCGACCCGCACGTCACTGCGGTGTCCTATCCTGCGCCATACTGTATGCGCGTCCGCACCTCCTTCTGTACAATGTAGTCGATAGGCGATTGCCAGTTCCGCTGCACTCTTCGCCTGGCTTCGTCCTACGAAAACGGTCCTGCCGGAGAGCATCGCCTCCTGCATTGTCCATACTCTTGACGCCCATGAAGTGGTTTCTAATGCCTCGACTTCTGTAAAGGCCTTTGCAGCCTGCTGACTGCTCATTCTAAAACCAGCCAGCTCCCACGTAAACGTAGGGGACCATTCAGGAACCATCACATAGGTGACCGCCGCCTGAGCATAGTAATCTCCCATCCTGCCGACTTCGACCCTTTTATCATACTCTGATTTTTGGTCGATGCACAGCTGGTCTATCCAGAGATAAACCAATCCGACCGGCTCCATTAACATCCTTAGTCGGCATAATATATCCTCTATCTTTTTGCATTGAGCCCAAGCATATGAGACGGCGGCATATTGTACCGGCTGCTCGGGACGCACCACGGCATATTGTACAGGCTGCTCTGGGTGTATCTCGTCGCTGAACTGTAAAAGCACGAGTCTGGATGGTTGACCGATAGTGTCGCGCAGTGGTATCCCCTTGAAGGCCTCTGTCCAATCCGGACACTTCTGCTCAAGTTCCGTAGGCCAGCCGAGCCCAGGCGCAACATCGTGGCCTGCAGGAAGGGAACTGTCGGTATAGCTACTGATGGCTTCAAACCAGCCCATCGCTTCGTCGACCTCTGCGTGGACTCTGAAGCCCATATTGAGGAAGTGATTTGGACGTCTATGGCGTGATGACTCTGCGCTGGTATTCGTGCCGTCTTGAAGGATCTTTTCGATGATTGCCAGCGTTTTACTTCCTTGAGATCTGACCGTGGACTGAGTTATTCGCACTTGTCGATGTTGTATCAAAATAATTGCAGACGGCTGAGAGTATTGAGCGGAAACTCAATCTGCCAGTCTCAACTCATACGGAGGGCTCCATATCATCCTACCACGATTTTTTTTAAACCCACCCGCTCTCGCCACGTTTATTGGTCCGTCTCAGGTGTGCCACGTAACAACATACTACAGATTAGTGTCTACTTGAAAGGTCCCAGTATTTATGGGTTTGATCACACACTTGTTTTGAATCAACGGAACAAGACAACAAATCAGGGGAGGCAAGAAGCTGGCATTGATAGATCGCTTTATTGACGGAGAGGGGAGCACTTCTTTATCTACACGTCAGCGACGGAGGACTAGGCACCTTTTGCTGGCCATTCACGATTTCCGCGGTCACCCTGGCCTACGGCGTCCACCATTTGTCACTGCACGAAGTAGAGCACTTTGACTTTCTATATTGTCTTGTCGGCGAGCCGGGCAAGGCATAGTGGTTGGCCGCCGGATTAGTGCTCAGATCGATGGCGGCTGGGGAATCCCCGGTGTTGTAATTTTTTAATTTTTTATTTGTCACAGTGGCAGCAAATATTCATAGCAATACCAAAAGACTTTGTGTTTACTAAACTATGGTTACAGTCTCAATAGCGCAGCTGTCCAGAATATCTCTATCTCGATGTGCTATTTTGAACATCCCCACACGTCTATATGCTCCTTCTCGCTTATTGTAAAAATCTGTCTTTTCAAGTAGCAGACCGCACGCTACCGGCGTGTACGTTTTTGGCGGGCGCGTACGACCCATACAACATGCCAAGCGATCTTCTCGTCTTTCCTCTGCGACGACAAAGGCCTTGATGGCTTTCGGGTCTGGTGTTTCGTCCGCATAGTCCCAGCGCCAGATCCATGTACGTTCAGATATCCATGAGGGGTCCAGTAGGGTGGATTTGCCTTTGAGAACAATACACGCTCCCCGAAGTGCATCCATTGGATTCGCCCCTTTGAGTGTTGAACTTATATCCACGACTGCGCACGTTTTTAGATTTTCCGTTCGTCCATCACAAAAGCTAATCCATCTGATTGGCTTGTCGGAAGAGGCCCACGTCCAAGTAGGCGCCATGTAGTCCGCGTTTCTCAGGTCTAGCCGTTCCTTGTTCTGACTCTTAGCCCATCTAGTGCCTATGAAGTCTTGATCTCGGGATACTCGTGTTTTCATGGTCCAGAGTAGATCTAATTGTAGATTCTTCCGCCAGAGACCAGCAAGGTTTTCGTCGTTGCATATTTGTCCAAGATATTGCGCAACCCCGGAAATGGCGGCCAGCTTGTCGCTTGGATACGTTAGAAGACGCTCGCTGTAGGCTTGGACGAGACGTCTCCAGTGCTGATAGTTCTCAGTGACTGACCGAGAGCCTTTCATTAGGGTGTATATCCTTTCCTCAATCTCGAAGTTGAGGCTTATCGGCGATACAGGTCGATCTGGGATATCTTCAATGCGGGAGCATTCCTGGCATTGGTAGTATAGACGATTGCCAAAGAATAAGACGCGGCGTGCAAATGTCCGTTCTTGATGCGTCCACGCACGCCGGTCCCAGGGGGAACCATCGATCTCTTGGCGAAAGTAGTCCCACTCGTATGATAGATTTGAGTCCATGTCCAATGTGATCTTGCCGCTATGTCCGAATCGTCTTTTCAATGCATTACATGGTATGCTGATCTGATTCAAGGTCCTATCACGTTGCAGGAAGCCAGAATGACTGGAGTCTCCTAGCGCAGCGGCAATAACAATCCAAGCATTGCTGTAAATAGCTGGAAGCAGCGCAACGTGATCCTGCCAGTCCTTTGTGTCACCTTGAATTATGCCTCCAAGATCAGATCGTTTAGTGCTGGTCTTATAATAACTGGAGGAGCAATACTCACAGAGTGCGTCAACCCAAAGAAATTGAATTCCCAGTCGTCTAGTAACGATAACAGCATCACGTATGGTGTGTGGAACTTGATCGATATCTATGGATTTCAATCGATCCCGTATAGTCGTGGGTCGGGTCTCGAGCGGTGGATACTTGGATTGGTCACCCCAACAGTAACTCAACGCTGCGTAAGGTACGACAGCTTGTTGTGTAATAAGTTTCCCGACGGTGGGATCATCGGCTGTATTGATTAAGCGCAAGCAGTCATTGTCGCCACCCTCCCTTCCAACGAAGAGCAACCTTTTGGGGCAGAAAGTAGGGTTGGTTACCGAGCATAGGGAATGTTCAGAACTGCACACGTTAAGCCATTGGTTGATGTGGTCAATATTCGTGTCGCAAAGGATATCTGGTTGACGCGGTACTCGATGCACCCCAAGATAACGTTTCACGAGACTATCTGTAGTCTCTGGCCTTAGCAGAGTCAGTTCCAAGCTGGGACCCGACTTACCTTGCTCTGCGGCGACCTGAAGGGTGATCCCAGAAAAGGACCCCTTGGGCAAGATTTCCATGGGATCTTGTAAGTACATAAACCCCAAAAGATATGATGCATTTTTAGGTTGACCGTAGTATACACTTGGGGAGTCGTGCCTGAACTGGAAATTTTTGAAAGTAACGCCAATGGAATCTATAGGTTGCCTCTCGGCTTTCCGAGCAGCATTTCGTGATTTTTGTAAGTGATCCTCAAGATGTGAACCAAGGATGCGAAGAAAAGTCGCACGTAATTGTGCACACAGGTGACATCCTTCTTGGGCCGTCGCCTCGAGAGATGGGAAATCAGGATAGACATCTTGACGTTCGTATTCAAGTCGTTCGTCGCAGATCCCAGTGAGGATAGTATGGCCAGCATCTAAGGTCCTCAACTCAGTTATGAGTTTCCAGTCGTCCAAAATCAGTTTTTGACAGCTAGAGCATAGCTGGGCGTCGCTCATGGCGAGTATGTTCAGTGCGGGGTATATGGAGTGGTGACCAAGTTGTTTTTTTTTTTCCTTTAAAAAAAAAAAAAAAAAATGCTGGCTGGGTGATTCTCAAATGTTGCCGCCTTGTTCCCAGGCCTTCTTTTTGTGACGTTGTTCAAGTACTAGGAGGTATTCGCATGGGTGAGGTTGCCAGTGAGAGTGCTACATTGCTGCTGTAAAGGTGACACAGTGAAAGAGGGAGAATGTATCGCCGCTCAGCAGGACCCATGCATTACATTAGTCAATTGACATTCAATGTTCGCTGGCTGATAGCCCAGCTTTACACAGCCAAAGGTCAACCACAAAAAGCGTGAAAAATCATTTTGAACTTACATACTATTGAGCTGCTCTTTATAATTATTTCTGTATTTTTTTTTCTTATAAGAACTGGTGTTCCTGGGGTTGAATTACGGAGTTGAAAATACAGCATCTTGGGACGAGTGTCTAGAGACTGCTGCTAGTTTCGCTGTCTAGCAGTTGGCACTTCAGATTCCGGAAAACGCTATATTGGTACGCTGGGTATGTAGAATACACGAAGAGGAGTCTTTCAGTACGGGATACTTTTGTGCAAGTCCCGCTTGCATGTGTGGCCTAGGGATTGGATCGTTTTCTACGTAATGAATTGTATAAAAACATTGCTTCTGTCCACAGGGCTTCAAACCTCAACGGTGAATCAATCCAATTAAATGTTGGGTAAAATATTCCGGAGAAACTCTATAAAACTATCGAGACGGTGAAGCAGCTGTTTGATTCTTGGATTCTTGGATGACATCTCTCAAATTGCACCCTGCCCCAACGTTCCCTCCTGCTTGGCTCGGTTGGATAGGATGTAGGCCAATCGTAGGTAATAGCTGCATAATATCAGTGTCGAAAGTATAATCCAATCTGATAGGCGGGCATGAAAGCCTCGTATAATCATAAGAAAGCCCTGGCGTAAATCATTTAAATGTTTCAAGCCCAGCTGTTTCCCTGAAAATATACATATATTTTGCTTTGGCTTTGGCATATCTGACTGGAATGACTTCTGAGTTGGCTTTTTACTCGAGACACGTACGGATCGAATAGCCAAGTACGAGGAGAGACTGTGATCCATCGAAACAGACGAGTTCGATCCGAGAAGGCAACGGCCAGTAGCATTCGAGTTGTGTATGTACTCACATCCTGTACATTTGCGCCCCAGCTATAATCAAGAGAATCACCACAGACTGATATAAGTCGTGTACATGGTCGCGGGCAATATTCACTCTGCTCTGGATGTATGATGCGGTATCCTTTGCTTGGCATAACGCATTTGGTATCTTGATAGACCGTCTATGAGACTGTTTGAACGCCAATAGTCTAGCAGATCCTTTTGTGAACCCAGGTCAATCACCTCGTCTTGCTCATTCATTATTACTAGTTATTTAGCTCCTCAATCGTCATCCCAGTTGGGGTTGGGTCCTGGAGGCTTGGGTCCACCAGCCTGTCTGGCCACAATAATCTGGTCGACAGAGAGTACTGTACGTACTGCATCCGTGGCCAATTTGATAGCCCATGCCTTTGTGACCATCAAGTCCAGGATACCTTCGTTGTTTGCGTCGAATGTACCACTGCCATCGTTGTTCTATTATGGATGCCATAGTGAGTCTTAATGATCCAGAGAGTAAGTAGATGAGAAATACGGGAATATTTACCTCGATATCGATACCGGTCTTCCAGTCATCCTTCTTGTGGTGTGCAGTGTAGAGTCTGCTAAGAACTTCGGTAGCATCAAGACCGGCGCTTTCGGCCAGGGTTCTCGGAACGACCTCGAAGGCTTCACCGAACTTCCGGATGGAGTACTGTGCGAGTCCAGGGGTCTTGTCACCAAATGCTTGTATCCGTTCCACCAGCTGCGTCTCTGCGGCTCCAGCACCGGGAACCAGACGGGGATCTCTAGTGATGGCCTTGACGACATTCACACCGTCATCGACTGCACGTTCGACGTCATCCAGGTGGTTCTGGGTGGCACCGCGGAGCACAATGGTTGCTGTGCGTGTCACTTCATTCTCTTGCCTGAAGACTGTTACGCGGTCACCGCCAATCTCGAGTGTTTCGACAACATCAACCGAACCCATCTCGTCGGGCATCGGTGCTCCGAGACGAGCAAGGGGTGTGGCACCAACGACTCTGCATATTCTCCGGAGTTCGAACTTGCTGAGAATCTTGATGACCAGAATGCCATATCGGTTGAGGTAGTGCATTGCGAGTTCTCCAACAGTGGAGCCGGCAATGACCACGCGCAGACCAGCGTCGTGGAGCTCCTTGATAGCAGCATCCAGCTGGGCTTCTTCGCCCTTGGTGAAATCCATCATCTCCTTGGCATTGTGCAACAGCACAGTGCCCTTGGTCTCGGTTTGGCTGGTGTCAAGCGGGCACGAGTAGACACCGACCTTAGCCTTTTGAGCCTTCTTGACGGCACCATCGGGCTCCTTGGGGAAGACCATACCCTTGACTACGCGGCTCTGCTCGAGAGCACCACCCATGATCTTGACGACACGGATGTTGTCGACGTTGAAGTTGGCAGGGTTCTTGGGCAGCACGGCCAGGACTGCTTCGGCAACGAGGTCAGCCAGGAAATCCTCATTGCCATTCTGCTTGCTGGCAACGACAGTTCGGATAGCCTTGCTGAGCTCCTCTTGATCCCGCATGTTTTCAACCTTGTCGACAACAAGCTCCTCGAGAGCCTCTAGGGCGAAATGCTGAGCCCTCTCGTACCCCTGGACGATATCGGCAGTCTTGAGGCCCATGCGCAGCAAGTCCTCAGCCTTCTTCAGCAACTCTCCGGCGAGGACGATGACCAGGTTCGTGGCATCGCCCATCTCGGCCTCCTGCTGTTGACTGGCCATGACCAGGAGCTTAGCGGCAGGGTGGACGACATCGAGCTCCTTCAGGATAGTGGCGGCGTCGGAAGTGAGGATCATCTTCTGGAGGTGGTTGATGACGATCTTGTTGCGGCCATAGGGACCCAGCGAGGTCTGGACGGTCGAAGCAATGGCACGGCAGGCATCGATGTTTCTGAGAACCGCTCCATCCTCGGAGTCGTAGCTGCAAAGGGTCAGTCAGGGACATGGCATCCTCAGGGTCAGAGGGGTGGCGGGGTGTGGAAAGTCGACGACATACTTGTTATAGCCGCCCTTGAACAGGCCGGCGTTGGGCGCGTTGGGAATGTTCAGCGACATGTTGGAAAGGTGGTCTGCAGGTGCAATGAGACCACACAAACACTGCTGTCAAATTGTTCGGTCGTGGTGAAGATCCAAGGTTGCGCTGGACTGGACTTGGATACTGACAGCAGCCTGGCCCGCATGGAAAGCTCCCCAGATGGAAAAAAGTTCGAGCAGCTGCCAAAAGACAGGAGAGACCCTCACTAAGAATTTAAGGTGGGGCACAGGCTGGCTTCTTGTAAGTGACCATTGAACCCCCTACGGTGAAATGGTAAGTACTGTATAAAAGGCATGGGCATGATTTCTCGACAATACATATCATGTATTGTTTGTACTTTTGTTTCTATTAAGTAATTAATATTATCAATTTTGATCTCGCATCACTCAGATCATATTCGTTGCAAAAACATCGAATTTGATCAGGCTAACTTTGGTACCCTGATCAGGAAAGCTATCCTCTGCTTACATTCATTAGGAGAGAACAAGCACTTGGGTACCGCAAAGAGTAGGTACCTAGCTGCTTGTAGCTAATCAGTATGTGACAAGGTACCTCATGTGCAGACCTGAGCAGGAACATTTGAAGCCTTGCAGTCAAGCTGTATGTTGTGAGCGCGTGTACTAATGTGCCAGCCAAAGCTCACGACTTTACATTAGCAAAGGCCAGTCGATCACTAACAAAGCCCCCCTGCAGCGTTACCTTCTTGTCCAGCTTTGCCAGCCTCGTCGGCGCAATCAGCTTTCTTCTGATAACATTCACTCTCTTACTGCCAATCTTACCACGGCAACACCAAGGTTTTACTCCGACATTTTCAGCGTCGTTGGCCAACCTCACTTCTTCATTCTCCCACCTTGTATCGCCGAACCAGATTCGGAGACGCGTAACTTTTAACCCATCACATCACCACAGTCTGCGATCCAACTCAACCCACCCACTGCCATACTTGTCGCACGCCCTGTCCATCGCGCTTTAGCGAACGCAACATGGCACCATCAAATTGTAAGTTTGCAATGTCATCTAGCACTCAACCATCCTTATCCTCTGTCGCGTGTCTCCTAGATGCACGCGAATGAGCACTAGGACGGATACAAGATCTTGAAGTATTGCCTGGTCAAGTGTCGGCCGGAGCTCGCATTTCCTGCCATCTCTCGGCTACCGCACGTTGTTGCCGTGCGCCACCGTCATCTCCTCGCCAGACCACCCCCAAAACAGACTCTAGATCACGTCGAACCCTGAGGATTTGTCTAGCAACCGATTTAAATGTTAGAAAACAGTCCTGGTTGCTAATAGACATCCATTACAGCAAACCCGCCTTCTCTACCTCCTACGGTAGAGGAAGCTTACCGACGGAAATGCATACAATTGAAGCAGAGATCAAAGGAGATCGAAGACGAGAACAATGCGTATAAGTTGCGCCTCACGCGCCTCGAACGCCAGATCCAGAAAGCTCGTCTTGAGCGCGCATTCCTCTTGGAGCAAATCGCAAAGCGTACAAGCACAAACGTGGAAGACTCCGAGGGTAGCCCGAGCCCTCCGCCTACGGTATGCCACTTCACCCCACAGTCTGATGGCCTCGACTGATTCTCGAGGTGTTTAGCCAGAGGACAAGCCCATGCGTGTCAAGAGGGGACACAAGTCGTCTCTATTGGCATCGGAACTCGCCTCTTCCGGACCAACCTTCATAAACGACAACCCGCGCCCCTTCTCGCCCATGTCAGAGTCCTTCTCGCAGGACCAATATGCCCAGAATGGACTTGCACCCAAGCCGCCGAAGCGCCCCAGCAATGGCTTTGAAATTTACTGCAACGATACCCGGCCTAAACTTCAGCAGGAGCACAAGGACGAGATTGCCAATGGCGAATACCAGTTGGAGCAAGAGCTAGCTAAAGGCTGGAAGGACCTTACCACTGATGAGCAAGGTGTTTATCAGAAGCGATATGAAGAGGCTTTGAAGCAGTGGAAGGAGGAGCGTGATGCCTATCGCCGCAGCGTCAAGAATGCCTCAAAGGCTGGACGGAATGGTTACGATCGTCACTATGGTTCGAGTAGGCGTGGCCGCGCCTCTGGTGCAGCTGCCAGAAACCGCTCTCATGTAACACAACCAGACGACGAGGATGTTAGTGTCGTCGAGGACCAGGGCGACGAGCAGGACATCGAGATGGGTGACGCGGATCAGGCCGACGAGGACGTTGATCCAGGCGCTTCTGATCCCGAGACGGAGGCCGAGGACGAAGACCAGGACCGTGACCAGTCAGATTAGACATCGGGCGTGGGTCGGATTTTACTACGGATACCTGCCTCATGGCCCTGGGAAATCTGATCTGGAGTCCTGCGAATCCTTCCAAGGTATGGGGCATGTGACAGCACAGAATTTTGGAAGACATAGCGATATTAGTTCTACAGACATTGGTAAAAGTCCAAGCGGCATTGTCACATGGTCTTCACTCAGTGGCTTGGTATGTTTTCTTCGTCAGTCCTAGTACTAGAAAACGGCGTTCAAGGAGTTAGAAAAGGGGTTATTCGCCGTAGTCCGCATGGTCTTTTATACAAATCTTAATGTCTTGAGTGCTTATAGCGTATCATTATGGAGACGATTTATCACAGAGAACAAATACCAAGGCACGCCTGATCCTGTCCATGATAGGTGGTACATCAAGCTGAAGTGTTGCCAATCTTTCCATTCCATCACAACAGTATACCTGTCTACTGAGTGCTTTCTCACTGACTACTGGTAATGTGGGTGGAAGTTCACATCCTTCATGGCGGTTCTCCGAGTCCTTTCAGCAGTTCTCATCATTACAACTCGACCAAATCATTCTCTGTTTTTCTGTGCAAAGCTGCAAAGTCTACTCAGGTATCGAAAACCGAAAGTAGACTATTGAATATATACGGGACCATGAAAAACCAATTTGCTAAAATCGAGAGCCAATCCATGCTGTAAGTATGCGATCCCTAGTCCCTTTACCATCCATTGCTTGCCACGGCGCCCATTGTCCTCATTAGTCTATGTATTAAGTTGTAGAAAACTGAATAGTTCTACCATCTAGGTTGGTATCAATGACAATGTCTCTTTGCTGCTGGCATAAAGGTTGTCTTGTTTGGCCGCTGATCGTATCTGATCACGCGCGTATCGCAAACGGTACCTAGTCCACTCCAGCATACAGATCGACAACAATGTTGACTGCCGCCACCAAAATCTCTGCTGCAATGAGCACAATGACTGCAAGCAAGTCAGTATTTTGAGGACGAGTGTTGTTACAATTCACATAGAGAAGAAAATAGGTAATACTGACCGATCCACTCCAACTTTTCTCCATGGCCATGACTTAGCTGATCCTTGAGTACAGCCAGGAGATCCGCAATGACATCAAGTCTTTCGGTAAGAAGCCCAACTCTCTGATCCATCTCCAAGTAGGATCGTACAGCTTGGTACACTGGTTCCAAAGCAGGTTCTACCCAGAAAAGCTCGGGCGTGTCGAGCACAGAGCCATTTAGATGAATGTTGATTCGTAGTATGAAGAGTTCGCCAATCTGCATATTGATCTGATTACGGGATAGTGCAATTTTGCCAGTCAATGCAATCTGTGTCGGAATATCTTTGCAGGTGTCAATGGTGCTAGCAATGAGCTCTTCAAACAAGGAAGTCTGTCATCTTGTCAGTATGATCTTGAGGCCGACCGGACTGTTTCGCAGATACGCACCTTGACGCTTTGTGCCAATGCATGACTTATCGCCAACTTGATCATGTAGTTATTCTTATCCCGAAGCGTGATAAAATCATTGTATATCCGTGCTTGGTACTCTTGCGTGTAGTAGAAGTTGAAGCATTCCGTCTCGACATCGTCTATATCCAGTTTTTCAAGCTCAAACTTGGCAATGTCCTTCAGGAATCTCTGCTCGTGTGCGAGGGACATTCCCCATATCACCACGACGCCATATTCAAACAGAAAAACTTCTGGGACATGAACTGTTGTGTCGAAGTCGGCCTGGTGGTGACCCTCTGACGGATCATGTGTTTCCTCGAGATGCGATGGGTAGGAAAGATTGCTATGTGAGTCCCGACCACCATTGAAGGAGTCGTCAATTCCTGGGGTGGTAGTGCCATCATTCACATCAATCAACTGACCCGTCGAATGCCGCCTCTCATAACTCGGCATGGGCCTCGTTGCGGAATTTTGTTGTGCTTGTCTTTCCCTCTGTTCCTGCTCTTCGCGTTCCCTCCTGATTCGCTCATCCACTGCCTCGGCGCGTTCGGCACCTTTTCCGGTACTGTAGTTGTACGGAGTGTATATGCATTCGTCGATGAGCTTTGGATTGGCGCCCCTGGTCTTTCCACGACCTTTGAGGAATCGCAGAAGGCCTTCCATTTGATAGTTATTGGCCGTACAGTACGCTGTTACTCTGGGCAGTCGGTCGCGGTCTGCTTTGCCTAGACGCGCAGCGTCCCTTCTTGCAACCGGGTCTTGGATTCTGGTATACTGGCTATAGACATCTCTGCCGCTTTCTTCATCCGCGACAGCTTCACCGAGATCGGGATTTGGCAAGAGCTTGAGCTTTTGTGCAGTTTTACTCGATCTCTGTGGTCCCAATTTTGGTATGGGACCCAGCGGCGCAGGTAGTGAGGTAAAGGTACCACCGTGAGAATTGCGGCGCCGTAGACGGTTGGTCATGGCTGATATCGTGGAATGATGCGCGGCAGGTCCTGGAGGGTTCGGTATCGAGCCCGTCGTCCTGACTGGAGTCAATGCATTGACCGGCTGTATCGTGCCGAGCACGCTGCTTGGTGACGAGCTCAAAGACGCGGGCTCGGGGAAGTACGTGCTCGACACGGGGTTCGGGTTGAAGGTCACTGTGCGAGCAGGCCTCGGCCGGTCGGCGTCGTGAAGTAACGGTGTCCGCTCAGGGTTCGAGTCCATTGCCGTTGAAGACGACGAAGCACTCGAGGAAGCCATGCCCAGAAGCTAAGCCCTACTGCTTCTGCTGCTGTGCGCGGCAATGTCCAGATTTGAAGAAGACCGTCGAAGCTTCGAGGCACTGACAGCTAGCCGATGCTTTGTTATGATGGTACGACGAATATCGTCGCGTGAGTGAGCCGCATGCGAAAAAATAATTATATCCTCTCCGACAAGGGAATTGCGACTGCTGGGAAGTCGACGTGTTTCTGTAGCTTGAGGGCACACTACTGATATCTCGAAATGTTATTGTCGATATTTGTTGTGCTCCCTTCTTCTGATGACGTCTAAACTGAGCTTGGAAATTTTGGGCAGATCGCCTAACGACACACTGGGATCCCTGCACCTGCACCCAATGCGCTGTTTTTGCGGGGAAACTCCTGACGCTATTGCATTCTTAGGTAAGGCGGTCATACACTGCAAGTAGAATTAATTCTTGAAAGTACCTATCCATTATACAATAGAAGTTTGTTGTAATTGCCTTCTCTCATCTCTGCAAGTTTCGGGCTGGAATCCAGTACACACTTGGTCCTTGTGTATAGTGAGTCAATCCCGTCGGTTCATGACGCATATGACGATACTCTGCACATAGTAGTCTTCGCAGAAAAGACTTATACCCTCAAGGCCATTACGGATTATTAGCTGTTAAAATGCAGGCATATGTAAGCGCTGAAAATGCATTTCTAATTCACGTGTCAATCATCAATTCTGGCTTCTAGAAATAAAAATAAAAATATAAAGATAAACAGTTTGGGCGGTACAACTCTACAAGTCCAACAGTTTGGACTCTACTTTGAATCCATTCTCGTCCAGGCGATCGACATATCCCTGACCCAAGCTGGCGGGCGTATAGACTCCTCCGCTCAATTTAACATCTTCTTGCAACAACGTAGCGGCAGCATGGGCCATGAGGGTCGCGGTTACTGATGCCATGATTAGGGGACAAAGTAGACATGAATAAGCAGGCATACTTACGATAATACATTGATCCTTGGTATCGAGCCTTGACAAAGGCCTGCTTGCGGCTATTGGGTAGGTCAGGGTTGGCGATACCCCTGAACTCTATATACTCGTTTGCACAATCCTCTCGGCTGGGTCCTTCCCCTGGCTTGAAGACGAACTTGCGGACAAGGGTTCGAAATGGGGGAACAAACATGAGCAGAGCGCCGGCTACCATGGCGCCATAATGCATGGCAATACCAGTAGCAAAGTTCCTGGCCTTCATGAGTTCCTGGTAGGAGAAGTTGGAGCCATAAAACTCCTTTTGACGGCTCGGCTCTAGCTGAAATAGGCCCCAGGTGCGCTGAACAATAGAAGCATTCGTTGCAGCAGTAATAGAAGTGCTCAGCAGCCCAAGATTGGGAACATTGTACAAGCCTGTGAGTCTCGAGAAGATCGAGGGGCTGGGAGTACCGCGTGGATGAGGAACCGGAGACAAAGCATACGGCTTGACGGAGTCTACGAATTCCTGGATGCTAAAGGAATCGAAGAGACCAAGCAACGTAGCCAGTGTGCCTCCGGAAGGTACAGAACTTTTTAGTCTTGAGTCACTAAACGCGTATTGACGATTCTTAGACAAAACTTACTTGAGCTCGTGTATTTCCACTATCACATCAGCGGTCGGAGCGGACAGTTGAGAGCGTATAGTCCGGCACAGTTCCCAGGCCAGTACGTCGGATGGTGCGGACTCAACTCCACTTTGCGGAATGATTATTGCGCCTGTTTCCTTGGCCTTTGATTCGTACTTCTTGATCATCTTCAAGGTCCATGGCGCCTCACCAGTGCAATCAATATAGTGTGTGCCTGCTTCTGCACATGCTTTGAAGGCATGCTCACCATACTGCGCGTAGGGGCCAACAGTGGTGATTAGCACAAAGGTCTTTCTCGCCAGAGCCAATAGATCATCGTCATTGAGGCTGCAGATTTCAATCTCTAAGCACACTGTTAGCATCCACTATCAAGACAGTGAGAAGATAAGGTCACCAACCAGGCTGAATCCTATCTGCGTTTATAGTCTTGCATTCGGCCACAACCTTTTGCAGCTTCTCTGCTGATCGACCAGCAAGTGCCCATTTGGTATCTGTCGGGAAACGAGCTGCAATGTGCTCAGCAGTCATGAGACCAGTATACCCTGATTGTCTTTGTTAGAATTCTGCCAAGTTTGGGACAAGACCAATGTGACAAAGCTGACCTGTGGCACCGAAAACGACAACGTCGTATTGACGTCCGTGCCGCTTTGCAGACATGTTGAGATCCACGATCAATCCGTTGATAAACTACGAAAGTCTACTCTCAAGGTGTGACGATGTCCAGTTTAAGATTGGAAGGCGAATTTAAGTGATTGTAATGTCTCCACGAGAAAGGCTCTTATCAATGTCAACACAATGTCAAGGTCAAGCACGAGAAAAAAACACAATTTCTTGGGAAATGGTCAAGGTTTCATTTGAGTAGCCAACCCCCAGCCGCAATCGCCATCTTGCATCTTGGGGCCAGTTTGGCGGCTTGCTCAGAACGGAAGTAGAAGCGACATTGCCTCGGCAGCTCAAACCCGGTCCGGTGCTACAAAATCCGACCTCAAAATTGAAAGCTTCACCATGTTGATGTGAGAAAGCTCTTCATTCATCAACCCAACGGGACGTACTGAGATTGGTAAAAAAAAAAAAAAAANAAAAAAAAAAGTCTGCTTGCTGGAGCTATGGGGAGAGGTGGATCAATTTCGTCCCCTCCAGATTGAAGCAGGACGCCTTCACATGTCATCATCTATTTTGGGGAGAGCGAAAAAAGAAAAGTCTAACCAAATGCCAGCGGTAAGTTCAAAGTTGGAATATTCAACTTTGGAAGGGGGAAAAGAAACATAACACTTGTCATAAAACAATGAATTCTCACCATGATAAGTTATTATGCCTACTCACAATAATGAATTAAACCAAAATCGCAAAAACTACCTTCTTGCAGTGCGTTACTAATATGGAGGCTAAATTGATTCCACTACGTACGTTCATTGCGCATGATACATGTGTATTCACCATCTGCCCGTAACGTCATTTCACCAACGCTCGTAGACTGGTGATTGAGCTTGGCAGCTGGCGTGAGCTGCAGCGGCTGCGAGGACTTCAATATTACCTATCTGATATCGTTAAAAAAAATGAGGTGCTCCATTTGTGGCTCAGCGTTTCTTGAAGTGCCCCTCGAAAAGTGACCCACTTATAGGCGTAGCGCGGGGCTTGATGTCAGGTCTCGATCGGAACTTCTTGCCATGCTGTAGGTACTTGGTATGAGCCAGGTACTTTTCGGAGACTGGTCAATCTGTTGATCCGCTTTTCCCACACGCAACCCTAGGAGCACCACTCCAATTTTTGCCAGCCCGACAAAAATCCACGAAGTGACACGGAAATTTCAGTGAAGCGTCAATCCGCACAACTCGGTCATCTACAACCCACGACACAACACCGAACAAAACAGCCAAGATGACCAAGCGCACCAAGAAGGTCGGCGTGACCGGTAAATACGGTACCAGGTGTGTATCCACGATATTTCTGCCTCTTCAACGGCTCGCACGATAAAAAGCACGAACGACTTGCATCCAAATCCGCTCCTATCCACGATATCCCGCCATCACGAACCCGTCCCAATACCCTCACCCGATTCAATGCGAAAACACATCAGAATCTAGAGCGGGAATGCTGACGGGAATTTTTATTATTACAGATACGGTGCTTCCCTGCGTAAGCAGGTGAAGAAGATGGAAATCACCCAGCACGCCAAGTACACCTGCACCTTCTGCGGAAAGGTCAACGTCAAGCGCCACTCCGTCGGTATCTGGAACTGCAGATCTTGCCGCAAGACTGTTGCCGGTGGTGCCTACACTGTCTCGTATGTGTAATTCAATCACGGGCATCTTTCGTGCTGGACTCTGCGAAAGATGTGCCAGCCTGGCTAGGACTATGGCACACATGACTAACAACTTCATGCTTAGGACCCCTGCCGCTGTTGCCATGCGATCAACGCTGCGTCGTCTGAGGGAGATTGCTGAGGTTTAAATACCTGGCAGCGTTTGAGTGGGAATGGTTTCTGCATTTGGCTTCGGTGTTGTACAGGGAAAATCGGATTTCTTACGCATACCATTCTAAGGTTGACACCGTGCGGATCGGTTCTCGACCTCCGTTTCTAGAGAGAGACGCAATGGACCAGCAATGACAAAGACATGACCAAAAGACCTCAGATCCCGACCACAATTCGCACATTTGATTACAGCAAATGCTGGATGCCATTCTGGACCGCAATCCGCGCATTTGCAGTGTGCTCCATGTGAGATGCATCGCTTGAAACATGATGGAGACTTTCGTCGAGGATCCTTCTCTCACGCTACTCGCCAATGAGCCCAACATGGAGACCAGTCCTTACGTCTCCCAGTCGAGTTGCGAGTGGCCAACAGAGTTCCATGCTTCAGTCTCGATGGGGTGATCCAAAGCGCATCCCAATCCACGTTCGATCTCGTTTCACTCATGTCCTCTTGGCTTTTGGTACAATAATGCTGTGTACTCGTGCAATGAACTAGGCTGTAAGCGTTGGAGACACTTTTCGACCGATAGTTGCAAATGAATCAAAATCATGGAAGCATATGAAAAGTGCGCTCGTTCGCTAAGAATATGTAGGCTCATTCTTATTTTTCTTGATTATGGATTATTGTTGAACTTATAGGGGAGCACCCGAGACCCGTGCTACTGCCGCTACCCCATAGAAACGTCACTGCGGTTGGCACACCCGTCGGTTTGATATGTGTATGTCGTCCACGGGCGTTAGCATCCATCATGGTCCGTTAGCAGTACTTGGCGACACGAGTGCCTACAAGGGCGCCGTGCGTCGTTGAAATACATGTTGGGATCAACGTGCCATATCTTGATGATGCTTGGGTATCATTTGTCCAACTGAGAACACGAACTTTTTTTTTTTTTTTTGGAAATTTGGCACACATGGGTACCCGCTATAAGTTGCGGCAAAGGAGGTCATTGGCAAGCTTAAGTTGTGAGAATTGGCGACTGACTTGGGGGGGCGGGCTGGCTGTCAAACCTGTTCCTCTGACATAAGGTATTCCGTGTTCTTTGTGCAAGTTTACCTGTATTACTCCAGCAGGAGCATAGCCGAGCGGAGCATTGCAACATCTGGACGCCTTTTGTGAAATTGGAGACTATGTCTGTTCTCGATCTACACCAGTACAATTGTCGACCAATTGCTAGCGCCACGGCGTGCAAGCCAAACTTTCATCTCCAAGTAAAGTAGTAAGTAGACAGCTCTTGCAGCAGGATATTTTCACACTGCCTATGTAGGTCTTGTAACGTATTTTGTCGACGTGCTCAGTTGCTCCGGCGGACCAACCCGGCCTGTTGCGGCGAATGGCCTCATTTTCCTGTCGTTGCAGCGGGTGCCTTTTGCAAGAACAGCAGGTTCCTATTCTGGGGGCCACGAGGACTGATTGATTGCTACTGCCATGTCGGCTCCACTATCCAGATACGTACACTCACCACTACTTCGTACATGTATTATCCACGTCCCATTACGGAACAAAGACTACCTGTGTAAGTGGTCACGCGCAATGAGGCCTGTGAATCGAATTCTCCATGACCAAGGTAGCAACAGACCTCTTCCCGGACTGCTGAGTTCTCTAGTCACCCACACAAAAACCGGCCGTTGCCCTTTTGTTGGAGTGTTGGAGGCTAGTATGTTGAGTATTCTTGGTATCTGTGTAGCTTGAGGATGAGGGAGGGTGGTGTGGTCCCCCATTTGACAATACGGCCCCTTGTCATTGGACAGTGCGTACAAGGCCAGTGACGCTGCATTCTCGCATACGGAGAGTTGACTGGAACGTTATTAGGTCAGTACACACGGTATAGGCTGGTACCTACCTTTCTACGAAACTTAATTCACCTCCATTATTGTGTTACGGATTTTGATTCGAGCTTGGAGGGCTCCTCAAGAAGCCCACAATCTTTCTTCATTGCATACTGCACTTTTGTAAATTTGAAAAGGTACGTACACCAGCTGCCTAGGAAGCTGCCTGCAACATACTCCCTGCACTCATTCGACTGCATATCACATCCGCAAAGGGCCAATACATCAACTTGCCAACATTTCATAATCATTGCTGCTACCAAGCTTCGGCGTCATTTACTTGTTCTCCTTTGTTACCTGGATTTGTTTTCCCCCTCCTTCTAAACGTCCTTCACCGATAGGCAACCGACCGCCCTCGCCAACTCTGGGTCGTATACCTTGGTATATCCATTCCTTTGATGCGCTAATCCCTGCTCGAGGCAAGACTAGCCCACGAGGTTTGTGTGGCAGAAGTCGTTTTAGTGGATCAGCTGATAGGTCCGCTAAGCCAACAAGCCTCCTCGACCGACAAGGCAGCGCTAAACTCGTCAAAGCCCGCGCGAACTGCGAGGCCGCTGCCCGTTTCCCTCAGCGCCCAACGCCCTCTAAACGCCCAAGAGTCCAGTGCCCGGTAGGTACATTCATGAATTCAATGTACTGCTAGGCGGGCTCCTTCATTAGTTCATTCACATCCGTCTCTCCTTCAAGTGATAGTAAGTGTGTGACTCTCTCTGCCACACCCGACTTGCCGACCAGAGACAGATACACGAGACGAGAGTTTTCCCTATCCCAAAACCGTACAGCTTTCCAGTCATCATCGGTTACGGATCGAACAGGCACCTAATGTAGGTACTTGGCTGCCACGCCTTTTTCTTCTTCTACTGGACTCTTTTCCTATGTACGAAGTAACCTACAGAGTACCTAGCTCTCTCTCTCTCTTTTTTCTAACCTAACTGTCAGCCAGCTTCTTTCTGGCCCTTCAGATTTGCCGCACATGTGTACGGGCCCTTGTTCTCTTGAATGCTAACTCGCTCATTCACACACTCCCTCTTCCCAAATCAAACCTTGGAACTCGTCCCCCCCAAGTCAATCTCTCGCTCTCTCGTCTTCTCTTCTCTGAACTCACTGCCAGGGTGGGTTTCGGTCTCTACTTTGCACACCTAGTTTGCCTTGCCAACCTGCCTGTCTACACTACCACAATCATAACAACCAACCAATCCTACATTGCCCCTCTACATTACGGAATAACTTTGCTCATCTTTAAAACCCACACCATATTTCCATGCAAATCTTCCGCTGCTGCCTCGTTGCCTGTATGATCTAACCAAGAACCGCTGCTGCTAGGAATTGGCCACCTTCAAAAGACGCCAAAACCGCTGGCCTTTGATCATCGACAATTTTCCGGCAGCTCTTTTCGTAGGAGAGCTTGTTACCAGCCTCCACCTAGGCCCACAAGTCATACATCGATCCTTTCGATACCCCCAAATCCTCTCGCCTACCTTTACTATCTCATTATTACATACCTGGTACTGTCCTGCACCCGTCGTTCAAAAACCCCATTCGAGCTTTTCGCTGCGTTCGAAACCCATACCTGCCAAATCTGTGTGGTAGTGGTTCTTTAACCTTTACTGTCACCCACCTCGGCCGCCCTGACTTGACCTGCCGTCCCATACAGCACAATACGGCTACGGAATACATCAGCAGCAGTAGCCAAACTCTCTGGAACAACGACCTTTGCCAAGCCCCATTCACTCTTTCTTTTGCGCAATACACTACGCAGCTACCACGCAGTGCTGCCCATCTTCATCCCCACGGGTCTGACAAGCACGGATCCTTTCAAGCGCCTCTGCCCCTGCCGCTCGACAACCTATTCCGTGCCCCTCGGTGTCTGTGGTCCCCCCAAGTTTGACTTTGGGTACAATACCTACCTACCTATCTGCCAACCTACCTACCGTTGTCCACTGCTGATCCACCAAAACACCCTTCGGCTTGCTGCATCCCATCTACTGCATCACCGACAACTACTGCAACACCTAAATACAAAGTACCGCCTTATTACATGTCAACTCATCAGCATAGACTTTTCATGAAGTTCTGTTCTGATGGCTGAACAATGTATTGTATGTCTGGAAAACCTGGACGAGCAGCCCATTCTGGGATCTGTCTCTCCCACGGCTGAGCAGGCGGCTGCCTCAAAGGTGCAGCCAAGCGAGTCGGCGGTACCTGAATCCGCTGCGGCACCTGTACACGCACACTCGACTGCCACGGAAGGAAACGGCCACGCTGAACCCCTTGGATCCGTCGTCGATGACGACTCCAAGATCGCCGAAATTGACATTTGTGGCCACATTCTGCATAATTCCTGCTTGCGCGAGTGGACTGGAAAGGCGAATAGCTGTCCGATATGTCGCCAATCCTTCAACCTCGTCCATGTCTACGACAGAGTAGGAGGCACCAAGCTCGAATCGTATACTGTCGAAGACAAGAAGCAAGTTGCCGAGTTTGATGCCCAAGCATGGCTGGACGAGAACCCTGAAGACAACGAGCCCGCACAGCCCTGTATTATCTGCCAAAATTCCGACCACGAAGAACTGACGCTGTTGTGCGACAGCTGCGATGCACCTTACCACACTTATTGCGTTGGCCTAGACTGCGTTCCGCGCGGTCACTGGCTATGCATGGAATGTAATGCTCAGTACAGGGCTGTTACAGGAGAGGAATGGGAAGAGGCAGACGATGACGATGAACTAAGCAATCGGCGCTCAGATTATTTGCCGCGCACACAAGCGACCATGCGCCGTGCACGTCGGAGGGCACGATCGGACGAGTGGCAAGGCGCATGGGGTCAAATTGCCAGTCATATTTTCGATGCACTCGATCTTGACCTCGATAACCACGACGACGACGAGGCTCTACAAAACTGGCGGCGCTCGCAGCATCGTCGGGAGCGAGAGCGACAAGAGTACGAGAGGTGGCAACAGCGCCTCAATATAGCGAATCGCTTGGGCGCCGGTGATACTTTTGCCGAAAATCTGGCAAGGGGCCTTACCCACCGATCCCAGCAACATCGTCAGCCGACTCGCCCGCCGCCCCCTCCTCAAGAGACCGTTGAGGAGAAGAAGGCCTGGGGTGCTCTTGAGAAGGCTATGGAAGCTACCGCAAGCTCCGAAGGCTCGTCTTCCAACAACCGTCGCAAGCGAAAGTCACGTTCTGCGAGTGCATCACCAAGGGAGCCTGCCCCTGAGCCAGAACGCCGGCTAAAACGCCCTCGCACCCGTCGCATGCCTAATGCCAGCGAAGCTTCTTCGTCACGCCAAAACGGTGAATCGTCGAGGGCCAACCAGTCCCTGCTGCCAGCGGCGCCTTTGCAGCAAAGCCCTGAGCTCTCAGCCCAGGAGGGCGCGCCTACATTTCTGTCGTCGCTTCTCAAGGAGGTTGAAACTAGCAAGGGCTCTGATGACGAGAATGTTCGCAACTTTATCGGCTCATTGACCCGACCATCGATAGACGCATCATCACCAGCTAGATCTCCGTCGCCCTCCGGGCCCAGCAGCCCCCGTGCTCTCTCTGCTACGCCGCCACCACGAGGGATCGCCGACAGGCCTGGATCGCCGCTGTCCTTGTCATCACACATTGAACCGATTTACCCTTCCATGTCAAACTTTTCACCCAGCCGCCTGCGCAATGGTGGCGACCAGAGCGGCAGTGATTCCGAGTCAACGTCTCGCCGCTCTCATCCTCAGCAGGTGGCACCGCGTCAATCGCATATCCGTAACCCCCAACCTCGTCGGCAAACACATATCAACATCAATACTGACCTCAATCACACTTCTCATTCGCCAGAATCTTCACCAACACGCGAGTCTCTCCCACTTCAAACAAAGGAAAGCATTAGTGCCATGATCAAAGCTGCATTGAAACCACATTATAAATCAGGCAGTATCACGGCAGATGAGTACACTATTATCAATCGCGACTTGTCTCGGCGGCTTTACAAGGAGGTACCCGAAGAGTCTCTTAGCGAAGAGACGCGTCGACACTGCGAGAAACTGGCTTACAACGAAGTAGCCAAAGCCGTGTCAGATCTCAAAGAAATCAAGGTCTGATTTCCTTTCCTGTTTGTTTTGATGACTGCATGATACCTATGAGGCATGACGATTGGCGTTGTCAGAAGTGGGCGTTTTTGTTTCATGGCACAGCGTATAGCATTACCAGGGGAGGGGCATGCTTTTGCACACGTTTTAAGGGGTCTCCACCTGGTTAAGATACCCTCGAGAGGATTGCCACATTTGATTTTTGTTTTGCCGGAGTGGTCCGTTGGACATTCGTGTTCCAAAGGCATATACGCAAGCAATCTCCCCTGCAGATCAAGACGGCGTTGCTCAATTATCAATCATTTTGCCGCATAGCTTCTCTTTGAGGAATGGGTCAAAGCACCACGACATACATAAGAAGACGGAAGTAGTGAGGCTGTACTTTACGCAACTCGATTATATCGAGTCGGCTTGATCCAAGCATTCGGACAGGCGCGAACCAGTTTTCCCTACTTAGGCATACCTAAAGCTAAATCTGTGGATAGGCAGGCCAACAAGGAAATGATGGATGGATTGTACTACACCACGGCTTGTAGATAGACAGATATGGAGTTTGTGAAGAGAGGGAGAGGAAATATGACTGCTTACTTTTTCCCACCGCAAAATGCCCTAGCCCAGTTTCCTTTTGAGAGACCCCTTTGCCTCTAAACACATAGAGAGAGAGAAGATGCTCGAGCGGTGTGTATGAAATATGCACGTACACCTATATACCTACACAGAGACGATGCAGCGATTGACTTCCTCTCTTGAGAATCGTGGATCAAGCGGTCGCACAGCACCGCAGCGGCATTTCAAGTTCGGCCGACTGCATCTGCGTTGTGGCATGGATCTATGAATCTAGCCGGTGGCCCTGAGCCCGTTGAGATCCGACTGGCTTATGGGGGGTGACGGTGGGCTTTCACTGCACTGAGCCCATGCAGGTTTAGTGGAGGTTGCATAAAATGGATGAGGAGGAGCCCGGCAGGTGTTGTCAGCCTTACCCTAAACGTCTTGTCGGTGCCGCTAACGGACCACTAGCGCGTTGAGCGGCGGAGGAATCCAGCGACGCGGGACCTCTTTATTTGAAATTTTTTTTTCTGTGAGCCGCTTCGACTCTTCTTCTCTTTTCTTTATATCTCAACAAGGCGCCATTCCTTATCGTCAGACTTTCGCTCTCCTCCACGAAATTTTGACCATTTACGAGTGCCGAGACTAATACTGGCAGTCTTTTTTCGCTAGCAGCTCCTGCATCTACGGAACTTACTGGGCGGCTGTTAGATAGATACTGCATACATCTCCTCGTGCATCTTCTTACCTTTATTCCTCTCTGAAATACGTTTGTTCCCATTTACATACAATACACACGTGAGGGGGTCAATCTGCAGGTCGTTTGCAGTCCCAATACTGTCCTTTCACCAGCGACCTTCTTTCCACCTCTCCCAGCTAGACAGACACATCGTGATAATGCGGCAACTCCCAATGCGAAATTAATGGAGTCGTGCTTGTCCAGAGATTCAAGAAACCTTTTGTGCGATTGAGGAAGGTCTGTGGTGTGTAGGGCTGAGGTTGCCCAGCAGACCATGGTCCCGTCTGTCTGTCTGTTTGCCCATCTGTTCATCAACATTGGCAATGCTGCTGCCCGCCCAAGCGTTGCGTTGTTTTGTTTTGACTCTGTTCACGCGCGCATATGCACACGCAAGAATCATCACCCATCACATATCACCTTAAGCAACGAAAAGTAAGTGCTGGAGTCCGGGGAGGTTCAATCCATCAAGCGATGACTGTCCTCATGCCTGCCTATGTGATGAATGACCCCATGCTCATCAAATGGGGAATTAGGTATAGCACCCAGCCAGCCATGACGTCGCGTGTCAGTGCGCCGGGGTCGAAATCACCATTCGATAAACTCCCAACCGAACTCAAGGAGTTCATTTGGCAGTATTCGATGCCGGAGCATGTGCCGGAAATCGCCATCCTGCCGGCCGGGTTGCGCCCCATCACTCCCCTGGGCCCGCGTCCGGATGACTCTGCCGAGCATAGTCTGGTGATCAAGACTGCCTATCCGGTCGGAATGCATGTCTGTCGCGAATGGCGTGTGTTTGCCATGGCCAGAACGGCCTTTCGCTATTCTCAATTCGCCATGATGGACGTGCCCACGAGACCCTTTCGACCTGATTTGGACATTCTGTATATCCCTGCTTTAGTCTCGAATCCAGTCTGGTTCAGTAACGACAGTCGCTGTGAAGCGGTTCATCATATCGCCATGCAGTCGGAGACGTTTTTGAATTACGGTGCTCGGTCTCTGGCTCTAATGACATATTTCCGCAATATGGATACACTAACCATTATTCTTCCTGCTTCTGTCGGCCGCCACCCCTTGAAGACGACGTTCCCGGCGCCCAGGACGCGGTGCCGGCTCCGCCAAATTGACAACCCGGCACTAAACGACATTGACACGCTGGCAGTGATACAGGACTGCGGGCAGGGCAACGAGCCGCAGGAGCAGGAGGCCAAGGTTTCTGCCTTTCTGCATTGGGTCGAAATGGTGGTGCAGAGAACAGCACAGTACCTGCAAGCCACGCGGGAGCGAGACCCCAACGAACTGGTCGAGGCAAAACAAAGTCGGCTGCGTCGGCCGTTCCGAGCATTTGCGCAGACTTTTGTCGAATATCGATACAGAAACGGTACCGCCCACTGGGAGGAGACTCCTGGGGGTATGCCTTAGCACAGGCGAGGATAGTATCTTTGCCAAGATGACGCAAGCGTCATCACCATGATATCCACTTTTTCTTTTCTTTTGAAAGGAGCGTGATGAGATACCTCGGCAACAAGATGATGGCCTTTGAGCTCGGTCTGGGTTGAGGAGAATGAGTGGTAGTCGTCTCTCCATGTCATCGTCTCGAGCCATCACCTGGGCATCCATCTATTGAGCACTGGTCTACGATACGAAGGAAGTTGCCGCCCTGGTATCAGTATCGACTTAGGGCGGCAACTTGATGATCTGAATATCAATGGCTGAAGACTACAGGCAAATTGAATGCCTCATGGGTAAGGCTACTCGGCAGAGGACTATGCCCAAACGCGCGCACAACACAAAAACAAAAGATTTAAGCAACACTTGGGAGAGTTGATCCTGACTGTAGCCACGAGCGGACCCCGTCTTTGCTTTGTCATTCAACATGTTCTGACGAAAGTCGGTAAAGGATCTCGTCGGCTTGGTCATCTAGGAATGAAACACCAAGTCATCATTATCTACGACATGTCGATTTCTTTGTCGCATTATAAGCTCCAAAACAGATAGCGGATCTCATGTCATCAATATAAATAATCCATCTAGACTTACAGCTTAGGTAGCTTAAATCAAAAGACGCATGAGTCTGTACTGGGATCTTTGGTCCTCCTAATTTTGACATTTGCCTTGACGCCAGTGGATTCTGGGAATCAATCGTGAGGACAAGTGACACGCATGAGACTATAAAAACATGGATTCAGGAGATGGATTGCGCCTACAAACCACAAGCAGCTTGCAAGAAAAGGAAAACGAGAAACGAAGAAGATGTAAGCATACATCATGACATTCAAAATAAAACTTCTCTTTTTTTTTTAAGTCTTCCTCATTGCCTTTTGGATAATGCTGACGGATTTTCAAAGCGCGTGGGACAGTACCATGTAGTTTCAGGAAAGACTGCAGCGCGCCAGCGGCCGATGGACAACGTTTCTGTATCCTACACATGCCCGAACTTGTCCGAACGGCTCCAGCAGAATTCCTTGAAATCAAGGAGCAATGCCAAAGATGGAGCGCGCGACGATGCCCGAGTTGCGAAAGGCCGATACCGTATCCTTGTGACTGTTGTAGCTGGTGCGGATGGGATGGCTCCAGTCAACTCGACGCCCTGGACTTTGCAAAGGACAGGTTGCTAGGGTTTGTAAGCGGCAGCAATAGCAGCACGGCTACTGAGCATTGCCAGTTTGTAGTTGCAGGGAACCCCAAGAACGAAAAGACTGTGAAACATTGTCTCTATCCCGCCGAGACCAAAGACGGCCTATGCAAATACCACTTTCTCGAGGAGTATCATGCACGGCTGCGGAGATGCTCTGGGCAGCAGGAGCTCTGCAAGCAGTTATTTTGCACCGAGATAATATCCATAAGTTCCAAATCTCTGTATTGCGACTATCACCAAAACGTCCGCAGTCGATTCAGGGAGCTCGGCATTTGCAGAAAGGGTGCATGTCACAAACCAGCAAGGGGCGTCCATTGCGAGGAGCATAACAAGGAGGACAGGGACCAGCAGAAGGAGAAATACTTTGTCAAAAAGATTGAACAAGCGTTGGAATCAGAAGACATAGAAGGTGAGGAGTCACCGTAAATGGACAAGTACACTAAGTAGTCAAAACATAAACATACCACTAAACACGCGTCAACTTCTGTCTTATCAGAGATATAAAACGAGATATTCATCAGCTTGGCAAGATGTCAAGATTGACCAAAAAGAGTGACAAAAAAAAAAACTATCTAATTATCTAATTCGATCTAGAGCCCCCGTGTCCCTCTATGTGGTGGTATGAGCACCTTATTTGATCTTACTGGCTGGGAACAATTCGAGCCAACTGGTGGAATCGAACTGGCGCGCTTGTGGTATTGATGACAAGTTTCCAGAGCGCGCGATTAGAAACTTGTCAGGAATACCACTAAGCTATTGCAAACCCGAGCTCAGTGTTTTGTGTTCTTTGTTGAAAACAGAGCAGATTATCTTCATTTATTAGACCTCCAGTGGTTTGAGGAGGGGGAGAGGGGGAGGGGGTTGATGGTTTCATGCTGGCCGAGCAACGAATGAAATTCCTCTGAAAAGGTGCAAACGGCCAACAGCCAGCCAGTGAGAGGACTCTGGTTGCTGGGCAAGGCTGGATGAGGCGTGACGACGACGCGGACTAGTGTTTGAGCGTTTGCTTGGACTCTGATACTATGAATCGATACCTACTTATTGCTCGGTTCATTTCTCAACTGTTGGCTTGATTCATGAAAAGTGAAAGATAACCTCTATTCTTGAGATATCGAGACTTGCGACTGAATCATATATCGGTTTGTACATTCACAAGTCACGATAGCGATCCATGATTGCCGAGATGGGAAAAAGTCGAGCCCAAGCTTTTTGCTTACATTGTCAATCAACAATGGTAAATATCCTTCGACGACTCCAGCCTTATAGTGATATTGATCCTGTATCACGTATAACAAGGAGAAGGGTATTCTCGGATACACTTTATCGTCATTCGTATACCTTCTTTGGCTCACATTCGAAAGAGCCATGCTGCTGTGGACGAACTACCCGAGTCGTTGCCATCTCTGGTATACTCGGATGAGGCCGCGGCGTCGTTGGCCATCTGGCCGCCCGCGCTGCCCGTTCCCATCAGGAGCACTACGCGCAGCGGCGATCGGCTCGGAGCAGGCGGGGCCAGGGCTCGGTATGACAAAGTCCTTTTTTTCGCGGGCGACATGTCTCGGGCCGAGTGGTGGTCCCATTACCGACGGGGCTTATAATGTTGCGGTGAGCAATCAGATCATGTCATATCATATTAGACCATCCTCTTTTCTAGCCGCATATGTGATTGGTATGTCGAGTCGGTTTTGGGATCGCCTTCCCTGCAGGTATGCGATTTTGAATGATTCGCGGAGTATTACGAATCGAAATCTAATATTATCCTCTAGCTACACGCAGGAACTTTGGGGGAAATGGCGGTTGAAACTAATTTGGAATCGCAGTACAAGGGTCGTCAAGGTTAAATGGCCAATATAAGCAGGTAGTATAAGCTACAGAAATAGTACAATACTGACTCATTGCCATGACACTGAAGTCCACCATCTTTAATTCATAATGCGCACTAAGCTTATCCTCATATCTCGATCCGGCAGTATGTCACTCTCAACCGCCCTCTGGGACGGCGATCCACTCGGGCCGATCCAGCTCATCTATACTGATCTGTCTCCGTGAATAATCGTTATAGATCTTGATGGGTTTGACAGTCCTCCCCAACCAATCAATCGTCTGTCATATATCTATCTTCATGACCCCAGCGGCATTCTGAGGAGATTGCCTTTTCTACTCCACCGTCTCTTCCCTTTTGCAATTCACAAGGCCACTCACCAGGTTTGATGCCCCTTCCCCTGAAGCGGTTTCCTCTTCCAAGAGTTTCTCCAGCGACGGCGACAGCTCCACCGACTTTTTCCAAGCAATAATTCTCTCTTCTTCCTCGTGTAGACCATGCTCGCGCAGTAAATCAATGACAAGGACCACGAACGAGCCCCAGGGCGTCACCGGCTCGCAGTCTAGATAAATAACCTCCCTGCAGGCGGCGAGCATCTTTTCCCAGTCGTTTTGCGAGGCCCGGAAGAGAGCCAAGAGGAAATGGCTGCCGCGAAAGATGGTGTGCTGTTTCAGGGCAGCATAGGGGTCCTTGTCGCGGTCCGCCGAGCGCTTGTACCGGCTGGTGGCGGCGCAGAGGCGCTCCAGACGGGCCTCGAGGTTGCCGCTGGGCAGCTTTTGCACGAGCTCGATGCGCAGCAGCGCCATTTGGTCGCGCAGGACCAGGTGGTGGTCGGCGCCGTACGTCTCTTGGATTTGTTGGATGCGCCGGTGCTGGCTTTGCATGTAGTCGAGCGTCATGTTGTGGTCGGGCCATCTCGAGAGGAACTGCGTCTGTCCTGATATTGTGGCCAGGTCTGTTCCTCGTAGGGATCTGAAGACGTCGATCCTGAGGCGAAACATGCTCTGCATCCACGACACTACCCTCTCGGTGCCGTAACGTGTTGCTTCTAGGAGACCTCTACACATTAGGGTGATGGGATGGTTTCCCCAATGTATCAGGGCCTTGAGTCGATGGGTTAGCATGGTACCGTAGTCATAAAAGACTAACTTGCGTTTACATGAAATCATACCTGTTGATAAACGTATCTGATTACGCACGCATGTTAACCAACGTGTCCACATGCACCACTCAAGGCAATACATAAAATAAAGAGAGAAGGTCTTACTTGCTAAAGGCCATGAGCACTTCGACGTCGTTGACGCCTGGGAACCTGATGAGCGGATCACTCCATTCCACCAAGAGGCCAAATATATTGAGAACATGATCGTCCTTGATGCAAACTTCAACATCAAGAAATGCCAGCCGCAGAAACTTGCCGCCCTGCTGATAATCGCCGCCCTCAAAGTGGCTGACGGCCTGGTCAATGTAGCTCGGGAGTGGTTGTACCGCCAGGCTGGTGAGCAAGGTATCCCCTTGCCACCGAGGGTCCCGGGCGGCCCATGATGTGATGAAGATGTCCAGGGCCCGGCAGCTCTCATACAGGTGTCGAGCGTACGGACTCTCGTGCAGCATTAGCCGATCGGCGGGCGAGGTCGGGGGCAAAGGAGTTTGGGCGGCGGCGGCGGCGGCTATCATTTCCGATGACCCTGGCTCCGCCTGCGGCGCTGAACGCCGAGACTTTCTCGGCGCTCTTTTCTCTGGCGGTTTTCTTTTTTCGTTCTTTGCCCACCCCCATTTTGGGAATCGGCTCTTGTACATCCTTGCGCTGAGGGTAGATATCGTGTGTTAGCACTACTCCCTTTCCATGGCCGTAGAAGAATACGTAGAAATGGCATAGCGTACGTGGCTTTGAATCCATGCTTTGTGGTCATGATCTCAATGACCCGCGACAGAGGTAGATTCTGTACCATGTAGAGTTCCCGTATGATGGGCGCGGCAAAGTCCCAGTCATGGGCGTCCTGGGGAAACCGAGCTGCTGCGACCGAGGTGGAAGACATCGATGACGTCCTTACTGCCAGAAACGACGGCGGCGGCGGCGGCGACGGCACGACGGACTCATGTCCGGCATCATAAGCTTTGGACTCTCCATACCCGCCAACAGATGCGTGTCGCCACGATGTGTCATGCAATGCGCCGAAGACCATGATTTGTACAGATCATGATTGAAAGGAGTGAGTCACAGTTCTGTATAGGTGCTATCGAAAAGTCCAGGAGTTGTCAGGGATCAGCAGCAGGGCCTATTTGAAGGTAATGTTGAAGAAGTCACGCATACTCCAATCAACCTGATTGTACAGGTTTGTGTAGTCAAGCTGGCAAGCGATGAGTTTTCAGAGCTCAAAAGATTAGTGCAACGGCCCTGCAGTCAGATACCACCTCAATTCAAGGTGCGAACCGAGTTTGACAAGTAAAGAAACTGAAAATAGAATTGATAGCGCGTTACCCCACGCGAGATATTTGCCCGGCCCTGGTGGGAGGATCAACTCGGCAGTGATTTCATTGGCGATGATTGGCGTCACGAACCCCTGGACCTCCAGGATCATTGGACCCCTGTCGACTTTCAGCTTTCTGGAAGAAGATCCTGGTCGTACGTACTGGGCATACGTACGTATGAATGAATACTCCTTATTCATGTATGCGGATATCTGCCTGGGAATGCACTCAACCAAACATGAACACGTTCGGAGTTTTGGTGTATGATATATAACCCACCATCATTTCTGGGAAGTTCTGTTGATTGGTCCAATCACGACACACAAGTTATCTTTCATTTCCCTCTTTTTAGTATTATATGTTGAAGATCGCATCAATATGCTTAAGCAGTTAAACCTTTGAGATGTTGCAAAACCTGGGAGGCCTCATTCCTCAATGTTCTCACCATCTCACCTGCTGGCAAGGCTTGTTTCACAAGACCGACTCCAGTGCCCCTACGAGAGAGTATTAGTACTATGTACCTAGATATTCAGTTCTTGCAGTCCAACTTACGACCAAGTCACCAATCTAGCATGATCACCACTTTCCTTTGCGGCCTGGTACCGTCTCTCATTCTCTTCGAGGGTCACGCCGGCCTGGTGGTCATGGTATGAATGGTGAACAATTGCTCTGCCATCGTATAAGTCGGGCCACTCTTTATTGCCCTGAACATGGTCGTGTATTTGTGATCTATATATTGAGACACGTAGTAGTCAGCTTTTGTTTTCCTTTCACTGAAGTATCAAGATCAAGATACAAATGGTTTCATGGTCTCCTAAACTTACTTGACTGTATTCGTGCCACCGTCCGACGTTGAGAGAATGGCCTTGCGCTTATAGTCTTGTGCCGATGATTCATGAGCGACCATGAACTAATTGCCATCAGTTAGTCATCATGAAACGAGGAATGAAATCGTTTGGGAAAAAGAGGGGAAAAAAGCTTGAAGAAATACCCTCGTGCCCACAACAGCCGCCTCGGCACCCAAGGCCAAGGAAGCCACCACACCACGGCCATCCGCGATGCCCCCAGCCGCCCAGACGGCAATCTCTCGGTCCGGAAATTCGCTTCTCAGCATATCCACCACCTCGGGCACCAGACTAATGACACCAGCGCCGCTGGCCCACTGGTGACCACCGGCATCCACGCCCTGGGCCACAATGACATGGGCCCCGTCCCGGGCCGCCTCCCGGGCCGCCGCGACCGTGCCGACCTGCACCACGATCTTGAGGCCCCACTCGCGGCCGGCCGCAGCCAGGGACGCAATCACCTCGGCCGTCGTGGTCGCGGCCCGCGGGGACGGCGCAAAGAGCCACACGGCCGCCGGCCGATGGGTGCGCAAAATGGGCGTCGTGGTCTGCGCAAAGGCGCCGAGCGAGGCATCGTACGTGACAAAGCCTACGCCAATGGGCAGCACCCCATCGTCCTTCTCTCCTGCACTGCCGGCGGCGGCGCCTGCTTCTTGATGGTGGAGGATGCTTTTTGCTTGGAGCGAGAGCGACTGGCGCGCTGTTGTGAGATCCTCGTCGAGCTTCTTGAGCGCCGGGGACTCGGGAGAAAAGTCACGGCCCCCAGTAATGAAACCTGAAAGTAGCGTGATTAGTTCTTTGCCTGGCGCGAAGGCGGATATCACATTCCGAGCATTGGATATTGTGAATGCCATAAAAAACGTACCCAATCCACCTGCCTTGGTCACTTCTGTCGCTAGTTGCACATTGGTCACAAAAGCCATTGGCGCCGAGACTATCAATGGGGATGATGTTGTAGGGAACCATTTCTTCATGCTGGCGACTGCCGTGGCGGCGGAGGAGGAGGAACGTCGCAAGCCAGACATGATTTTTGTGGTCTTCTTCTTCTTTTTTTCTGAATATTCTTTCTTTATTCTTATCTTCTTGCTTTTCTTCTCTCGCTTGCGCAAGCTCACAAGTGTAGATACCGAGGCACAAAATGTGTAGGTTCGATCATACCCTGTGCCCCACAAGCTGTGCATTTACACACATGAGGATCAGAACGGCGCCTCAGCGGGGCCGGAGCCGGGTCCGGGTATCGCGGAATATGACCCGCTCTAGCCGGGAAGCCTTGGCTAAGACAGGGCTTATTTTTTTATTTATTTAATTTTTTTTTTTTTATTTTTTTTGTTAAAAGTCAAGTCTTGTCTAAAAATAGAGTCTCACTAATTGAAATACTTGCTTATGAAGTTGACACTGAAATCTCAAGACGAAGCTTTGAGACAAGATGAGATGGAACATGACCCAAAAACAACGAAAATATTCGTGCGACCCTGCGGTCAATCTTTTGACATTCTACATGCATATGGGGAAAAAAAAAAAAAACTACTACCATACACTCCAAACGCCACGAAAATGATGAAATTGGCATAACTTCTACCCAATTTCAGAGGCTGGGATATCTCTACTAATCGCCCATTCAAGCATTGACTTCGGCAAACCAACTCCTGAGAAGGCCTGCCAAGGCGCCCGGGAGGTCCTCCAGATTATGTACAATAAGGTAGTAGCGGAACGGGAAGCTGTCGAGGTAATACTCCATGCGCATCTCGCCCGTAGTGTGGCCGAGATCGTCCTTGATGAATTGCACCTTGCGCAGGTTGAGAACACTGTCGCGCTTGTGTGTCGTAGTGTCGTCCATGACAATGAAGACAATCATGATCCTCTCTTCATGTGCCTCTCGCAAAAGGCGACGGATCTCGTCGTGCTTGTCCGATGGCGTGAGACCATCAGACAGAATGAGGGCGAGCTGCCACAGGTCCTCGGAACCACGACCTGGGTTTTGTAGACGTGCGGCGCGGAAGCGCGCAATCGTTTGACGAATCAACAAACTGATGTCCGTATGATCTTGGTCAAAGCTGAATTTCTGTAGCACTTTGGCGCCAGCATCGTGGGATGCAAAAGGCTCGGTGAACTCATGAGCCATGAATGTGTTTGCACCGAAGCCGAGGACACCGACCTGGCCAACCTCGAGCATGGTAAGCGCTCGTGAAACCATGACTAGGGACTCGAGAGCCAAGGTGCCTGATGATGACTCGCCCATGGATTTACTGTCATCAACGCAGAGCAGAATCTGGTACGATCTCTTGGTAGGGATAGCGCGGCGCATCCAAATCTTGTCTCGCTTGTAGCTCGAAGCGATGTAGGGAATGATACGCTTGATGTTGAGACGTTTACCCGTACGGTACGAGCCAGAGAGCTTGGTGGATTGCGATGGCGTAAGAATGAGGCGAAGCTGGGAGGTGAGCGAGAGAGACAGTGGGTTTGTCTTTGACTGGAAACTGGTCCACTGCTGCATGGACTCCTCAAAGTCTCTCAGCTCAAAAGCTGGTGCTGACAAATGTGTAGACTCGAGCTGAACAGATGTCTCTTCCACGTCTTCCTCTTCGTCTTGAATTTCGCGTTCTACTCCTTCCATGGGCGGGGTCTCTTCGCGGTCGTATGCGCCTTGTCGAGTCGAGACACCAGTGCGCGGCTCGTCTGGCTTGGTATCTTGCTTGGAAGCTGATTCAAGGGGCTCCGAGGTGTCCATCTTTTCGGTCTCGGCCGTGTCCTCACCAAGTTCATCCTTATCCTCGGGCTGGATGTGATTGTCTTGAGCTTGTGTCTCGTCATCAATGGCCATGGCATCGTCAAAGGGGCGTGCTTCATCTTCCGTGGCCGTTCCGACAGCCTGCGCATCGGCTGCCGACTCGTCATTCTCGAGGTGCTGGAACTCCCGCGAAGCCATTTCCTGCTCGCTCGCATCGGCCTTGATATCCTGTTGCGGTTGAGTCTCCTCCTTCTTTGCCTCTTTGATGTCGCGCTGTTGGCGATAGAACTTCTCAAGAGCGTCGCCCAGAGCTTTGAAAGGCTGATCGTTGGATGAGTCCTTGGCGTCATCCATCTCTCCATCAGCAGCCTGTTCTTGAGCTTGTGAGACGTTGCCCTTGTTTCCAGCAGAGGTGTCTTGGTCAGCTGCACTTTCTCCCATCTCGCCTCCTTCTCGTTCAGCAGCATTTTCCTGGGCACTATCCTGCTCTTGTTCCTCTGTTTGATCGGCGTTCTGGTCTTGACCGCCGCTGCGAACATCACTTGGCGCGACATCGGCCTGACTGGGGTCCGTTTCGTTCTTAATTTGGTCCTCGGTTTTCTCTTGATCGTCAAGCTCGGGGTCGGCTTCCATTTCTTCATCCTCCTGGATGTTCGCCTCCTCATTTTGCTGCTCTTCCATCTCAGCATCATCCTTTTCCTCTTCCGTAGGAACATTCATGGTGCCTTCGTCTCCATCTCCCTTTTCACTCTCATTGTCGCTAATCTCGCCCTGCTCATTGGTATCCTGTTCTTCGGCATCCGATAGTTCGTCCAAATTATCGTCACTGATTGATGACAAGTCATCGTCATCATTGCCGTCAATGTTCATATCGTCGGGTAACGCCAAGGTCTCCTGTTCCTCGACATTTTGGTCTTGTCGGTTCATGTCGTCGAACTGAACATCCTCGTCTTGTTCTGCACCAAGCTCATCGTTCTCTTCCTCCTCACCTTGCTGGTCACCATCTTCATTTTGAGCATCCTTGTCGTCCGTATTTTGATCGGCAGCCATTTGCTCATCCTGCTTTTGCTGACCCTTAGGCTTGTCGCCCTGTTGATCCTTCTCGGCATCTTCCTCATTCTCACCATCCCACATCTTCTCGTCTACCGCATTGGGGTCCAGGTCATCGACATCGCCCGACTCTTCGTCCATATCATTCTCGCCATCCTCCTCATCGCCAGACTTGGAGCCCTTGTCATCCTCGTCCTCATCAGCGACGCTTCCAAGTTCACCTTCCATTTCTTCGTCAGCCATGTCAACGGCATCCTTCTCATCTTCAATCTCGCCATCTTTCGACTCCTTGTTCTTCTCCTGGGCGAGTTCAGAGAGGTCCTCATCGGGCTGGATATCCTTGCTGATATCCTCGGCGCCCTCACCCTCGCCCAGTCCTGTACCACTTTCCAACTTGCCGCTTTCACCAGACGTCTCGTCCGACTTCTCCTGGGGAGTACAGAAACCTTGCCCAGCCAACTGAACAAACGTCTTGCTGAGGCTGAAGGCCATCTGTGTGACGTCTTTGTGGAAATGTCTGTAGACCGAAAGAGCGTGCTGGCAAATGCTCCAATAGCGTTGGATGATGGGAGAAGCCACGGCCGAGAGACTAGCAGCTAATTCTCCAACTCTCTTGTCATCAATCTCAGCACCAGAGATGGCAGTCATCGTTGCCTGGAGGCTTTCGATGATCTTGGGTATATGAAGAGCCCGGAGAGAAACAGACATGGCATTGTCGTATTGAATAAGCCACCCCGCTTGGTCGCTCGAGGTAGGCACATCGGCGAATGCTTTGTTGTAGCGCTCAATGGCGACGAGGATACTGTCAGTGAGTTGCTTGAAAGAGGCGAGTAGCTTGGAGGGGGCAACCTGATCAGCGTTGATAGTGTCAATATTTTGAACGTCAATGGTCGTCCAGAGAAGAATTTGCTCCAGGATAAAGGCAAGGTCAGGACGAGCTTCGCCGTGTACCTGCAAGTCTGTGGCGAGTTGCTCCAGAATTTCCATTAGTTGATTCTCAACGAGGCGCTGATCCGTAGTGACAAGTCCAGGAGGAAGCATGTTGTTCTTCCAGTTTTTCTTCAAATCGTGTAATCGCCCTAGGTACGACTTGAGCAATTCAACTAGTGGAGTGTTGTCAGAAGAACTGAATTTTCCGTGAAGCCGGACAAGGTCGACACCGAATGAGAGGAGCGCCGTGATCCAAGCCAGAATTTTGCTTGAATTACTGCGCGTCGACTCTCTGGAGATACTGGTGGCCGATTGGGCATTTGTAAATGCCGAGAGCTTGGCTGCTTGCTTCACGAACTCGCCAAAGTCGCGGCCAGTAGTAGCTAGGTTGCGACGTTGATTTAGAATGCTCTGCATCATGCTTTCCAGGTATCCAATACTTCTGGTGACTTCAGCGCCAGTGAGATCCTCATTATGAGTTTGGGCAGCGCTTCGGAAACGTGGTGCAAGGTCAAGCATCTTGTGGAAGTAATATTCTGCACTTGTGCTCTTCTCAAGTTCCGATTGGAAAGCAGAGTCCGGGGGCGTGGTTGAGAGCACTACAGATAGAGATTCTTGCTGGGCCAGAACATCGGTACCCAGGTTGTATCGGAATCCCATGTCCCGGACACTTCGGAGGGTCTCTGCAAAGAGCTTTCTCTTTCTAGATTTAAGGTGCTTCACCAAATCCTTGTTCTCATCAGTCAGAAATGGCGGCGTCTCCTTGCGCAACTCCGTGGCCGAGGTCTCCAGGTCCGACAAGAAGGCGGAGACGACCTCGGAAGCATCAACACTAGACGATGGAAGCTGTGCCATTTTCGTCATAATGCGCACAGTCTTGGACACATTTGCCAGTCTCTTGTACGCGGTCTGCCACTCAGGAACGACGTCTTCACAAACGCGCAATGCCATGTCATTGACATTGGGAGCTTCACCGAGGCTTATTGCAGACATAGGGGAGCCGTCTTGAGGCTCATCTGGAAGACCAGTGCCGATGATTGCTTGCATCGGTTGTCCGAGGACATCGCGGAATTTGCGCACGATTCTGAAGAGCTTCTGATGAGATTTGCGTGCACTTTCGCGAAGGGCAACAATGTTGGTGTCTTTCCAGCTCGCTAGAAGAAGTACATCCTTCATCTGTCTCTCAATGGGTGCTCGTCCCTTAACAATGGTCTCTTCGGCAAGCTTCTCGAAATGCGCGTAGTAGCTGATGAAATTGGAGACGGCATCGCGAATGATCGACATGGCAGGCCAGTCGACTACGAGGAGCTTAAGCTGTTCAAACAGCTGTCTGAGTAAAGCCAAACGAGCCACAAATTGGCCAACGACAGCAGTGGAGAAGTACGCCTCTAGATTCTTCAGCAACTCTGTAGCGTGGGCAGACATGTCAGCCCCGGAATGGGCCAGTACCATGGGTCCAGCAATGACTGCCTGATATGCGATGAACCACCAGGAGTTGGCATCATCTTCACACTTCTTAGCCTCCATGTCAAATAGGTTGCTCCAGGTGGAGAGCTCAAGTCGTCGCCACGAGACAATCATGTCTGTCAAGTTGTTGTAGATAGTCAAGGCGCCATAAATCTTCGGCGCCCAGCCACCATGCTGCCATTCATAAACGTGTCCATGTAGCTTCTCGAGCAAAGTGATGACTTTCGCCAATGGTTCCGTGTGAGATAGATCGAGCAGGGCGTCACATGCGCCAATGACATCAACTAGAGGCTGCATATGGCCGATCTCATCGACCTGTTGCAATTGACGGAAACGTGCCCTGGTCTCATTTGCCAGTTTGACGAGCTTTCGAGCCTCAGGGAGGTTCGGGTCGACGTAGAAGTTGTAACTTGTTGACATTGGAGTCGACCTGAAGGCCTCCAGCTTGTCGTCCAAGGCCAAGAGGGCCGCGGGAAGCAAGGTACGGTCAGAGGCTTGCTTCTCGGCTGCTGCACTGAATTTGCGAATGGCGAGCTTGCTGAGATCTTGTATGCTCTCCTTGGGTGGACGTGGGGCAATAAAGATTCGCTTGTGCACTTGCGCTAGCTCGATAGCCAAAGCGCGAGCGTCGCTGATCTTCAATGGTTGCGATGAATCTTGGGCTTGGTCATAGTCGGGGAAGAGTTCCTGGAAGTCTTCCAGCTCCTTGGCTTCCTGCTCGTCATAGCCATCGCGATAGCGGTACATGCTCTTCTTTTGCTCCTCAGCCTTCCGGTCGGCCTCGAGCTTCTGGCTCCAGCTGTCATAGAAGGAGTTGATGGCGCGGAAGAGGATCTCGCGCATGCTCGCATCCAGACCTTCGGTACTTTCGACTGAGACAGCTGCGGAAATGTAGGATAGCAGACACATTTCGTCAACGGTACTGCCATTGAGTGGGCTGTTGTCAGGTGTGCCGCCCATGAATGGCACTAGTCCTACAAGATGACTTGATAACGGCTTCTTAGAGGCAACTTGTATGAGAGCCCCGTCGGAAAGGGAAAGTCCAATCTCGAGGCAGTGCACAATATTCAATGCTGGAGCGCGGAGGTCTTCATATTCGCTGTTCTTTCTCCAGCTCATCCTATGAAGAAGTGCAGCAACATTCTGCTGAACGACCTGAAGCTGCAGGGTTGCATCCTCGTCACCAAGGCAATGACGCGCCAGTACTGCTGGGATGTCTGTATCAAGGACAGCCTTCAGAATGTTATTGAAATGGCCCTGTAGCTCCCGCAGATCATCGCCACGTAGACCGCCCGTCGATCGGTAGACTGGGTCCAGCAACTGAGGTTTTGTACCAAGGTGGACAATCTCATCCTGCACCAGTCTACTCCGAAGGTTCGTCGATTGGCCAGTAAGGAAGCTCGAGAACTTTTCAAGAGACGCTAGCTGCTCCGACAGAAGTTGAAGCCTCTCCTCGTAGCTTTGAGCTTCAACAAGAGGCTTCAGTTGAGGATCGTAGATCTTGTCCGGGATGAAGAGTTTGATGGTACAAACACTGAAATGAATCCATGCATTGGCCAGATACGCTTGCCTCGCTTGGGCGTCTTCATTTGCAGCCCACATCGAGATGATGGCTGGAACCAGATGCTGAAGGGTTATTTGGGCAAGGTGCACAGGAATCTTTGTCGAGAATTGTGGAGTAAAACCCAGGTTGTACTGCAATCCGGAGTTCGTGAGCTTGACACATGCTTTTGAAGCGCTGTTTGCAATTGCGTCTCTGACTTGACTGAACTCGACGCTGAAGTCGGCACCAAGCGCTTCAATGAGGTTGTTAAGAAGTACACGAAGGCCATCGCCCAATTTACGGAGTGGGTCATCCGTGATAGCTTCAGAATTTTGTGCGATCTTCTTTGCAAGAGCAGGCAACTCAACATCCAACATGTGCATAGCTTGAAGCTTGATAGAGCCGCTGGATTCAAGTCTTGAGACTAGGCGAGTTGACAAGCTTTCCGACCAAGCATACACAGGCGACGATTCATTGTCTTCGCTCAAATATTTGAGTGTTCTGGGTTGCATCAGGTAGCCAGCATATTGGAGGGCCTGCGATGAGGGCGTGCTGCTCAGAAGCTGCAATTGAGTGAGGATAGGAAGATCCGAAAGGACAAGCGCCTCATCAACATGGGTGTTGATAGCTTTTTGGCGTGCCATTGATTCGAGAGTGATTACTTGGCGCAGATACTCGAATTCACCGGCCATGAAAGGTCGGGTGGCAAGATGGCTCTCAGTCTCGGAAGCCAGTTTCTCGAGCTGCTCACGAACAGTTTTGATGATATCGTCGCCCTGGGGAACATCTTCTCGAATCAATTTGTACGTGTTCGTTAAGGATGTGATGACCTGGGCGAGCTCGAGCACAGATGCCCTATTGTCCCATTTCAGACGATCGAATTGGGGTGCAAAAGATTCCAAGGTGTATATCATCTCCGAAAGATGGTGATTGGCGATGGACATTGGCCTGAATCTGGTCCACAATGACTCGATACTCAATCCCGTGCTCAACCTGAAGCCTGCAAGAAAACTTTCAGTGAGACCTTTCAAAATGTACGACCCAAGTTCCCGGGTCACGACATCATGAGCATCTTCTGCGATATATCTTGTCAAAGATTCTGTGCCAATCCGTAGATGAGCTTGGAAGGCCGCCTCATCAAAGTAAGACGTGACGTTGCCAGACAGCTGCGCGAAGGTACGCCACCAAAAGTGCATCAAGTTCTTCAAAAAGTGCTTCCGCTCTGTAAAGTCGCCTGGGGTTGTGAGTTGATTCTGCAGGTAGGTCTCTAGTGCACCAAGAGTACCTTCGAGAAACTTGGCTGCCTCAGCCGTGGAGTCCTTTGCGAAGTCAGGCACCTGACCAGCTCTGCAAGAGCGTTGGAATCGGTTGTGAGAAGAAAGACTGAGACCTTCGCTGTAAACCTTGTCCAGTTCACTTGTCATCGAGGATCGTGCTTTGAGGATGTCCGCGTAAATCTCGTAACAAATCGCTAGCCAGGTCGGCATACCAAGGTCTTGACCGGCCAGTAAAGGTTGAACGACAGCATTGTGCAATGAGTGAATCGGCTGCACATCACCAAAGCCAGGGTATACATGGTCAGACAATTGCCCGTATACCACCTGCAAAGCATTACACATCGTCGTGGTTGTACCAGTAGCAGACTTGGTAAAGGACATGAGCGAGCCGAGTGCATGGTCCTGTGTGCTCGATGCGCTCTGGTCCAGTTGTTCTTGCGGGCTACTGTTGACTGCCGGACTTCCAAAATTACTCCAGTATCTGGCAAGCGCAGGCAAGTCCGAGAGACTCAAGTTGTCAGCAGCGAAAGGTGCTATGGTGGAATTGTCGGTTGCGTCAACAGAGATAGCCGCATTCAGTAATTCGAATCTCGAGAGGCTTGACTCTACTTGTGCCATCTTCTGTTGGTAGGTAGGTCTGCTCGCGCCATTATGGTCTAGATGGATCTCGATAGCACGATTGCGCATGGCTCTGGAAAGCTCTCCGTAGCGTGGGTCCATGGTCAGGAATACCCTAAAGTCGGGATGAGGGTTGATGATTCTCGGTTCTCCATTTGGTCCACAGTGCTCATTGATAATCAAACAGCCGTTAGGCTCGAGCAATCCGTTGAGTCTGTCAAGCACCGATGCGCTACAGAGATTGGCATTATCAAGAACGAGCCACTGTCCTTTTTGCAAGGCATGCACGATGATGCCATCCAGCCACTCGAATGTAGGATCGCGGATACCGGTTGGTCTCAGCAATAGTGACTGCGCGCGGGTTAAAAGTGTGGCTAAGTGAGAGTCTGCAGAAATCTGACTCTGCAGTCCTTGGATCAAGGATACGAGCCTCGAGTTATCACCGTTTTGGGCGTCGACATCCTCGAGCGCACCTAGTAGATCAACAGCATACTTGGGAGCGGCTTGAGGCAGACCCTGCAAAATAGACTTGTGAAGGGTTTGGCTCAGCTCTTGGAGGGCAACATTGACCTCGCGTAGAGGGTCACGCTGTTCAAAGCCTCCAACCAGATCCATCGTATCGATATCGGCATTCATCGGGAAGGTCACAAGAGCCTTACCAGACAAAGCCGCAACGTGCTGCAATAGAGCCGACTTGCCACTACCAGAAGGACCTGCAAGAATACAAGGCAGGTTCTGCTTGATGCAGATCAGAACCGATTCGATCTCGGCCAATCGACTGACAGGATCGATGCAGGGGAATGGAGTCGGCTGGATGAGCTGATCTCGTTGAATGAGTGCTAGTCCAATCTGCACTACCTGAGCAGTCCGGGTGTGGAACAGCTGGTGATCTTTTGGCACCGAGTCAAATGCGTCTGTGAATAGTTCGTTGACGTGCTGCCGGTCTGTGGCATTGCGGAAACGCTGTCGGATAACAATATCCAAGAAGTCATCAACGTTGCCAGTCTTCAGGAGAGGGTCTTGCGATGTCAAGAGGTGCAACCATCGAAGAGTGTCACGAAGGTTGAACTCCCATGGTGCACCTTGGGCTCCAAATGCTCTTTCCACAACAACCTTCTCATCCAACTTGGAGATGAACCTGATCAAGTTCTTGACCGTCTCTGCCGGAGCACTGGGGAAGTTGTGCTGAGCAATGAGAAGAAGATCGTCCTCACTGAACACATCGGCATAGACAACGATGAAACGGTTGACGAATGAGCTGGGCAGGCCCTTTCGTCCACCACCCTGGTGATGAGGATTCTGCGCCGCAAAGAGGCGAAAGTTTGGGTGGCGCTTGAAAGTTTGATCAAGTTCACTGATGTAGACCTCGCCACGATGATCAAGACAAGCATTCAGACCCTCGAGAACTGACTGCGAAGCAAGGTTCATCTCATCCAGCAGAACCCACTCGCCATTCTGCATAGCGCGCAAAAAGGGTGCATCCCGCCACGCAAAATTACCCGCTTCTGCACCTTCGACGGGTACATCAGTACCGAACAAGTCCATCAGATCCGTCTGATCGGACAAGTTGATTCTCGTCAAAGGCTGCCCACAAGCCTTGGCCAAAGCGCTCACCAAGGTTGTCTTACCGACACCGGGACTTCCCTCTAGGAGGATAGGCTTGTGTACCTGGAGTGCTCGAATCACTCGCATAGCATTGAGCTTGGTTGTGGGCGCGTGTAGGGCAAAGCCTGTTTCAAACGACTCGTTGGCCGCACGGCTTATAACAAAATCGCCGATGCGAAGCTGTTCCTTCTCAACAACAAGATCCAACGGCGCTCGATAGATGGATGTAGCATTGGTTCCAATGAGCTCACTCAGCCTGTCAAGACATTGCTGCCTCTGGGAGTCCATGCTCCTGGGATCAAGAGCGATGAGGGCCGACGGATTAGCACCCAGCGTATCGATGAAGACAGTGGCAGCACCATGAATAACTGCTGCTGCTGGAGAGATGTGTGTGCTTTCGTTGATGAACTTGACCCAGACTAGGATATCACGGATCGAGAAAGCGCTTGCAGCTGTAGAACGGTAGGCCTGGCCGAACCAGTACGAAAACCCAACGATCACAGGTGCAGCCTCTTGGAACTCCGGTTTCAGCTTCGACTTGACAATCTGGAGAACATCTTCATCTCCGGACAGGGGCGGGACCCAGATCTCAGTGAAACGGTTCCTCAGAGCAGGCGATAGCTCTTTCTTGCCGAAATCGCCTCCAGGGTTCATGGTTGCGAAGAACTTGAAGTCGTCGGCAGCTTTCACAAACGAGTTGTCGATGCCCTTCTCAGCAAGTAGTAGCGTCCGCGAGGGCTCTAGTACTGAATTGAGTCTTTCAAGAACAGAATCATCCGCAAGCGAAATCTCATCAAGGAGGAAAAACTGTCCGCTTCTCATGGCTTGGACCAAACTTCCATCGGACCACTCGAAAAGTGCCTTGCTCTTGACCTCATTTACATGAATTTTTTGCTGGAGTTGTTCTGGGATTTGGGCAGCTTGAGCAGCATCGATAGCATGGTACAGTGGTAGCAGCTGATCAACCTCACCATCTACGGCTTGTCCAAGAAGCGCAAATGCCTTGACAAGGTCTTGGTGCAGTGCTTCGAGTACAGCTCCACGGTTTCTGACGGGACGTTGCGATCCAATCAAGTCACCGGTCTCTGTGTTTTGATGAGCGTTGACAATATGCAGCTCTTTACCAAGTGCTTCAGCCAAAAGCTGGCATACTGTTGTTTTGCCACATCCAGTCTCACCAACCAAGAGGACCGGCTCGCTATTCTCCAAAGCCTGTGCAACCAAGACGTAAAGACGACGCATAGCATTAGTCCAAACGACACCCTGTGAGTTCTCCTTTGATTTGAGTTGAGCAAGATAAGGTGAAGTGTTGACGTCGTACAATTTTTCGGGGTCGATCTTGACCTTGAAAACCTTGTCGATGACCTCCTTGACTGCGACACGCTCTTCCTCGTCTCGGACTCGCTCAGCAAGCAACATGAATCCATGATTCGCAATCTCCTCGCGAGGCAGAGCTCCAGGCACGGTTGGGGTTCGGATCGCAGCACCTCGCAGAGCCCAACGAAACAGATCTCGAAGTGTTGCAAAACTGTCCTTGTTCTCGAAAAGTCTGCTCGACTGTCTCAAACGAGCGAGTTCCTTGTAGACCTCAACGATCCTCTTGCAATCGGACGGCGCTGTGTGGATGCTGCGCTTCTCCAAAATTGTCTGCAGCTCGTTCTCCGGAATGTCATCGAAGTGTAGCTCGAGGAAACGATTTCGAAAGGCACGAGATAACACCTTGCGACCTCCATACAATCCTGGCGGGTTTTGAGTCGCGAATAGCATAAAGTTCTCGTGTGGTCGAACAACTTCCTGAGTTTCGGGTATGAGCAATTCCCTATTGTCGTCAAGAAGACGGTTCAATGCTTCCAGAACATCTGTTGGTGCCAGATTCAGCTCATCCAGTACGATCCAATGACCTTCGCGCAGGGCCTGAACCAAGAGACCTTCTTGGAAACGAAGCTTTCCATCTGCGCCAGAAACGTAGGTTCCAAGGTACTCCTGCAAGTCGGTATGCTCGTGGTTGTTGATTCGAACGAACTTGTTACCGCTGAAATTGGCAAGAAACTCGATCATGCTAGTCTTGCCGGATGAGGTTGGGCCCTGGATGAGCACAGGAAAGCGTCTTGTCGAAGTTGCGCGGACAAGGTTCAGAAGGTTCCTCTCAATGGATTTTGTGATGATGTAGTCCTTCCTTTCTCGCGGAGTCTCGACTCCTTGGAGTAGCCAGTAATGGCGGTCTTTGTCGTTGTTCTGGAATCGGACGTACTGCTTGCCATCATTGGGATGCTTCGGGGGCTGTGACAGTATTGATTTTGCATTGCCGCGCTTGTCAAGCAAATGTCGGCGAATTTCAGGTGTCAGAAGATCCTCAGAATCTCGACTCAAGAGCGTCAAGAAACCCATGGAAAAGCCCTCGTACAAAGCGCGGCGGAGGCCGTAAAAGGGAGCAATGTCATTGACGTAACTGAGAACCCTTGTCAGTGTTCGCAAGCTGAAGTGAGGCACCTCATTTGCACCATCCACAAGTTTCTTCTGTTCTGCAAGTTCTTTCGTCTTGAGGTATAGCCTTGCAATGTCGTCAGCGGCCTGCTCGTCTTTCGAGCTGTTGCCCTTCAAGTATGCCTTGATAATCGTCAAAAGGTCCTTGAGATCCCTGTCCGGACTGCTGACGTATAATTCGGTGAATCGCGACCGAAGTCCAAGAGGCAGATCCCTCTTGCCGATATCGGTAGCTGGGTTCATGGCACCGAATATCCGGAAATCAGGGTGGGCTTTCACACGCTCAATTTCACCCGTCTCCGACAATAATATTGAGGGTTCGTCATTTGGCCCTGACGCGAGCAGATCCGCAATGCTTTCCAAAGTGTCCGGCGACGCCAGATTGATCTCGTCCAGCAAGACCCAGTCACCATTTCTGGCAGCCTTGACAATATTACCCTCGATGAAAGCAAATGCAAAACTCCCAGAACCTCCCGAGATCTGAACATCAAATTGGTCCAGGTTCTTGTCAAAAGCATCCCATCGTGACTGAAGATCGCGCAACGATTGCAATTTTGACCCCGTCTTCCTCCGTTTCACGGAAGGCCGATCCTCACTTTCCTCAGCAACTGCCTGCTTGGCTCTATTTTCCAGTTCAGCAAGAATTTTCCGGAACATCTTGGGAGCTTCTCGCCAGAGTTTCGAGACTTTCGTCCACTGGCCTTTAGCGATGCATTTTCCAATCGACTCAAGGTATTTCTGGTTCTTGTCGGCAGAGATGCCAGTAGATGAGAACAGATCTTCAAACTCCTCCTTCAGGGGCACTGCCAATGTTCGCACGTTCACAGGCTTGAAACCACCCAACAGATCGCCGACTTCACTTTGCTGTGACAGGTTGACAGCAACGAGTTTATGACCCAGGACATCAGCCAGTTGCTGTACCACGGTTGTTTTACCAATTCCAGTTTCTCCAACGAGAAGAGCCGGCTCGCGAAGCTTGACGGCCACGGCAATTTGCTCCAATAGCCGCTTTGCATGGCTGGTGCTTGCAAAAGTCTTCTTCGGTTTGCTGATTCTGTTACCTCCCATCTTTCGGCTTAGCGCAGTCCGGCCAACTCTGAGACTGGTCTGCGTCTCCTCCAAATGAGGCACATATGCATGGAGATAGTGCTCAACCCTTCGAGGAGGCAGATGCATCTGCTGAGCAATACTGCTAACAAGAGTGGCGCGCACATCAGGATTGGGAATGCTTCCGCAAAAGCAGTCGACTGCTTCAAGGAAAATCCAGTCTCGGGTGGTCTCGCTAATAGGTTCTTCGCCTGTCGTGCAGCCAGCAGCAACCAGAAGGTCGTTTAGGCGTCGACACCATTTGAGGAGGTCTCGCGGTGTGATTGATCTATCCGAAACGCCCCGTCCTGCGACGGACCTTGAAGGCAGGCTGGCCAATCTATTATATACTGATATAACATCCGGTGAGTACTTGTGGAGAAGTGGAAACGTTCCAATAATGATTTCTTGGAGCTCGCTTGATACTGGCATCTTTATAGAAACCGCGTGCCAAAAACGTTGACCAAGCAAAGTCGGCAAACTCTCCTGATCGTGCATGCCTCTTGTCGTTCGCACGGTAGCAAAGAGACGGAAACTGCTCGGCGCGATTATAGTCTCGCCTCGACTCGGAATGAGAAGCTCACCACGCTCTACCAGAGGTAAAAGTGTGCTCATAACCTCATTTGGTGCCCTATCCAGATCCTCAATCAACACCCAGCGGCCCTCCCTAACTGCAGTAGTCAACACACCAGGCCGCCACGAAAAAGAACCTGGTTTTGAGTCGGTTGAATACAAGCCAATCAGCATCTTGGCATCTGTTTGTTCATTCAAGTGGAGGGTGACCATGGTAGAATCCATTCCGAGCTCGCGCGCCAGCTCATTCACCACTGAAGTTTTGCCAGAACCAGGCAAGCCATGCAATAGCACCGGTCCAGATTTCTGAAGAGTTCGGGATAGGCTCTCGAGGTTTGCAAGAGTTGTAGACGAGTGCACCAAGGACGAAGACGAGCCCGGTGCGCCTCGGGGTCTAGGAAGCAGGGTGGCACCATAAGGAACGACAAGAGGCGTAAGAGACTGCAGTGGAAAATTCTCGGTCGGGGCGTTGTGAATAGTATCTTTCAATTCTCGTCGAAGATTTTCTATAGCGCTTGCTCGCTTCTGCTCATGCAAAGACAGAAAAGTGTAATCCACACGCTGACCATCAAAGTCGCCGATGAGCGAGGTTCCTCTCTCCTCGGAGGTCCTCAGAGCTTCAGCTTGCGACTCATAATCATAGGCTAACACATTATCCGTCGCAATGTATTTGCTAATGAGCACCTCAAGTTTTGCATCCGAGGCAGATAATAATTGGCAGAAAACCCTGATTGCCAAGTATCTCACAGGTTGCTTGTCGTGTTCGAATAGCACTTGTATCTGAGAGGGCTGCACAAGCTTGCTGAAAGTCCGCTTGTCGAAACTGAGAAGTCGCCATAGTGCGATAAGAATGGGTTCCAAGGTCTGCGATGGCAGGTTTAGAATTTGTGGTGTATCTAGCGAGATGATGCGCAGACGCTGTAAGTCGGATTCGCCTGGATCCGACGTTTCTCGCAAATACTTTTCGAGAAAAACTGATAAGTAGGGCGCGAAAGGAAGTATCCTTGCAAAAGCAGAAATAACTTCGTCACTTTGCGCTCGATTTTGGGGGGCAAGGAGCCATCTTGCGCATATGTCGGCAAAGACGTCCTCAAAATAGGCAAATATTTGGTTGCTCGCCTGAGGGAGCAGCGCTGCGGCAGCTACCGCATCCATGAAATTGGTCGCGGCATAATTCCGAATTACCTGAGATAATTCAACAGGTAAATTGGTCAAGAGTTGCTCGTCAGCTAGGAGATGCCTCCGGTGGGAGCTGACATCGATAGTCGCCATGGCTGCCGCAGAAGCGCTCGAGATGCGCCTGTCGTATGGTGAAATCTTCACTCTGAAAATACTATCAATAGGCCTGCGACTTTGCCTTCTGCCCGCCAATGCGACTCGCTATCGATAACTTTTTTCTGCCGCCTAGAACCCAAAAAGTTATGGGCCAGGGCGACCCCCCGATCTGCAGGCGGTCAGAGCCCAAGAGTAATGGTTGGCGGTGATTCGTCGGGCCGTTGGTCGTAGTGGGTCCGCGTTCCGTGTCCCAGCGTGCATGGGCCGGGGCAGCTCAAATTTCGAAGTCATCGCGAAGCTTCAATCCCAAGGGAGTCCGATCAGTTGCGTATTCCACAATTCAGCCCATCCCACCCAGCCGCCATGTCGTCGCCGTGCAGAATAGCAGCTCGCAGCTGCGCTCGCTCCATCCGAGTCCGAAGCTCCCTCCGCCCCTCCACATCATTCATCCAGAGGAGGTGCGAATCTACAGAGGCTGCCGTCTCGACCAACCCAAAGATCGCCACCATTGTCGACCAGATCAGCCAATTGACCCTGCTCGAGACTGCCGACCTTGTCTCTTCTCTGAAGGTAGGTTCGAAACGCATGGTACCACACATAGGTTGCGCCAAGCCCCTCAGTCTTGGACTGTGATATGAGCACGCGCCACAAGATCCAGAAACGACCCCATCGAAGTTCACGCACGACTTCACTATCAATTCACCCAGAGCAAGACCCAGATACTAACAAGACTTGCTGCAGTCGCGTCTCAACATTCCTGATCTCCCCGTTGGAGGTTTCGCCGCAGCACCGGCTGCGCCAGCAGCCGCAGCCGCAGAGGAGGCCGATGAGCCCGCCCCGGCCGCACAAGAGAAGACTCTGTTTGCCATTAAGCTGCAGTCTTTTGACGCTGGCGCCAAGGCCAAGATCATCAAGGAGGTGAAGGGTCTGCTCGGTCTCTCGCTGGTGGACAGCAAGAAGTTTGTCGAGAGCGCACCCAAGACGCTGAAGGACAGCGTACCCAAGGAGGAGGCTGAGAAGATCATGGCAACGCTGAAGGAGCTCGGCGCTGTTGTCACGATGGAATAAATACTCTCTACACAAGAACGAGGCAATCTGGTCCGCCGGATTTGTGTACCATAAGGCATGGTTATGTCTACTGTCTACGAAATCCACTCATGGTTTAGGGGGTGGATATAAATGGCAGATATAGAAAAGGGAGAAATGTGCATACATGTACCTAACTAACCACACTGTAACAATACACACAAAGATGTTAGCATCTCAATCGACGCACCGGGGAGAAACTCTTTTTATGCAAATACAGTCAAAGTCTACCTATCCTGCTATGGGTATCATTGCGCCATTGCCGAGTGAATCGCATATCGGCCAATCGCTGCCAACTCATCTGAAAACCATACTCCGGCCTGCAATTATACTATACAACAGAACCAAATACCACTTGAGAATTTCTCTGGATCTCAGCCGTGATTGTTGATGCGGAAACGTTTCCTCCTATGCCATTTTGAATTCGCAAAAAGCAGCTTCTTGAACGCCGTTGCAATGTCCCTTTTGATCGCCTTCCGTGCCCTGTGCCACCGCAAACACCTGCAAATGCTTTTCGGTCATGACCGCCAAACGTCATGTTTCCTCGGCGGCCACTCATTATTTTATCTTCATATTTGGCCTTGCTCTTGCGTTCGATCTCGACCCAGTGTAGACCCCGACTCCAGCTCTAACCTCGATTCCGTCTCAGTGATCAACGAGGTGAGTGTAGGCGAATCCTCTCGCCTCTATCGCAAATGATTTCCGTTCATGCGAACATCGCCCTCCAGATCTGTCGTGAAGCCATTCTGGGTCCGGTCATGAGGCTTCTTCTTTGCTTGCTCTCTGGCAAGATACTCACTTCTTCGGGCAGCTTGATCGACACCAGTGCCTGTGAGCTCGACACACTCGTCTTCATCCTCCTGACCTAGACGGTCATCATCCTCACCGCAATCGCTTACTTCGTCCCAGAGCTTGCGGAGCTTCTCCTCTTGGTCCTTGGGAGTAACCCACATATTCTCACGCATCTTCTTGTGGCGCTCACGATCCTCCTCAATACGCTGTTCAATCTGGCGTTTCTCGAGCTTAGCTGGCTTGGCTTTGGGGGCATTCGCATCAGCAATAGCTGTTGTGGCCTTGTAGTCAGTGCCTTTTGCCGCACTATCAGCCGTGCCATTTACGGGACTTGAGAACCCCAGGTCTGCGTGGCTAGCGGCAGCACGATCTTTGAGACACTCTTCAATCTCCTCTACCGTTTGCTCTAGAAGAAAGCCCTTGCCCATGAGGCCACGCAGAACTTTGCGGACGACCTTAACGTTGGCAGCGCCAGACCCATCTTCGGGACAGACTGCATCGACGACGCGAATAATGTCGCGCTGCATCCTCCTAATATAGTCGTTGCCATTTCGCTCCTTCTCGGCCAGCTCGAGGAAAGGTTCAATGAAATACATGATGTTGGCTCGGGTATTCATGGAGTTCTGCGTGTGAAAATGTGGTCAGCGACAATTGTTCGTTACTACCGACCCAAGACCGATATTATCCACTAATACACACCTTTTCCAGCTGCTCCAAGATACAGCTGTGCAAGTCCTCGCTCATATCCCGATGCTTCATGGCATACTGGGCGGCCTTTTGGGCTGAGACCACACTAGCATTGAGGTGTTGCAACTGGCCGCTGAAGCGCATGCGAACCTCAAAAGGGTCGGCCATGTTCAAGTCGTAGTCCTCTATAATCTTGCGCCTTCTGTCCTGTTCAACAATCTCGGGGGCCTTTGCCCAATTTCGAATATTTCTAAAACTCCAAAAGGCAGGCTGTGTAGGACGCAGTGATGCGAGGGCGACACTGAGGGGGATTAGAGGCTCGTCGTCTTCGTCGTCGTCGCTGTTGCCACAGTTGGGAGGATTGCGATCAGCCTGCTCTGGTTGAGGAACGAAAGTCTGTGAAGGTCTGTGTCTCTTGGTGGAAGATTTACGGCGAAAATTGCCCAAGAAATCAACCCGGGCGTCTGTCCAAGACTTGGACTGGGAGCTGTCGTGAGCTTTGCGCTTGCGGCCACGATTTCCCGAACCGTAATTAGTCTTGGGATTATTGGGCTTGTCCCTTGGCTGGTGATGCGATGATGCTCTGGTGTAGATATCCCAGTGAGGGCTTTGTGGAATCGGAGTGGGCGGTCGGTTGCCTTGGGCGAGTTCACCTGCAACAGCAGCTGGATGAAATTGTTGTCTAAGGCTGTCGTTGGCGGCGCGAGCGAGATTGCGCTTGGCACGCAGCTGATACTCGTCGTACTGATATTCCTGATTACTGCTCAAATCCTCGTCCTTGTGGCTGACAATATTGTGATCGGTCAATGGGGTCAACAAGCTGCTTGTGCTGTGCGCACGTTTGTCGTCATCAGGTTTGTCGCGAGGTTTGTCGCGAACTTGGTAGCTGCTACCCTCTGGTGAACCCTGCCGGATAGACAATGGCAACCCCACACTGTCGCTGTCGCTGTCGCGTCTATGGTTAAGAGCCTGACGCCGATCTAACGACCGTGCACCACGGCGCCCCTTCCAGGTGCCGCGGGGCTTTTTCTTGCATCGGCGAACACCCATTGTGGTCCGACCGTGTGGGCACTAGAGACCTCAAGGTTTATGTACCGATATGATGTCGAAATGCAACCGCTAGGCGATTTCAGGCTCAATGTAGTACGTAAGATGGCTAGACCAAGCTCAATTGTTTGTCGAGGCTCATGCGACTTCGGATCAAGTCAAATGGAGATCGCGGGGTATCGCTGAATGAGATGAACTGGATTGAAAATTGTCGCAACTGCTCAGGACGGGTTTAATAATAACAGGTACCTGTCTGCAATCGTGTAATAATTCCAGAGCGTGCACACTGCAAACACGAAGCTTGGTTGAAGCGGGGTCCTGAGGTCCTCCTTTTTTTGAAGCTTTGATTGACTCTTGTCCAAAGCTGTTCAAGGGATATTCTGTCGTTGCATACGAAGTAAAATAGTCGTTACTGGCAAGGCCCAAGCTCTTGGCGCTCTTTTTTTACTACTACTATTTCTAGAGAACTTTGAAATCTGTTTCCTCCTGTCTCCTTTTCCCTATCCTGCGATTTACAACCATTTTACCACTTACACAGACTCGAGTCTCGAGATACTTATTATTATAAATTCAAGATGCTAGCATTACCGTCACACCCAAATGAGGGCGGAGAGCTCACAATGGCGGTGCTTGGATGCGGTACGCCTTTTTCACAAAACGATACAGTTGCAGCCAAATAAGGTTGCAAGTGATTTCGTAAAGATACCATGCCATTTTTAACATCACCTAACATGCTTTCTTGGAAACAGGCAACATGGGCATTGCCATCCTATCTGGCATTCTGGCTTCTCTGAACTCTCTGCGCGGGCCCAGGCCGCTTCAGTCCGACCCTTCGGCTCCTGCTGAGGAGGTTCCGGCCAGTTTGCCTACCCGATTCATTGCCTGTGTCCGCACCCCGGCCACTGCCAAGCGAGTGAAGAAGGAGCTCTGGCAACATACTTCTTGCGTCAAGGTGGTACAGAAGGACAATGTTGCGGCTGTACAAAGGTATGCTCATCCTTGATAATAAATTCACCGATTGCTTGCATCGCCGGCCCGCGTTTCACGAAACGGGATTACCTTGCCTTAGTCTGATGCACGGCAAGAACGGCGCCGCCTCTCATCAAAGGGAAACCCTTGCACATGTGGCTGCAGTCAGAACTCATCATTTCTGATGGTGCAGACTTCGAGTGACTTAAACCGAGAATACTGCACCCAAGGATAAGAATGAGCTAATGCGTTCTCCTCCTTAGATCCGAGATCATCTTGTTGGCCTGTAAGCCCCATGCCATCAAGCCTATTCTGTCAGAGCCGGGCATGGCCAAGGCGCTTCATGGCAAGCTGCTGATCAGCATCTGTGCCGGTATCACCGTATCGCACATTGAGAGCATTCTTACAGCGTCCGAGCCAACCTCGGTGGCCGATGCAGATGCTGTGGATGGCAGCGACAAGAACCGAGTCCAGATCATCCGCGCCTTGGCCAACACGGCCAGCGTCATCGGTGAGGGTATGACCGTCATTGCCGACAGCAACGTGCCGCCGCCGCCCCAGGTCGCTACCCTGGTCACTTGGATCTTCCGCCGCATTGGAGATGTCGTCTACTTGCCCGTCCACAGCATGGATGCCTCCACCGCTCTTGTTGGATCTGCTCCTGCCTTCTTCTCCCTCGTGCTCGAGGCCGCCATCGATGGTGCCGTGGCCATGGGTCTCCCTCGCGACGAGGCTACCCGCATGGCCGCGCAGTCGATGCGTGGTACTGCAGCCATGGTGTTGGCCGGCGAGCATCCGGCCTCCGTGAGGGACAAGGTGGCCACGCCCGGTGGCTGCACCATTGGCGGTCTCCTCGTTCTCGAAGAGGGTGGCGTTCGAGGTGCGGTAAGCAGAGCGGTAAGAGAGTCATCCTCTATTGCCAGTGCCCTGGGTCGCGGCGAGACTGGTGTCAACGGGACGAGGAGGCATGGCGGACATCACGTGAATAGTTGGGAGTAGCTACTTATTTGGTTGTTGGATCGTGTCAAAGGGAAGTAGGGGGTTTTACGTTTGGGGAAATATGTATCTCGCTCCAACTGTTCACTACTGATGTCATTTCTCCTACCAAGCGGTGGATGATTCATTTCGTATCATTTTACACATCTAGAAGCCATAGACCGTATATAACCTAGACTGAATAAAGAAGTAACACGAACTGCAACTGTGGTGCTAGCAGATTTGACTTGCGAAATGCAACATCAATACACGAATATAACATATTCTCGTCTCACTATGAAGTCTTTTTGTCCGTGACTAATTCAAGGGGTATGTAAATTAGGTGGCATCACAACTCGGATACAACCGGGTTTGGCGCAGCCATATGAGAGCTTTCTTATCCACCAAAGCTCAGTTATTTTCCAGTCCTTTTCCTTGTCTGCCGTTCTGCTCGATATTGCAGAGTCAGGAGAACTTCAGTGACCGCATTTCCATGCCAGTCACATGAGATCTTGGCCAGGCACCATGGGCGTACATTGTATCAAAATGAAAAGCATCATCTCAAACACTGTCCACCTTTGCCTTCTTCGACGACGGCTCGCCGTCTTCTCCACCGCTAGCCTTCCTCTTTCCCTTTGCGTCCGTCGTACCCTCATCGTTCTGCTCGCCTAGTCTAGGGGCATTCAATCTCTCGAGAATGCGGGCGTACTCCCATTCCACGTTCTCCAGAGTCTCATTCAACTTGATGATTCGCTCCGTAGTCTCAAATTCAGCCAAGACTCCCACGTTGCGACGGTACAAACGCTGCTTCAGCAAAAGGCGCCATTGTGTGTAGACGTTCTTGTCTGCGTCTGAAGGCTTGCCAGTCTTGGGCGGGTCCATGCTCTCGTCTGTTGACTCGGGGACTGGGCGCACAGAAAGTGGCAACTTTGACATCAAATGCATTTCGACGAGGCGGTGGAACTGTCTGGGAGCAATCTTTGTCTTCTTACGAATGGATTCAAGGACATCAATGTCGACAATGGCCTTTGGAGAAATGGCACTGTTTGCATGTGTAACCTGTAGGTTGTGGTGCAAGATTCCACCCTTCTGGGGGATGGAAATGTCGGGTTTGATAGACAGCTCTGCAAACTCTGGGACGTTTGCGCGAAGGTACTTCATGTCGCAGAGATCGCGGAGGAGGTCGAAGGCTTCATTTGGGTCTTCAACCGTGACCTCCTTGGTCATAACGTCCTTGAGCTCAGTTTCAAAGATGGTGTTGTAAAGCATGGCGCCACAGCCCTTGCCTTGGAAAGGAGGGAGAATAACGAACTGTGATATCCGCGCGCGGTGAGGAATCTGCGAGTATGGCAAATCTCCCTGGGGCAGCTCCCATGACTGGTCGACCTTGGGCTCAAGAAGCTTTGGCGGAGTTGAAGGGGGCGTAAGAGACTCAAACAGCCAAAAGTTGTACACGGTAGAATAGCCTTGGAAGGTATACTCTGCGAGTCCGCCGTCGGTGGTCTGTTTCTTGTACAGGAAATACACGTCCCATCGTGCAAGAGAGTACTCGGGTTCGTCGTTACCGTCCGCGTCCTCGCCAATGTATGAACCGCCTTCGATGTAGAGCAGAACCAGAATCTGAAGGCGCTTAACCAACTGCTTCACGGTTTGGTCTGCAAGATTACCCTTCCAGACCTCGTAGGTTTCACCGTCGCGTTCGAATGTCTTGATCAGCTCACCCGGTGGGGTCCAGTCTGTGGGCACTGCCTTTACGGCAGCCTCGAAATCTTTCTTGTTTTGGAAAGCGACTGCGCCCAGTCAGCGTCGAACATAGAGATTCTCTTGGGGGGAATGACACGTACCTCCAGGCAGGAAGTTCTTCAGAGTGCCAGCGACATCGAGTGCCTCAGCCTCACCGAGAGTCTGGAACTTCTTGGTCGATGAAACCGAGAGATTTGGTCGCACATCACTAGCATTGAATTGCAGGTTGATTTTCAGGCCCTTATAGCCAAAGATTTGCTCTTGCTCGCCGAAGATGGGATACGAGAATGTAGGGTGGAAGGACTCGACTTTTTCGAGGCCCGACTCGCGGGGGCGTACCAACGAGATGTTGAACGCCTCATTGGCATCGACGATCCCTGTGGTTTCATTAGCATTGCGCAACGGCTGCGATCTCGGGTGTATATTCAAGGTGTCGCATACACTCTTCGTCGCTGGCCATGGTGAGCCGCGTTTGTGGCAGTCCTGTTGCCAGGAATGCGCTTTGTTTCTGACTCAAGTGAAATTGTAGATCTGGCGGGTTCTGCCAGTCGGTGTAGAGGCTCTGGGCTCTAATTATGCTGTTATTGGTGATTGAATTGAAAAGTTGATTTGTTGAGCTTCAATGCAGCTTTATGCGAAATCAATTAAACGCGATACCTTGAACGCGCTGCTGCTGCATCGTCCTTAGGCGCGTCTCACTAAATTGATGGGGCAGCAGACGGCAAGCACGGGCCACAATTCTTTTAGCAAACCGCACCGGGGGGACCCTTTTGATCTTGTACCTGATCGGCCTCTCGACTAATAAAAAGAGCTGTCTGTATTAGTATACTAGATAGATATCCTTGGGCGTTATTCTTATCAGATCAACCATTATCTTGTTTGTCGTCCCTATATTATTCAATGATCAATGACCGAAGGTCTTGACTTGCGCCTTTGAATTTATTTCCCACAGATAGGATGAAAACTTATTCTTTCATAATCCATATTCCTTGTGTCCATAGATTCAAGGAACGTGTCCTCTGTATTAAATATTCCCCTCAAGTAATGCCTAGCAATGTGTGTGGCGATACATGGGAAGTCGGCTGTGGTTATGCACTTTGCTGCATTCATTTCATTGTCCAAGGTTTGAAGATTGAAGAAGAAGAAAACAAGGGACAAATAGGCATTTACTCCAGAATAACAGTACAGCTTCTCTGCATGAAATATTGATATCTTTGTATGGCGTATGGCAGTTTGATAAAAGTTGACCCTAAGATATCACCACCAGTATACCTGAATCTAGTCCCTTGAGAACCTTGAAGTATCGAGACTCAACCGACTCTGCCTGCAAACCTATACCTCATTAGCATGATTCTGGAAATCGGCACCAAGAGCCAAACCTATATAGAAACAGGTGGCTGGTAGCTGGTGTTCCCGAATAACTTGGCTGTTTTCTTTTCTTGCAGGCACGCCGAAGAGTTCCAGGCTTTGAAGCTGAGAATTTCCAGTACAATATCTACAGTTATGATCGATATATATCAGTGGTTGAAACATCAAGGTGCCTCAGATATGGATGTGGTCCAGTAGCTATGGACCGACAATGGTGGTTTTGATATCTGAGTGAACGGTTCAGCGGCAGTGACGTGACGTACGATGGTCGGTCCAGGGGTTTGGTGGAATGCGACAGGGGTTCGTTAGTGGATCGATGCTGCACCTAAAAATGTACATTTCCAATGTACCAGGGAGGTAGCTCGCGCTAATAAAGCATTGACAAGTACCAGACCAGCCAAGCAATTGATTTGATGGTCCTACAAATCCATCTGCCTTTTTGCTTTCGGCAACAGAGGGAGCAAAGAAGAATCAACGTTTGGGAACCGGCCCGCTCTCTGCAAGTTCTTGCTTTTACAAATACTACCCCCTTCTCATCGGCTCGAACGAATACATTCTCTGTTCGTAAGGGGTTTTCCTGCTACTTCTTCTGGATTTGGACATCGCCAATGTCTTCGTAGCGCAATACCTTAGGAACGCTGAAAGCTCAACGCTACGTACGCGAGATCAAGAAGCCACCATGGCAGGAGTGATGTTGTTACTCGCCTTGACGGTCAGTTTTGCTACCACAACCACCCACACCGGCCACCCAAGTCTTTACAATTGATAAATGAATGATGCTGACTCTTTTTTCATTCAGGCCGTCATGGCTATAGCGTAAGCCCTCTCATTCGATCGAACCAGCGACTTGAGGTCCGAAGGAGAAAAAACTGATGTCCGAACAGGTCCTTCCTAGCTGGTGCACTTCCATTATCCATGTCCTTGTCACAATCGCAACTGCGCCTCTTGTCCAGTATAGGAGTTGGAATTCTCGTCGGCACATCCTTGATTGTCATTATACCTGAAGGCATATCTGCCATTTCGGAGGCGTCGTTGGGGGCGGGCCACACCCATGGAGCCCGGAGAGACGTTTTGGTGGGACGAGCCGATGCCTTGATGCACTGGACAGGCGATCGCTACGAGATTGACACGGTCAAGACTGGGCAAGTCGACGAACAATTGAAACAGACACTACCAGTCATTATGCCCGATGCCGATGCCTTCGCCAGCAGTACTGCTGTTGGTCCACGAGAGGATGACCCGCCCACAAAGACACCGTCCGAGCACCTCCCTGCGCCCCCTGAAGCGGTGCCTACATTTTATGTCGGATTATCATTGATACTTGGTTTTGTCCTCATGTTCCTAATCGACCGCCTGCCTCGCCATGCTTCGGACAACTTTACGCCTCCACCAGCCCCGCGGCACATCAGTCTGAGCAATCTGGGGGCTTCGGATCTGCCCGGCGACGAGGACGAAAGTGAGGGTTTCCTGGGCAGCCTGACACCAACGCCTAGACAATCGAGGAGCTTGGCCACCACGACGGGTCTCGTTATCCATGCCGCTGCCGATGGCATTGCGATGGGCGCTTCCGCCGCCGGATCGGACATGAAGTTGGGTTTTATTGTGTTCCTGGCTATCATGATACACAAGGCTCCGGCGGCTTTTGGCTTGACATCTGTCCTTTTGAAGCAAGGTCTGTCGAAAAGAGGAGCCAGGGGCCATCTGATAGTCTTCAGCTTGGCATCGCCATTCGGCGCTTGGGCTACTTTCATCCTGGTAAATCTCTTGGGTGGACGAGCAGAGGGGGGCGAAGCCGGCGAATGGAACCAGTGGTGGACCGGAATGCTGCTACTCTTTTCTGCAGGCACATTCTTGTGAGTACTTGTGCGGATTCTCTCCATTCAGACGGACACTAATGCCCATCGTCACAGATACGTGGCAATGCACGCAATGCAAGAAGGCGAGGCTGGCTCTTCTCACGATGTCGTCAACTCCAATGGATACGCAGAGAGCCCGAATATGGGCCCAAGGAAACAAACAAGACCGCAAATGCGTGACACTATCGCGACCGTCGCAGGGATGCTGCTCCCTCTGTTAATGCAGTTTGGACATCATCACTAGACTTGTCCATGTTTCATGGCTGTATAATTCCTTGAAATGAGCGATCAAAAGATGTACGAGAAAAACTTTTTGGGAGTTGAAGGCAATATAGACAGGGCGTTGTTCGGCCGGATGTTTTGTTTTCGATATAGTGATGGAGGATTCAGGGAAAGAAAGTGGAAAAGTCATGTGTCCTGATACTGTACGACCACGATAATCGATGATAGCGGGTTACCCTACGAGACACCATGATGAGATATAGATACGCTTTTGTACGATAGTGCGTATATACCATTGTATTACGAGGCGAAACTGCAAATGCTATAATGAGCCAGCCATGTTTTGATGTTTGCGGCTCACTGTTCACTTCCTGCACCATTGCATTTGACTCGGCAGTTTTCCTGTCAATCCATCATATTCACAATAAGTCACCTGAACATCGCTAGCTCTTTGTCAAAGTTCTCTTATATATCAATATAGATAAACCAATGGTTTTACTATAGTAAGCCGATAATACTGAACGGCCAAGCGCCAAGCATCCCAGCATATTCACATTAAAAAAAAAGTCTGGTATCCGTGCCCATCCTTCCTGTTGGTGAAAAAACGCCACACGCGAACCTCCTCGCGTCTATGTGAAAATTCGAAGTCCCGTTCCAAATGATATCATGCTCCGAGGTGGTAAAATAATGCCAATTTCGTCTGTTGCCAACGCCTAGCCATGCAATTTGTGCCAAGTATGCTTACTGCTTTTGACAAATGATGAAGCGTCAAGTGTATGTAACCTTCCCGTGTCCTCATCAACCAATAAAAGTGGGTAATCATGTTTGAAGAGTCTTTCCAGCCTGTCTGAACAATGGCTGACCTGGAAACTAGTGTTCCTCTTCGTCATGGAAAAAGGTTGTAGTATGAGTAGGGGCTGTCGAAGGTGCAGCGTCCCTCATGTCGACATCTTCGTCGTCAGTCGGGATAATGCTCGGCAAGCCCAAAGTGGAGCGTCGATAGTCGAGGTTCAAGGTCCTTGCAGGCTCCTTTTCTGCAGCTTGGGGAAAAGAGACTGGGCGATCGGAATACACGTCCTCGGGAGGTGAAAATGACCAGACCTTAAACGATGATAAGATTGAGTCCATCAGTTGGGTAAAATAGATTTAGCTTACCTCCATCATAACGCGGTTCCCGCGGTTAGCCACAGCCACACACTTTTCGTCCTCGAATACGACACGCCAGACAGATTCAGCTGCTTCCTGGTAAGTAAGAGGAACAATCAGGAGGTGCATCACTACAAACCTGTAATCAGTTCTCGGACGAGATGACCGGTTTTGACATCCCAAATCTTGACCCGGCCGTCGCTGCCACCACTGACAACGCGCGTATCATCAAATTGCAGGCTCGTGACGCTGTTATCGTGGGCGGCCAGTCGGTGAATGGGGCACATCTTTTCCAGAGACCAGACCCTGACTGAGCCATCCGAACCTCCGGTAACAAGAGTATTACCCCTGAGCTGCAATTGGCCGACTAATGAAGTGTGCCCTTGCAGAACTGCAACAGGCTCACCAGTGTGAGCATCCCAGACGCGAACACTAGTATCGAGGGAGCCGGTGACAACCCTTTGGCCATCAAATGCAATGGCGTAGATCTGACTGAAGTGTCCACTCAACGTGTGCAGGCACCTGCCCTCCGAGATGCTCCAAATCTTGGCTGTTGCATCATAACTGCCGGAAACCACGATATCACCCTTGATCTCGAGACACCGAACGCTGGCCTGATGGCCAACTAGAACATTCCGGCACACTCCCGTCCGAATATCCCAAACTCGCAGAGTTGTATCCCGAGATCCCGAGATGGCCGTGTTGGCGTCTGACATCTTAAGACACCTTACGGTGGAAGTGTGGCCGCGAAGAGTGTGGAGGCATTGCCCCGTCTGCATATCCCAGACTCGGACGTCACGATCACAACCACCACTCACCAATAAGTCGTCCCATGGGACCATGGCCCATACGCCCATAACGTGTCCCTGCAAAGTCCACAATGCATTTCCTTCACGGTCAAAGACATGGATTCTGGCATTATCCAGAGCCACGACAATGTACTTGGGCGTCAAGTGCAAGCTAGTCACGACCCTGCCGTCCTGTGTAATGGTTCGAATGGTGTTGCGGCCTCCAGTGCGCCATGCTGACTCCACCAAATATCTCTGCTTGAAGTGAGATTTGTAAGATCGCAGCTTTGGGCGATCTGAACCGTCAAAACTCCTCGAGACTTGCTGCATGGGCGGGGCCGGTCGGTAAGCCCCGGGGAAGCTATGGTTGGGTTGATCGGAATCAGATAGCGGGTGGAGACCTGGTCGAGTCGGTGCATGGTTGGGGACACCGTGATATACTTCGGACAATCTACGCCCGTAGTCGTGCTTGACACACAGGTTCTTCCATGTCACATCGTCACTCAACAGATCTCGCCACCTCCGGGAAACTTGGGAAGCCCGGGCCAAGACGAGGGGGTCGTCGATGAAGGACAATATCCGCAGGCATAGCTCGTCCGGCAAACTTGTGAATGGATCCTTCTTGAGCAGAGGGCTTACGAACTGATGTACGAAACTCAGTTGCTGGGTTGTGCACATGTTCAACAGGTCGGCCAGAAGTCGATTTCGCTGCGGTCCGGAGCAGGTCTGAAAATGTTGACGAACGTGGGCGAGAAAGAAGTCCTCATCCTCGGCTGCTTCGCTCCAGTCTGCCTGAGGGTGTGCTGGACCAGGAGAAGCAGCTGGCGTGGGAGGTGGCGGGGGAGAACCCGTGAGCTGCTGCTGTTGTTGCTGTTGCTGGTCAAAGTCTGGCGCGGGAGTACTCATACTGGGCGTCGGTGGCCCTCTCGGCCTCGGTTGTTGCATCTTGTCCATCCTGTGGTTCACCGGACCGCTGGTTGTGTTCAGGGTCATATCGTCCCCCATTACGCTTCCTCTACTTTCCGAGAAACTTAACGCGCGACTGTATCCAGCCATTCTTCGCTACCGCCGAGATGTTGCAGCAGCGTCGTTCCAGGCTGACGGAAAAGGTCGACTGCGCATGAACCGATCGATAATCAAGGTAGGCTGTGGCCTGGACCGGTGCGACTTTGTTTGGTCGACAGGTCTCTAGGAGGGCATCAGTAACCGCTGGAGATCAGATGAATGTCTCGTGCTGCTTTGTACAACCCGAACAACAATTATGATATTCCTTGAGAGTTGTCGACTTTGGTTGGGCGCTTGCAGCGCAGCAGCAATGTTGTATTCGGGTCTGTAATTGCAAGGCAAGACTCGAGCGATGAAGACGGGATGATGTAAAAGAGGAACAAAAGGGCGGCGTACCTCGAGGTGCCCGGTCAGGTCAGCGGTGGCCGGCACTAACGTGATCAGTGTTCGCTAAGAAAGAGGCGATCGGTGATGGGTTCGAGGCATGGATCTGTGGGGCTCGAATAGGAACGGAGCAGAATGAGAAGGCGAGGCGCAACAAAAAGTCGAGTATTTCCGTACTAAATGTTGGAGAAATCAAGTTCGGAATGAGTTGGCGGAGTTCCTGTCTCTTCTTGGCAGTGTCCCGTGTCGAGATGCACGATATTCGACGATTGTATCGTAAAATAAAAGGGACGTTGAGGATTGGCGAGGGAATGGGCAGGCGAGACTCGAAAAAGAACGGAGAATGGGGATGGAGATGAACAATGCGACTGGGCGTTGCTTTTGGTCGAATGAGCGAGCGAGAGCGTGAGAAAGGCAGGAAAAGGAAAGTTGGGGTCAAGTCCCAAGTCCATGTCCCAAGTCCAGCCCAAGAGCTCAAGCCCAAGGTCCTGCGGCTGCTGCTGCTGTCATGGTCCTGCTTATGCCTGTCTGGGCCAGGCAATGTACCATGGAGTCCCTTTTTTTCCCTTTCCCTCTCTTCCTCTCCCCCTCTGCTTTCCAGAGATCGGCTGGCTGGCACTTCCCCCGGACTGCCGGTGCTGATGCTTGCTGGCTGGCTGCCGGCTCGAGTTCTGTCGCTGCACGCACGTACTCGACCGGTATCAATGGCTGGCTGCTAGGCGGGGGGTTTTTTAATGTTTCCACTTTCGCATCAGCTGGGCATGAGAAAGATGCAGTGCACTGCGTTAGGTAAAAGGTACGCTGAGGTACTTGTTGGCACCACTGGCGCACGCTTGTTGCTTCTGTCGGTTCTCCCGTCGGGCCAAGGTCCAGAGCGCACTGGCAGCGGAACGAACCTCCTTTGGGGGGCTAGGCGACCCGAAACGTCCTACTGGCGCTTCTCTGCAGAGCCATCAAATTAGGCACTGGGTTAGGTAGATGGAATGTACCAGTGTCCTTTGTTACAATTTTTTTTTTGGCACATTTGATTGATCATTTGCAACTAATTTCATGTCGATCAGACCAGTCAGTCATCTTTGACACCTTTATAGCTTACATGTGTTCAAATTGCTGCAGTAGAAAGCAATGTCAGCAGCTGGTCCAGGTCAAAACGCTGCTGACTCGAGAGGAAGCACGCAATAGTGTAATAAATGCAGCAGAATCAAAAGTGGCACACACACACACATGCGCGCAAAATGGCTGGGTTATACTATCTACATATGTATGTACCTTGCCTAACGTGAAATGTATTTTATTGCTCTTCCACTAGTAGTTACCTCTCAAAGTGTCGTCATTTCCACCTTGACCAAACAGACTCGGCCCCGTTTTCGAATCGCTGAAGGGATAATGGATGGATATTATACGAAGTTGAACATCGGTTGCTCCACGCCTTTTTTGCGTACCCACCCCTTAAGTAAAATCCCTTAGTCAATCATTTGCAGCTGTTTCGAATTTTCTTCCTTTGCTCTGGTTCCCCATTCACATGCATCAACTGCACTCTATCCTAATCCCAGGTCAAACGCATCAGTCAACATTACCAAAGCAGGTAATGCTGGGCGTGTTTCCGCCAGGCACTTTGCGTAGGTAGGTAGGTAGGTACCCTAGGCACCGTGCGTCGAGCGAGCGCCTGAAACCTCGATGGAATAACGTTGCCCCTGATATGTAATGTTGACCATTTGCGAATTGCACACCGAGGACAATTGTCCAATACGCACAATGACTAAGCAGAAGTCTCCTCACGACTGCCGGGATTTGTTAGTACTTCTTGATATGTTCAGCCAGGGAAAGAAAAAAATCGGAAAGCAAGAAACAGATAGAATGGGGGAAGAGAGAGAGGGAAAAAACATATCAAAGAAGAAAGGTTGTTGACCTTTTCTTTCCCGAAAGCATCTTTTTCAAGTTGCGTAATCGTATCTCGGATTTCTGTAGGACAAAGGTCGCATACTCTCCATGATCCAATGCATCCGCGCTGGCCCTTTTCTTGATGTCGATATACGCCTTTTTGTCGTCTTCGTCTTCGCCAATTGGCACGACTACGCCAGCGTATTTGCACAGTATTGTGTTGAGAATCAGACGACACATGCGACCGTTGCCGTCTTGAAAGGGATGGATTTGCACGAATTGCATGGAATATTTGGCAGCTAACGCAAAAGGGTCGATCTTCTTGTGCTTTTGTGCATTCTCGAGATCTTGATTCAAGTCGGCAATCATAGCCTTCATTGCTCCGGGAACCTTTTTCGGTGGAGTGAACACTTCAACAAATATATATTAGCAATTTCCTCTTTGGATCAATAAACGTGTTTATAAGAAGCTGTTTTGGGCATCTCCGCATAGAGCTACTACACTATAGCACCACAAAGGGAAATGTTTGTCTATAAGATAAACCAAAAGAGGGGAAAATAATACGAAAAGTTACGTACTAGTATCGCCAGCTCCAACGTGAATATTTCTAACGTCTCGGTAAATGCCAGCGTAATGGAGAGGGTCAGTAACAGAACCGCTTCGGTGAAAGATGGGCGTATCTTGGCAGAGGATCCGGTGAGTGGTCGTGATGCACTCTTCCGTAATTGGCATATCCAGTGAAACGATTTGATCGATCATGTACTGGAAAGCCTTGGCATGATTAATCACTTCTGTGCGTCCGTAACTGAAGGATTTGACTGTCCTGTCGTCTTTGCTGTTGAGCTGGGCGCCATATTCCTCCCAGAGCCTCTTTTCGTAGTCCGGGGTTCTCTCATCAATGATCTCGACATCTTCGCCTTGAAAGACACGTTCACAAAGTCCCAGGGTCTCATTGAGGCCGAGTCCAACGTGCTCTATGTAATTGCTTCCGAACACGACGCGATTCATGGACTGTCGTAGTTGCTTCTCGATGCCATCGATGCGCTTCATTTCATCTTGTGGAAGACTTTGTGCTTGTATCGATGTAAGCGATGACAGAACTTTTGCGAAAACCTCAGTTAAAGGCTTCGCAGGTCCATCGCTGTGAGAATGGACTCTGTAGATATCCTCCATTTCGATTGTTATTTCTTCTTTGCTTGCGGCAGGCCAGCTTCTAGTGATACTGTCCCTTAATCGTAAGACTCTAGCCTCGGATGAAGTTTTGTTAGTTTGCGTGGCGGCCATTTTCGGAAATCTTTGCGTTTAGCCCAAGAGATATTCTCTCTTTTATCTCCTTTCGTTTTGTGAGTCCTTGCGGTCTCACTGCATCAGCCGCTGTGTCGCTGAAAAGAGAGACTTCTGTTTGAATATTGTATAATGCTAGCTTGAAGCGAAGAGGCGAGAGTGTCCGTTGACGTGTGATCAAAAATATGGAAATCAGAGAGGGTCTTTGCTTTGGTAGAGAAGCGGAATGGGACCGAGAAAGCTAGTGGGGGAAATGAATAGATTAATAAGGTGTACACGCCTGGGCCTGCTTTATATTTTGATGGACGGATTGTTTCCAACTTTTGTTGAGCTTCGAGGACCCCTCGGGCTAAAAAGTATGAAGTGTGACTCACGACTTCTGGTGGCGCCGGTGTTCAACCTTGAAACATTTTTCAGCGAGGAGGCCAGAGTTATTCGCCAGTATTCATGCGAAAGGCCAAACGTCATGGCAACTTATCCCCCCTCCCTCCAAACAGAACCCTCGATGACTTTCTTGTTCTGGGGTCGAAATCAAGTTCAACTTGTATATCCGCGCAAAATTCGAGAAGACCATGGCTACTTTTGCCAATCCTTTCAGCACTTGATGGTCTCCCCTTGAGGCTTTTCGTGATTAAGCCAGCTGCTGCGAAATGGACAATAAGGTTCGCCACCATGGCTCGCCTGGCATTATCTGGACCGACCGACCGAGATAATGACTTATCAAAGGATCGATTAAAGACGCCAAACATACCTATTCCAACTCACAGTAAGGGTTGATCTACCTCCTGCCTATCCATTTCTCTGTCCCTCCATGCTGTCCTTTGCCAGCCAGTATATGTGTGTAGACAAGACCTTTTACAAACAAGAGGCTGTGGGAATATTCCGAGCAATTATTGGCCAAAGTAACCTCAGACCAAAAGATATAATAGCTGGAATTCATGCTTGCAAGGGGTTAAAAAGAAAAGAGACAAAAAGAGAGGTCCTGGCCGTTCGGCGTCCCGAACAGCCAACCTCCGGAAAACACAACAAACAGATGCTGAAATTTTGCCTAGCCAACTTACTCTAGAGTTTCATACCACTCGGCCACCGAAGCAGCCTTCGCAGTTGGTTAACAAATGCTCGTTCAATTTAATCTATGTACCTTTAATCCTTGTCCAGTCGAAGAATTTCCTTTTCTTTGTTTGTGCTCCCTCTGGCCACACGAGTTGAGCCGTTGCGGGAGCGCTCGCGCATGATCCCACCAACACGAAGACAGGGGTTTACTTGGGCGCACCACATAATGTCCGCTCCCTCGATCTGAATCTTTCATTTATATGAATATTCTTGGTGAAAGGACGACTAACTAGAAGTAAGTAGGGTACCTACTAGTGTCGAGCGCAAGCCAAATCGTAACATTTGCTTTAAAAGAACTCCGAGACGTACTCAACAGGGGTTACGCTGACTATAAAGACAAAAACGTGGTTTATACTCAACGTCGCTGACATGACCAAGTCACTTCCAGATCTACTTACAGTGAAGATACACATATATAAGCAACAGCAAAGAATCTATGCTGGTTGGCATACCTCTGCTAATCAGAGCTATCACTGTAAACATCTGTAGGCCCTCGTTCCGCCTCCAATTGATCACGCGCATCAAGCAATAAGTCAACGGCATATGGCCTTTTGGGATCATCCTGTTGGCGTAAAGCTACAATGTTTTCGAGAAGATCGATCGCTTTCTGAGCCTGATAGTCGGCGAGATAGGCTCTGGCAAGCACGCACTCCGATAGAAGTCGAACATCATCCGCTTTAGCCAGCGTCATCCTTTGCATCGAGACAACATACTCGAGAATTTCGATTGCCTCTTCAACCCGCCCGTCGTCCAGGTAAGCGCGGGCCAGTTCGTGTTGTGACGCAAGCTGTTGGTGATCCCCTTCGGCTAGCGTCGTCCTTTTAATTGAGACAACATGCTCGAAAATTTCGATTGCCTCTTTAACCCGCCCGTCGTCCAGGTATGCGCTGGCCAGTTCGTGTTGTGACAGAAGCTGATCGTGATCCTCTTCGGCCAGCGTTTTCCTTCGCACCGAGACGACATGCTCGAGAATTCTGATTGCTTCTTTGATACGCCCGTCTTTGTGGTAAGCAGAGCCCAGTGAGTATTCTGTTGTAAGGCGATCATGGTCCTCTTCGGCGAGCGTCATGTTTCGCACCGATGCTGCTGGCTCGAGAATTTCGATTGCCTCTTTGAGTCGCCCATCGTGACTATATGCGGCGGCAAGCATCTGCTCCGACGCAACTCGACCTCCGTCTTTTTCGTCCAATATTCTTCTTCGAACTAATACCACATGCTCGAGTATCTCGATCGCTTTTTGAGTCTGTCGGTTCTCAAAGTAGGCACGCGCGAGTTCGTGTTCGGCGGCTAATCGAAAAGCACTCTCGTCGACTAGTATCGTTTTATTTACCGACGTTAGGTGCTCGAATATCTCGATTGCCTCTCTGATCCGCCGAGCGTCTAGGTATGTGCTGGCAAGCATGGACTCTGAATAACGCCGAGAGTGATCGTCTTCTGGGCAAATCGTTTTCCTGTAGTGGTATGCAACTTCGAAATAGCCGATAGCTTCTTTGAACCGACGGTCTACAAATAAACATATCCCGACATTCATACACAAATGCGCCCGCTCTGCCGTTTCGAGATCACTACTTCTTGCCAGTACCCTGAATGCATGTGGCAAATACTGAAGCTGAGTGTCATGCTCTATGACATAGTCCGAGGGGAATGTGCTTGCAAGATGGCTTACTCCTTCACTCAGTGCCTCCTCTTGCATCCCACCCTTTTCAATCCATCCGCGTGTGGCCAGCTGCACTAGATGATGCATATCGAATACATCACTATCTCCTCGCCGCACCAGAAAGGAATACCCACAAAGCATGCCGATAGCCTCTTGCAGCTCTACCTCCGATTCACACTTTGGGAGGATCGACTCGGGTATCGCCTTGGGCTCGATACAGGACAGAAACGAAAGAATCTTTGTAGCAGCGCGGTTGGACTTCTGGATCTGCTCAAAAGAGATGAGCCATGTCGTCGCTATAGCGTTTCGTGAGCTCCTATATCGAGTGTAATCCTTGAAGTCTCGACCAAGAACTCTAGCAACGTCATTTTCGGCACCACGCAAGAGACCTAAGTATTTGCGGATTGGCATCATATTTTCGTTGAGATAGGCTGCTGCCTGCGCGATTGCAAGCGGGAGGTAGGTCAAATGCGTAAAAAGTTCTCTTATAGAATTGTCGTCTTGTGGGCCAGGAATTTTGTGTAGCGATTTCTCCAAAAATGGAAGGGCTTCATCGTAGCTCATCTGTTCCACGTCAAATACTTCTCCTTGTGAGAACTCGACGGCCACTTGTTTTGACCGTGTTGTTAGCAGGATCGAGCCTTGCTCGCTTTGAGGTAGAAACTCCTCAACACCAGTACTGTCGCTCTCTCCAAACAATAGATCGCGATCGTCTGCGTTGTCAACCACCATGAGCCACTGCCCAGCTTGGTCCGAGCTGAGGTATCGGCAAACAAGGTCCTTGATATCTTCGTCCTTGTTCTGCTGCAGACCAATCCTCTTGGCGATTTCGATGTAGGCCTGCTCCAGACTGCTTTTGCCCAAAAGAGGAACCCAGAAGATTGAACAGTCCGACTGGCTTTCTTTGATTTGGTAAGCAAAGCGAACGGCAATCTGCGTCTTGCCTACACCCCCAAGCCCGACGAGTGCTACTCTCTCGCATGGTTGCTGACCGAAAAGCTTCTCCTGCAGCGCTTGCAAAATTGCTGCTCGACCAGTAAACCGTGCATTTTTGGACATTTGCATATAGTAAAATGGCCCGGTAGATTTGTCTATGCTGCGATTAGCGAGCTTGCAATGATGTACTTCTACACTGACCAGCAACATACCTGATGTCGTGGGTTTGTTTTCTGTCGGGCTTTCTGCTGTCGGCTTGTGCATTGGCACTATTTCAGCAAGCACGGCCTTACCGTACGCTGCCGCCATGGCCGATGCATACGGTTGCCACTCCTTGTTCTTGTGCTCATCGCCGTAGTCGCAAACTCCACGAATCACGCCGACGGGAATTCGATTCATAGTTCCTGCCGCCTCCATTTCCAGTCCGATCAAGCCGTACCTATCTCGGAGTTCATCTCTTACTCGCGCGCTCTTTGACAATTTTTCACCGGATCCGATTGGCCCATACCATACACGGGTGCGTTTTTCCTTGGGGCGTGGAACACGATCCACTCGCTGTATAGTCTCGTCGTCTGTCACAAGATATAATGCATCATTGCTTTCTCCAGGGTCGGCGAATGTCCCATCTGCATGCTCTTTGTCACGGATTGCCTCGTAATAAGGGAGGAACTTGTGTGCGTCATTTGGAGCCTCCAGCTTGATATTACTAATAGCCGAGCGAACGATAGGTTCGGTCATTGCTAGAACTTGGCCCCCTCGGAGCGGCTGGAACCCACTGGCTGTTTCCTTTCCCAGATCATATGCGATCAGTCCGGCACCATCACCTTGGGGAAGACCAACGAGTACATCGCCGAGCCGGATATCTCTTGGAGGCTTTCGGGTTAGATCGGGCAATCCTGCGGCGACGCCGACGAGAAGGCCAAACCACAGATTTGGGAAGAACTTTTTAACCTGGCTCGCGAGCGCAGCCGCAGATCCTGTTCCGTATTCCTGGCCTGCCGGTAGTGCGGCGATAACGATCTTGTGCCCGCACATCCTGCCGGCGTGGTAGACATACTCGTCACCCCGCGTAACGGCGAATTTGCCGTCAAACCGCTCGTCAAGCAAGTAGAGGGCTGCGCGTGCCTCAATCTCTAGAGGGGCTATCCAGACTACTTCATAGTCCCTGGGGTCGAGAATGCTGACATGGTGGGGTATATGGTTGCGCAGAGGGAGCATCGCGTTGGGTCGTCTGCTCGTGAAGATGTAGGTATTTAAAGGTCCATTAGTCGTGTTCGCAGTCGCTCCGCGGCCCGTTCCGTAGCCAAATGAAGAGTGGCAGCTTGCTCAAACATTATAGTCTGGTTGGTGTCGTGAAGATACAAATGTCATCATCAAGAAAAAGGTCAGAGAGCCCGGTCAGGCTGAGTCTGACCCCGCAACGAACACGGCGCTTGGCCTACCAATGGCAAGCTCCGAGCATTCGGGCCAGAATCCCTCTGCATCGAGAACTTGTTAATTGATGTTGATCACATCGAGTCTGTAATTGACTACGCCGTGGTGCACATCCCAAGCTAAAATATTAAGGCGCTCCAGTATATAGATAGTAGCTTCAGGAAAGAGTGCTCCAACTAAAACAAGTGTCGCATTAGGCTTTCCGTCTAATTCTATACCCTGACAGCGTTTGACAACTCACTCGCAGTTGGTCCCCAACGATATAGCCTGGCATGTGGCGGCGTCTACTTTAGTCGCAAGCACCGCAAGATCACAACCCCCCCCACCCCCGTAACAGCTGGCATTGTCGCTACAACGTCAATCAAAAAGTATCATTATAAATTTATGACTCGTCTCCAGATTATCACGACCAGCTTTAAATGAACCTCAACTCACGCCCAATGCGTCCAAGGAAGTAATCACCACTTGCAGCTAAAATTCTCTTCTATTGTGTTTTTTTTCGTCATTTTATAGCTCTCTCTAAGGGGTTCAACACAAAAATATACCAATGGTCCTGCAACAATGGAAATATGTAAAAAAAGGGAAAACTCTTCTCTATGCCACCACAGGGGACATCCTTCGCTCACTTGGCCAACGCTCACACTCAGGTATACACTATAACTCGGTTTATCTACAGCCCAGGGTAACCCGCTTACTCGTCCGAGAGCAGCTCGTAAGAGCGTCTGCTGGACAACCTCTGGTCAATGGGGAGATCGCGCTTCTTGTTGTTCTTGTTGTTCTTGTTAGCCTTGCCCGACTTTTTCGAGGCGGCAGAGCTGGTGGCGGCGGCAGCGGCCACAGTAACAGAGGGGTCGGCGGCGATAATGGCCGAGGCGACGGCGGCGTTTTGGGCACCCTCGTCGGTCAGGGCGTCGGCGCTGGAGCCGGCAATGGCCGACTTGGCCGCGTCAATGTCCTTGTTGTTCTGGTCAATCTGGGCCTGGTTGGCCGCCTCGTCCTTGGCCGTGGTGGCAATGTTGCTGGGGTCGTTGTCGCCGGGCAGGGCAGTGGTGTCGGTCTGCTGGACGGCGAAGCAGCCGCCGACTTCATCGGCGTTGATGCAGCGCACGGTACAGACGTTACCGGCAGAAGCTATGATGACGTGTCAGTCATGCATGGTTCAAAGTTGCAACCTGGCTTTGGGACTGGATATGCTTGAGTACTTACCACCAATACATGCCAGGTCATCGGGCATGTCGACAGTTAGAGTCATGGTGTTGGCGCTGTTGGAGTTCTTGGCTCTAGCAAACAGCGGCTGCCTGACAACAAGCTTCCTGTTGGTGTTCTTGTTGTTCTTGCTGTTCTTGGAAGTGTTGGCAGTCTTTTGGGTCAGAGCCGTCTGGCCAGTGGCACCGGCAACGTTGCCCTGGGGGTCGAGGTCGCACGAAAAGTTGGTGTCGGTCGTGCTGTTGACGCTCATGGTCACCTTGACGCTGCTGCCCTTGGTGACGGTGGTGACGGCGCCGTTGGCGAGGGCATCCTCGGTCTTGGCGCCGACATCGATGTTGCCTCCGGCGACGGTCCGGCCGCACTGGTTCACAACGTTTGAGGAGATTTCGGCCGTCCTGATGATGTTGAAGTCATTGGGGTCGGTCAAGTCGACTATAGTTTGCAACCTTGTCAATAATCACTCGAGATATTTGAGTAGTCATATGGTACTAACCTTGAAGACCAGTGCTGGTGTTGCTGCTCTTGGCACCTTGAGCACTAATGATGTTTTGGCCGCTAGCCAAAGCGACACAAGCAGAGACAACAAAAGCCTGACGGAGGGAATACATCATGATGATCGTCGATATCGTAAAGCAAGCGAAGGCTGGATGAGTTGGGTGGAAGAAGTGGATTATGTAATAATACAAAGACGTTGAGAATCGAACTAAACAAACAGCCAGCTGATGATGATGAAAAAGAAGCGAAAGAGAGCGATGAGCAGAAATGAACCGAGGAGAGAAGAGAATGATACACAAAGGAGTCGCCCGGCATCACCATCTATATACCAAACTACTCTGCACTACAGTCACAATAAAAACAAGACGATACATCCACAGGCGCAGCACACAAGCATACTCGCTCCAGGCACTTACTCACTTACACGCTCTCACCTACTTACCTACACACGCACACATGTTCTGACAGGTTCGGCCCTACTATAACGTTCTGCAACTTGTGCTGTCGCGAGAATTGTGGGCTGCAGTTGGTGTTCTGACAAGAAGAGCCGCTTTTTCGGACCCGCTTTCGCCTCCTTAGGGGATCGTCTGTGGCCCGTCTTGGCCGCATGCAACCTTGAATCTCTGCTATTCCCGTAGGAGAAGCAGCAGACAAACTGGAATAGTCCATCATCTGATGGGGAGCAGGGAAGCCAGAAACCGTCAGACGACAGTTTCGTGCCGCTGGGGACAACCTGTCGCTCTTCTTCAACAGCCAAGTCGAATCGCATGGCATGACGGATGCGACGACAGCTCGGCCCCGCCGGCACGCTTGGACGGGACGAGTCTATTCTTATCACTGATAGGCTTATTACCATAGTATACACTACTGCGTGGAAATGTGGACAATGACCCAGAGAAAATAGAGTCCAGAACTTTGATTGTTGAGCCTCAATCACAGAGTATGTTAATCAGCCCTTTGCAGATTATGGTGAGATTGGTAAGTTGATTGCTAAGCGCTAGACTTCTGTGCAATACGTGATGATTAGGTGCTATATGCGGACCCTAGTACTATTATAGTATATTTCTTAACCTTTTTAATTGGAGCAAGAATGCGCCAAGACCAATGGCAGACTAAAGGTAGCCAATGAGCCGCCCTCGTCCGGTATGTCCTTTTTGACAGAAGCGCAACCGTTAAACGCTCTTGTTCTGGCTTGCACGGGATTTGGAACATTTGGAAATATCGAATCACTTACCTGGGATTTCCTCAATGTGGCTGGTGTGGGGGTCCATGTTGTGTGTACCAGAGGATTCGGGATTTAAGGGGTCGAAATGCTGCTGGCAATGGTAGGCTTGTGGATCTTTCTGCGACAAACATCAAGTTTCATACGCCGCCGCGTCCGTGAGCCGCGAGTCGGGGGTGCACACAAGCGCTGCCTGCCATCTTATATAAGTTGACAGAGGCAAAATGGGATGGTTTGAACATGCTCTTGGCCATCCACTCGCACAGTTTTAGGTATTATAATGACGTGGAGGCCATTGCTGCTCTTCTTTGATAGTACGACTAGAGTTGACTGTCGGGATCGCCAGGTAACATCTGCAAATATCTTTCTGGATGCTGAATACTGCGTCTATACATGAACATGATCTGAATGAAAATTGCAAATAGTTGATAAAGTGGATCAATGCCTCACCAGGCAGACAGGTATAAGCCCTCGTTTCTATGAGCATACCTACCACGATCCGGCAAGTCGGCTACAGTAGTGCAATCAAACGACGAGCAAATGAACCAATTGCTAGCTGTGCATCGAACCACACGATGGTGGCTTGCTCAGAGGAACCTAGATGCCAGGTATAAGTCTGCTACTATAACACATGGACCTGCATCTGTTTGGTGGATCGTCGGGCCTCTGTAGATCCAGATCTGCTGCGACGGAATGCTACGGCGCATCGCCCATTGATCCACCCAATGCCAGTCAATGCTGTTTCTCATGTCTTACGATGTACTGCAAGTACGGTTCTCATCTCGACGTTCCCTGGAAGCTCGAGGACATGTTCAGATGATTGCCCAGGCTGCCGCTTGCACGACGATGCATGATCAACCTTCTAAGCATGTCCAGACGTTCATTCCTATTGAAATGCAATAGAACAAGTACGATGCAGAAGTGGCACTATTACAGCACTTCTTCATACATTGCCCAGTCTACCTGACTAGGCAAGGCATTGAGTAAGAACAATCAGGCGGCTGTTTTGCAGACACGGCCTAACTATCGTCATCTAAGCTTACTTGGATTCTGACCGCCCCTGCGCACCTCTTCATTGCTTTCCAGCCGCTTGAGCCTCATGAGCCCTATACTTGCCTAACCGAGAATGCGACCAGGTTTTGATGTTTCGTCTGGCTGAGCAAACGGGCGGATTGCTGAAAGAGGTAGGCCGAAAGGCGGCTCTGTGCCGATTGTGAGACGAGAGCTGATCTGGGAAGTTTTCGGCGGCCGCGTCCTGGCTGGCTAACATTTCAACTCGAGCCCCTGCATTGTGTCACAACCATGTCGATGATGCGAGAAACGGATGAAAAGCAAATTGACGGAGTCCCGACTGAGATAAGATGATTGATTGTCACAAATCTTATCGCGACAAGAGTGGTCAAATACTCTCTCTCTTCCTTCCTGGTAATGAAAATGCTTTTTAGGCGGCCTGTTGTTTTTCTTCGCGCCGATTCTCGGGGTTTCTGCTCCCTGAATGCGCAGGAAGAAGGGAAAAAAGTCGGGGGTTGGGCTCCCTGGTCGGTTGGCTCAAGTGGGGTCACGGTACCTGGCCATCAACCTCTGCTCGAATCGGAAAGGGGTTCGCCAAGCCAAGATTAGGTAACCAACGTCTCATCGTTCGAACAACAAGAACAACATCTTGTCTTTTCCATCCAAGGGAGGGTCAACCAAGTATATGTATCAATTCAATTGCATCTTTTTGAAATTATTTCTCTATCATCTCAGCCTTACTTCCAGCCTTGTGAGCTCGGCTCCGAGAGGGAGTTAACAGTTGATTTGGAAAACGTTTACGCAGCTCCGCCTCGTGCCAACCCGGCAGGACGCGTCACCGATCGAATCCGCAGTTGTCTAAAACTGAGCTAATGACGCGGCTTGGCCCCTTTGGAATTTCGACAAACCTCATCCAATGCACAAAGCAGCTGTACACGACATCATTGCCTCCTCTTTTTTCATGCTTGAACTCTTGACTCGGTGAGAAGAATCAAGCCTTGAGCCTCACGGGGACTACGAATGCGGCAACTTCCGAGGGGTTGAGCAAAAAGAAGTCCAACAGAAGAAGGAATTTTAGTCGACTCGATTCATGTACCATTGTCTTCTACTAGTCGCCTCGTTTCGATACTACTGAAAAGTACGAAATGTCGCTGGTGCAGCTATCGAGTCTCTACTTGAAGCCATATGGTACGAAAACCCTAGGTGACCTGGACCCGGGCTGCAAAATGAGGCTGGATCGCACGTGCAGCTATGCAATGCAGTTTGAGATGAATAGAAATGCAGATCTGCCGGTACCTTTCCTCGACTGGCCTTGGTGTTGGACCCCAAATTGGCTCCCGGTCCACAACGAAGAAGCTGCCGACGCTTCTGTCCACCACATCCCGTAGGACTTCTCCCACAAGGGCCGGCGCTACCGACTCCACACTGCACATGCAGTCCACGAAGCAGCAAAATTGTGAGCTTTTTGTTCTCGTTCAAGTCCTTTTTGCGCGGATGTCGGCCTGCTTCAGCTACTGCGTCCCAGCTAGTCGCTGTGTTATGTCATCAGTGGAGGCTGAGCCAGCCTGTAGGTAACCCCCCCAACCCATCACATAGATGACTCGACTGGGTTGAGCTCCAGCCATAGCATGACCTGGATGGGCCTGGCTACGCTATACCAAGTGGAAACATACGCGGTCAATACTCGTCGATCGCCCGTCTGCTTCTCATCGGCCCTTGAATTACGCCCTGACTGCTCGGAGCGCCGAATGTGAGTATCTAAATCCGAAGATGAGGTTATACTTAAGAATCATGGCGCTTGTTTCGTTTCCTTGGCTTGAGTTGGCCACCACCAAGGCAAACAAACTCCTACCTTATACAGTCTTTACCATTTTTTAGTCCACTCTTTCTACGTGACCATGCGCCAGTCTTGCCGCGCAGCTGCGGCTGCCATGGCAGCATCTGCTAATGCTGCCTCGCTCGCCGATCTTTGCACGGTTTCCAACGTCCAGGCGGCTCTTCCCGCCAACGGCACCCTTCTCGGCATTGAGCTGCTGCCCTCGACCGTCACGGCCGCCGCCGTCTACAATGCCAGCGCCGGCATGGGCAGCACCGAGACCTACTCGTACTGCAACGCCACCGTCAGCTATACCCACACCGGCAAGGGCGACGTCATCCCCATCAAGCTAGCTTTCCCGGACCCCAGCGACTTTGAGAACCGCTGGTACCTTGCTGGTGGTGGAGGCTTCTCCATCTCCTCCGATGCCACCGGCGGTCTCGCTTACGGCGCCGCCTCCGGAGCCACCTCGGCCGGCTACGATGCCTTTGACTACAGCTACGACGAGAAGGTCCTCTACGGCAACGGCTCCATCAACTGGGATGCCACCTACGCTTTCGCTTACACTGCCCTTGGTGAGCTCACCAAGATTGGCAAGCCCACCACTCAGGGTTTCTACGCCCTGACCACCGACACCAAGATTTACACCTACTTTGAGGGTTGCTCTGACGGTGGTCGTGAGGGTATGTCCCAGGTCCAGCGCTGGGGTGAGGAGTACGATGGTGTCGTCGCCGGTGCTCCCGCTTTCCGATTTGCTCAGCAGCAGGTTCACCACGTCTACCCTGCCACCGTTGAGCAGGTTACCGGTTACTTCCCCGAGCCCTGCGCTCTCGACAAGATTGTCAACGCTACCATTGAGGCTTGCGACCCTCTTGACGGCCGTACCGACGGTGTCATTTCTCGCACTGATCTTTGCAAGCTCAACTTCAACCTCACCTCCATCATTGGCCAGTCGTACTACTGCGCTGCCACTACTTCGAGCTCCCTTGGTTTCGGCTTCAGCAAGCGTGCTGAAGGCAGCCAGACCAGCACCACCCCCGCCCAGAACGGCACCGTCTCTGCTGAGGACGTGGCCATTGCCCAGGCCGTCTACGATGGTCTCCACTCCTCGGACGGAAAGCGTGCCTACCTCTCGTGGCAGATTGGTTCCGACCTCAGCGATGCCGACCCTACCTACAACAACGAGACTGGCGAGTACGAGCTCAACATCCCCTCCACTGGTGGTGAGTACGTCACCAAGTTCGTTCAGCTGCTCGACCTCGACAACCTGTCGGACCTGAACAACGTCACCTACGACACTCTCGTCGACTGGATGAACACTGGTATGATCCGTTACCTCGACAGCTTGCAGACCACCCTGCCCGACCTCACCCCCTTCCAGTCCACTGGCGGAAAGCTGCTCCACTACCACGGCGAGTCTGACCCCAGTATTCCCTCGCCCTCTTCCGTCCACTACTGGCAGTCGGTCCGCTCCGTCATGTACCCCGACCTGTCCGACGAGGAGGCTCAGGAGGCTCTTGCCGACTGGTACCAGTTCTACCTGATCCCCGGTGCTGCCCACTGCGGTACCAACTCCCTCCAGCCCGGCCCCTACCCCGAGGACAACATGGCCACCATCATTGCCTGGGTCGAGCAGGGTGTCACTCCCAGCTACCTCAACGCCACCGTCTCCTCGGGCACCTACGAGGGTGAGGTCCAGCAGCTCTGCCAGTGGCCCCTCCGTCCTCTCTGGTCGGGCAACAGCTCCACCTTTGACTGCGTCAGCGACGAGGCCTCCATTGACAGCTGGACCTACACCTTTGACGCCTTCAAGCTCCAGCCCGTCTACTAAACGTGCTCATTTTTCACATTGCCTTTTCCGGCCGGAGTCCAATGATTTATCAGTTCAGCTTTCGCCTTTTGAGACGTTGATATATGATATCTTCGCTTGAGCAAGTTTGACTTTTCTGTAAATACATTTTTGCATCATGGGACACGAATACCAGTATATAGATCAAAAGTTAGCACAATACCATTCTGCGCAGACCCGGCTTATTTACAAGTCTTTCAATGGCATCTTGAAACATTATCGACTCCTAATTTTCTATGATACAATGCTCTGATGTTACGTGCAACTCATGGCGGTCCAGGTGATATTTTTGACATGGATTATCTGTAAAATTGATTACGGTTCTCGAGGCTACTAGGGACTAGTATAAAGTCATCGAAAGGGTTCCTTGCAACGTAATGCCATCAGCGATCACTTTGTAAGTACGCCGTCTTTTCTTTTCTTTTTTCTCCATTTTGCTCCTTCCTTCTTCCCTTCCTGCTCTCCCGACTCATTGGCAATTCCGAGTGATTATCATAGCTGCCCACCCATGCCTTCTGACTTGCTCCCATATCAACGTAGACAGACTTCTGTGTGCTCCTGACTGCTTGCGAAACGCTAGACTCCAGAGACAACTTCTGAAGGGAAATGTGCCGGGTCGTTCAACTGGTGAAATGCGAGTAGGTCCGATGCGTTATTTGTGTGTTGTTACCATCTTCTCAGAGTAGATCGATAAGTGGGAGGCTGTCGAGCAAACAAGTCATCCTCCGACTCATTCTCGGCGGTTTCTGGGCTCGAACTACCAGCTGACGGAGCCTGTCATGGTTTTTTGTTAGCGTCCAGTTTCTTGTAGATATTGCGATACACAAAGGAACGAGAGCATACTATATACCTCGTCCTCGTCCTCGTCCTTGACGCTTTCCTTGCTGTCGGGAATCTTTCCACTGGCGAGCACTTGAATGAAGTCGTCTTGAGTAGTGGTGTGCAAGAGATGGTCGAGCAAAGGCTTTGCTTCGAGAACGATGTCGCTCTTGGTGTTGCTCTCAAAAAGCATGGGGTCCAAGAGAGCCCAGGGTGAAGGTCTACCAAGGCGGCCGTCTTGAAGCAGTCAGTTGCGCGCTTTCCGAATTCTCAATATCTCAACTTGACTTACACAACTCTCGCCAGAGAGTGTTGAGAAACTCGACGTGAATGTACATGAGAGAGTACTCTACGTTGACTCCGTAGTCGAGTTTGCGTTCGTCGCAGAGCCAGTCGTTGATGATATTGTAGAGCACGGTGTTCCATTCTCCCTGCTGGAACGAGTGGCCTACCTTGTCACGGACCTCTGCGATGGCGACAGCAAAGTCCAAGGTCATGCCCGGAAGCCAGCCCGACGGTTGATACAAAGACATGGCGTGCTTGTTGTGAGTCGCGGTCTTGGGATTGTTGGCAAGTAAGATGATCCGTTGACTGAAAAGAAAAGGTTAAAGGTGAGGATGATGAAGGGCAGAGTTGAGTTGTGGCAGAATTGGTTGCGATATTCTTGCGCAATTGCCGCAAGTGGTGATTGAGCTCAACAGAGAGGTTGAAAATGGAAGGAACGGTAAGATATGGGAACAACCAGAATGCAAATGACTTGCAAATGTTTTTGTTCCTTGAGCAAACCTGGTTCTTGACAAACGGTGAAATGAACCTTTGGCTCAGTTGGAACCGGCCAGTCTAGGGTACTCAGTATAATGATGGTCATCCCATTTGGCTGCGAGCCGGAAAGTACGAGCACGAAAGCAGTCTTCGTTAAGGGTTCGCGATTATACATCAAGTCAAACATCTCACTAGAGCTTTACAATGAAGCGGGGGTCAATGTAACAAAAAAGATGAATGTGAGAGGTCCTCTTCTTCCTAGTGATTGTCATAGCTGTCTAACTATGGCATGCTGACATCCTCTTTGTATCAGTACTTTTGCATGTCTCCTATGCCTCTTGCGAAAAACTTGCCCTACTGAAACCCATGAACCACAAATTTCAATCCCCTACATCACTCCAAAATTGCGAACAACAAAATGCCGTGATAATTCTTCGTGGATCTTTCTTTGGATTTGTCGCTTAGTATAGCGTTTCGTGGACTGTTCGTGGTCTCTTCGGGGTGAGCCCCTCCTCCTTGATATCAGAATCTCTCTTCACGGAGCGACCAGTTCTCTATTCATCAGTTAAAGCCTGATTCTGGAGTATTGGGATAAACTATACATCATTCTCTGGAGCTGTGCTGCCGATTGCTCCATTGAAAAAATGACCAAACAGTTCTGGCTTGCTGATTGAAGTCTTGCTATTTCTTGGTCTACCGTCAAACCCTCCGCAAAGAGCTTTGAACAAGCGTTCTTCTCCCGCTGCGGCTTCAATACTGAGCCCGTCGAAATTGGACTTTTTCGTAACCTTGTCACCTTCGCCGAATCGAGTTTTGTAGTTAATTTTGCGGCGAATCATTTTCCAGGGCGAGGAACCATTAGCGGCACCGACTAGACATATATTAATACTTATTCTCTGCGTGCTTGCCACATCCACTTACAAAGACGCTCCCAGAGGATGTCAAGAAAAGTGACCTGAACATATAGAGTAGAGATCTCGATAGTTATCGACTTGCTCAGTTCGTTTTTGCATTCCTTGGCAGCCTTGAACAGAGTTGCAGCCCACCCTCTCTCCAAAAAGGTCGGGCTCAGCTTGTTGCGAATCTCTGAAATCGCCACGTCAAAGTCGAACACGACAGAACCACTCACGCCTGGAGGCCACGCGTTCTGTTCAGTTGCCATCGTGATCTGGTGCTGTGTACTTAATAAACACCTGCTGAGGCCTTGCTGGTGAGCGGATTGGAAGATGCAAAGAGGGAGAAACGAGATTGTGGGTATTGATCCCGTGTCGTACTGTGGAATTGACTGGCTTTGCTGAAATCCCAAGCAGTGACCGCCAGCGGCAAAATAGCCTGTTCTTGATCAATGGGAAATGAAGAGTCGAAAAAAGTATCTACACTACAGTGGGCGAGAATGACCAAGATGTAAATGAAACAAACATTGAAGACTCTGGTGGGTTGACGTAGAGACAAAAATGTTGCCTAATGATAGACGGGGAACGTACCTGCCCTTGCCTTTCGTACCTGCTCTTGCCTTCTCAATACATCTTGGGTTTCCAAGTCTTCGTATCTGGGTACGCCCTGAAAAGTGTTTGATCAGATTGGCAGTGATTTGGGTTGGCTTAACGACTGAGATTTTCTCAGAGGCCCTCATCTAAGGGCTCCATTCACTATTGTTGCTCGTCAGCATATCATTCAAACTCACAAATGTACGAGTAATAGTCTTAGCGCCGAGCAACTCTCTACTCGGAATACCCAAGCTACAAGGAAATAGTATCAGGGCATTTCAAATTTATTTATTCTATTTTATAATATACTAAACATCAATTGTAAGAGGTTCGAGCATTATTTTGACCATTTTGCTTTTGAATGTGCATTTGCTCATCTTGAATCTATAATTCTATCTTTTGTGCTGATGTTTATTTCAAATTCTTAATTGAGCTGATCCTAATCCACCGCATACAAGGAGAGCAGTAGCACGAGCACACGATACACCTCGACATTTCGAAAAGAAAACATCGATGCTTTGTTACAGCTTGTGTGCTCTGGAACTCTAACCCTTTTCTCAAAACCTAGGATCTGATGGATTCCATTCAATAAACCAAGTAAACCATATCTCGTTTCCAAATGATCGATCTTGTTCAGTGCCTGAGTTTTCATTCTTCGGGGTAGTTTCGAATTCCTTCTCTTCCTTATAATGCAACCAAACACGACGCTTGTACGCCCTGAGGGACAATGTAGGAAGGAAATTTGACACAAGCACACTCTGCATTTCGACAAGACGGAAAGAGCACCTAGATGCTTTATTGTAGCTTGATTGATTGGATGCTCTACAGACCCATATGCTCATTAAAGTAGTATCTGTTGTACATGGAATGGATGCTATGATGCAACTATGTGTACACAGAAACCTCGCTGTATCGTACAAGACCTCTCGAGTGCGTCTCCCCCGACTAGATAATGGTGTTATATCAACCAATGATCCGACTTTTCTACCTCCTGCCGAGACCCCATCTATAGATTCTATCCTGGATCTCTTCCCAGCTCATCGATTTCGCGTTTGAGCCAATGTTTTGGGCCTCTTGCAGCACAACAGTGGGGTGGCCACTGCCGCCGCCGGGGTTCTGGACAAGACCACCAGTCACCTCACGGGCTACTCGTCGCAGATCTTCCACTGTGAGAGCCTCGATCTTGCGGCACATTTCATGCACGGGAACCTTTCGGCCGTGTACTTGAACTTGCCTACCAAGGTCCTCGAGCTCAACCATTCTGCTCTCCAGGTTCATCAAGAGACTGGATCGCAATTGGTTCTTTGCACGGCTGACCTCGACCTGTCCGAGTGCGGCAAAGCCAGTCTCGAGGGTCAAGGCGCGCAGCTCCTGGCACATGACGTCAAGCATGGCCTGGGTCCTGCCTGGAATGCACATTGCCGAGATACCAAACAGACCCGAGTCAGTGTAAGAGTGGTTGAACGCCACACACGACTCCACCCACGCATGCTGGTTCAGGACATTGGTGTACAGGCGAGAGTACATGCCCTTGCCAGGTCCTCCAGCTGAGAACGATCCACCACCACCAAGTAGCGTGTTCAGAGTCGCCAGAGCGTAGATATCATCAGAGGCGATTGGAAGACCTTCAAAAGCCAAGTGGATGTGCGTAAAGACTGGCTGCATGGGGTTGTAAGACGGGGGTTGAGAGGGGAGTGAAACGAAGCCGCCAGTGTACTGCGCGGGGGCAATTAATTGCTGCTGAGTGGGATATTGCTGGCTCGCGTCGAGCACAGATGCATTGTTTGATGCTGAAGTGGAGAGGTTCTTGAAAAGGGGTATCTTGGATAATATGCTGGATTGTTGCGACGAAGTAGAAGATGTGGAAGATACACTCGACGAGGACAAGCTGTCTGATGAAGCATCCGAGGTTTCTGATGATGTCGAGCCAAGAGACGTCTCGGAGCCTGTCCTAGAAAGTGCCGGCCGGTCAGATGCCTTCATGTCGCCAAAGAATTGCGTAGCTAGTTGCACTGCCTCGGCGTGAGGTACTCCAGCAAAAGCCACGACGGTCCGCTCTGGTCTGTAGAAGGCTTCCCGGTAAGCTTCGACGACGGACTTGTTGATTTCGGGTATCCTCTCGGCCGGACACAGAAGCGGGTTGCCCAGCGTGTTGTCCTTGAAGGCAGCCATGTGCACCAGTTCCGGGAGAATGAGTTCGGGCTTCTTCCAGATCTCTGTGATTTCGTACTCGGCAGTAGCCAACTCCTGCGCGACCTCTTCCTCGGTAATTTGAGGGTTCCGTATCGTCTCAGCGAGGAGCTCGGTTGCCGTCGGGACGGCCGAGTTGAAGGTGGCGGCCTGGTACATCATGGATTCTCTGCTCGAGACACATTGTATGTTTCCACCCAGAGACTCGACGGTCTCTTGTATTTGTTCGCCGCTGCGCTTGTCTGTCGAAGCAAAGGCCAGACGATCGACAATGTGACTGACACCACTGAGATATGGGTTCTCGAATCTTGAGCCGGCTTCTATGTAGACTCCAACACCAGAGAAGGAGCCAGGAAGGGCTTCGGATGCGACCCGAACGCCATTCGGCAGTGTGGTAATGTTGTCGAGATCAGTGGGTTCCTGGAGAAAGGGGTTAGATTGCACTTGTAGAGGTCCCGTTTGAAGCATTGATCGGAGCCGCTGGATCGCCGTGGTCACACATACCTTGGGTGATGGGATGTTGACGGACGCTAGACTCCGCGCCGATACCCGCGCAACCGAGGGTCTCAGTAAAGAGGGCTGAAATCTAGCCGAGGACGCGAGGTTCCTCGACAAGATTCTGGAGGAGCCCGCGCGAAACATGATGACTGCAGTTGTGAAATGTACTGCTGCTGCTGCTGCTCACGGCTGGCTGATGGACCTGCATTCGAGCCGAGCGGGAAGGCGTCTGGGGTCGGTTCGGCCATCGCGTTTAGTTTTCTTGCAAAAAGTTGTTATCGATTAGCACTTAACGGGGCTGGGCTGGGCTGAGTGAGCCAGCCGGCGCCGTCGGGGGACGCCCAGTGACGCATGACCTCATTGGCCGCCAATGCTCCAAACTTGCCCTTTTTCTTCCCTTGTCTCGCCTCTAGGCTAACTAGAATTCTGACAGACTCGTGATGCTTTTGCACGCACCCTCACATCTTGGCGATATTGCCAAGTCAAAAGCGAGGAGGCTCTTTTCCCATGCAGCATCTAAAGTGGAGGACATGTTATAACCGATCCGAGCACATAACATTGCCTGTATCTATTACACAGTCCCAACAAAAGGAAAAAGAACGCACGCAGCACATCCGGTCTTCGCTGATCGGCAATGAAAAAGTATGGGATCATACGGGCCTTTTTTTGAACGGGCCTATTAATAGTCATCTACAAATTTGTCCCTCATCTCCACCACTTATTACCACTTGTGTACCACCAACCAGCAATGATGCCCGCATCACCGTCTAAACATGAGCATAAAGTTTTCAATAAGTAATCATCAGTAAACCCGCAAAGCGAGGCGGTCTCGCAGTTTGTGGATTCCCCGAGTTGTTTCCCGAGAAGCCTTGGCCAAGAGGTCATCGGCCAAATGGGAAGTAGTTTATAGGTCCCGGAACGAAAACCGGACGCCCCGTCCCATTATCGTATTACTCACTCCTAATACTTGACCATGTCTCTCCCTTTTTCTTTTCCGAGTTTCATTTTCTGGATTTGACGTGTATTCTATCTTTTTCCTCGTCTTTTGTTGTATGATTATCGTATGTTGTCATACAAGTTCTGACTCCGAAATGCCTATAATCCGTGGACGACCTATTGTAAACGTGGGTCATATTGCGACTTCGGCACGCCCGTGTACCAGAGTAGCATTAACTCCTAATCGAGTTTCTGCCGGATTGCCGCGTTGTATCAGTGTTGATTTGACCAACAAAAGTAAGTCGTCTTCCTTTTATTGCATTCGCCTCAAGTTCCTCCTACTAACAGCATTCAAGCAAAGAAGGAACGAGTTGTCGTGCTGGGATCCGGATGGGCCGGATATGGATTTGCACGCGATCTGGACCCGAAAAAGTATGAGCGTGTGATGATCTCACCGCGGTCATATTTTGTCTTCACCCCTTTGCTTGCAGGCACGTCGGTCGGTACGCTGGAATTTCGTGCCACCATTGAGTCTACCAGGAGGCTGGAGCTGGACGACTTCCACCAGGGTTGGGCCGACGACATTGACTTTTCGAAAAAGGTCATTCGTGTCGAAGCAAACACATCTGGAGACTTGGCGTCCCGAACCCGTCTTCCTTCTGGCGACTCTTCTGCGATACAGAAGAAAAAGGGAGAGATATTCGAGGTTCCATATGACAAATTAGTCATCGCCGTTGGCTCGTATAGTCAGACGTTTGGCATTGAGGGTGTTCGTGAATATGCCAACTTCTTACGGGACGTGAGCGACGCCAGAAATATTCGGCTCAAGGTGTTGCAATGTTTCGAGAAGGCAGCCTTGCCAACGACGACGGATGAGGAGCGAAAGAAGCTGCTCCATTTTGCCGTCGTGGGTGGAGGGCCCACTGGTATCGAATTCGCCGCCGAGTTGCATGACTTGATCAACGAGGACTTGGTGAAACTCTATCCCGACATCATCAAGTTCAGTGCCATTACCGTCTACGATGTGGCCCCCAAGGTCCTGCCAATGTTTGATCAGACACTCGCCAATTATGCCATGGATCTTTTCCGACGCGAAGGCATTCAAGTGAAAACCAAGCATCACTTGACCAGAATTCGACCAGACACGGAGACCGAGGGTTGTCTTAAGCTCAAGATCCAGGAGTATGGCAATGAAGAGGTCGACGCCGGTATTGTTGTCTGGAGCACCGGTCTGATGCAGAACCCTCTGGTGCAAAAGCTGGCAGACAAGGTCTTTCCTCCCAACTCGGCAGTCACTGGGGTGGCAAAGGCGGCAACAGAGGTACAGATTCAAAAGGAACCAAAGAGCGGTAGCATCTTGACGGACAAACACCTTCGCGTCCGTGTCGTGTCGACTGAATCGAAAGACGGAAAATCAATCTCTGGCAAGAGCATCCTGCCCGACGTCTACGCCATTGGCGACTGTGCCGTCATCCATAATCAAGCGCTGCCGGCTACTGCGCAGGTCGCCAGCCAGAAGGCGACTTATCTTGCCAAGAGGCTCAACAAGGAAGATGTCTTTGCACCGGGCTTCAAGTTCCGAAACTGGGGTACAATGACCTACTTGGGTAACTGGAAGGCTATCCACCAGAGCGAAGCGGATGATCTCAAGGGCTGGGCGGCCTGGGTGCTCTGGCGTACGGCATACTTGACCAAGAGCATGAGTATCCGAAACAAGATCATGGTGCCCGTTTACTGGTGCATGTCGTGGCTTTTCGGACGGGACATCTCAAGGTTCTAGCATGTAGGCGAAGCGCAAGTCGCCAACATGCACATTGTAAGATATAGATTGTCGTTTCTGCTGGCATAGCGTTATAGATGATATCCGGAGTTGGAGGATTATAGAGCGGCTGGCAAGCGGCCAACCAGGGCATCTGGTTCAAAATCCGAGTACGAATAGAGTCGATAGAAAGAACCAATTAACATACCCAAATAGCGAAAGGCAGGAAAGTGCGTCAGCCGATGCTCTTGTTCATGTTCAACATCTGTACAACTTGACCATGACGGTTCTTATTTCGAAACAAGAGTCAATCTAACCTGCGTACATCATCATATCTCCTAATCCCGTACCGTCGCCGATAGCGAAAGCACAATGCAACTGCAACGATGTGCCTGCAGACAACAGAGATACCATGGCCATCTGCCGGTAGTTGACTTGGCAGCCGCCGGAGAAATCGGACGCCACCAACGGCCGAGCCCTTCTCCATTTGTGTAGGTGGCAGCCGAGACAAGACTTTGAGCCTCATCATGGTCGTACAAGGCACACGACCACCCATACAAGCCATACCCCAACATTAGGGGACAGCAGGAAAAGAAAGCATGACGACTAGAGTAATATATTCCAGGTTTAACACAGGGGTCTTATTTCCGTTTGTCGCCGTCGCTAAACCTGCACTGAGGGGGCTGCCAAGAGGCCGATCGTGCTTGGCAGTCACAGATTCCACCCCCTGTGACTGGGGTTTCGCTGCCTCTATACCACATCCAGAGGCGGGAAGCGACGACAAGACTTGACAAGCTCATAATTTCTCCGCCGCTCAGCGTCGAGAACCGACAACGTGGTTCAGTACAAGGTGTAACCAGAGAGTCATTTTCTCTCTTTCTTCATTTGCAATGTTACCCCCATGGTCCCCATCTACCATGTAGGATAATGGAGTATATGGGGGTCAACTCGCAATAAAACACGCAAAATCCTTCCAGGATCGTATCCTCATGGCTATCACGCCGCATAGAGTCGACGGCTGACTGGCTCCGCGGGTATACGTCAGGTAAGGATTTACAACACTTTGAGAAAAACATACGAGTTTATCACAATTTGACGCTCATGCCAAGAGAAAAGAGGTTGCCTTTCAAGGATGGGATATCTGCAGGATACAATTTCAAAGACTTATTACTCCAGTTCGACGATACAACTGACGTATATGTGATTGATCATATTGTGCTGCCACTTCCACCATAGCCCTCTGCGTTGTTGTAAGAGATAGATCCCCTTTCTCCCTATTGTAGAAATGAGCCAGGGTTTAAATGTGCTTTTTCCTGGTCTGGGTGACCAATAACGACCCTTGACCAGGACTCCAGAAAATTTGTAAAATACTCCAAACCAAGGCTGTACCCCAGATTTGGGGACCTTGGACTCGTCAGCGATCTCGTCTTCATTGGTTCACTGCTTCCGTGACCGTGTCTCAAGGCGGCAATAGATCCCCATAAACATTCCTGCCAAGAGCAAACAAGATTGTTCTCATTGATGGCTTTTTTGTCATCTTGTTCTTTTTGAGAAGCATCTAGAGTAGTGTCAGGGGACTATACACAACTAACCATCACTCAGATCTCAAAAAAGCCTTATCGAATATCATGCCTGGTCTCGCGGAGACCGGGATGATACCCTCGCCATACACGTGGGCAGCCAATGTTGTTGAGTCGACACCGACTACCGACTGTTGAAGGTGGTTGAATAGTTTCCATAGGGCTCAGATTTGTATAAAAGATGCCGTCTCATCCGACCAGAATCATGACCATTCTTCAAGCTCTCTATCCATTCCTTCATAAAGTCTTCAGATTCTCTATCCTGATATCTTGTTCACTCAGTACAAGCAGTGCTTGGATCTTCCTTCTTTCCCTAGTTTCTCAAGCAGACTTATAGACCACTTTTTTTCACCATCTCTTCGCAAAAATGCAGTACGCACTCGTCGCCGCCGCTCTCGCTCTCGGAGTCACAGCCGCGCCTGGCCCGGTCATCACTCCGGCCCCCAAGGCTCTAAAAGCCCGTGACTCCCTCCCAGCATCTTCGGGCTCTTCCACATTCTCATCGGCCAAGACAATTGCTGCTGGTGACTCCTTTGATGGTGGCATGTACGCCATTGACCGTGGTGTCTCTTGCACCGGGCAGGAGGAGGGTGGTGACTCTGACGCCGTCTTCATCCTCGAGGAGGGCGCTTCTCTGAGCAATGTCATTATTGGACCCAACCAGATCGAGGGTGTTCACGTAAGTCATACATAACCCGCTTCCTCTACTGAAATCCTCGCTATACGCCATATTTCTTCTTCACCATGCTCCTACTGATGATCCATTACTTCCAGTGTCAAGGTGGCTGCACTCTCAGCAACGTTTGGTGGTCGGCCGTCTGCGAGGACGCCTTTACTGTCAAGGTCCAGGACAGCGGCGACACCACCTACATCAAGGGCGGCGGTGCCTTTGGCGCCGAGGACAAGGTGATTCAGCACAATGGTGGTGGTACCATTTCCATTTCCGATTTCACCGTCTCGGAATTTGGCAAGCTCTACCGTAGCTGTGGCAACTGTAAGTTTTTCTTCTTCTTTTTCTTCTTTCTTGGTGGCAACTTTCCACGTAAATATAACCATCATCCTAATGATCGAAACAAGGCGACGACATGTATGAGCGCCACGTCATCATCAGCGGCGTTACCGCCTCTGACGGCTCGTCCCTCGCCGGTATCAATGAGAACTACGGTGACTCGGCCACCTTCTCCGATGTTACGGTTTCCGACGTTGACGATATTTGCGTCACCTATGAGGGCAATGACACGGGCGATGAGCCTACCAAGACTGGCTCTGGCGCTGATGGCACCTACTGCATCTACGACGAGAGTGACATTACCGAGTCCTAAATTATGGATGATATTGATTGGGGGGTGGGTAATCAAGTGGTGTGCAGGAAGGGTTGAAGACCGTGGCCGCTAGATCGTGCCAATTATTGTGTACTTCATTTCTTGTCAGATAAATTTCACTATTGCGTTTTTCAAGTATATATCGCTTGCAAATATTCCCATGGCCAATGTCAAGTATCCGCCCAACACCGTCCAGTGACTCCCTCACTATTCCAAGCCTATTCGTTGACCTCAGAGTCCGAAAGCGGATATACCTGCAAAATCATGAAGACAAGTACCATGGGCACCGAGAAAATCGCAATGTGTTATCTCTCAAGTCGGTTTGTTCTTGATATCTGTTTCGGGTTGACACGCTTGCCACCTTGTCATTCAACCAGAATTCTCAATTGCATCAATCTGGCAGAGGAAAATGACTGATAAAACCAAAAACCCAAAACAGAGAGGGAAAAAAAAAAAAAAAAAAAAAAAAAAACCCTAGTCTCGGGCACAAGACAAGCGATAGCTTGTGTAATTCTAGTCATTTCTGAGCTCATAAGTCAACGTTCGTGCCTGTTATCCAGCAAGGTCACCTCATAGTTACAGGAGCTGAGAAATTCTGGTAATGAGATTTGCAAAACTTTCGACGAATAATATGAGCCACAGTGAATGTTAGCAAACTACCGAAATAGTGAGACAGTTAATAAGAAAAAGCGAACGACGGCGGAAGCATGGCCTATTGTCGTGGCCGATTTGAATTGTCAGCCCATGCTAGCCAAGGAGGACATTTATGTTCAATTATCCTCGTACCAATAACTCGTAGATTCTTATTCACCAATGATCGCAATCTTGGATTAGCCAGTGAGAGCTAATCATCAATCTAAATAAGTGGCATATAAGTCTTGGCAAGAAAGGCGACTAGTCCTTGAGAAGAGAGTAGCTCGGACTTGATGATTTATTTGATTGCAGTTAGGCGACTGGGAAGAGAGCAATTGGTTTGCCCATGATACTTCAATAGATGATTAGTCTGGGATTGTTCGGTAGCAGGGGCGAAAACAACAGGAGTGATCTGAACTTGGGTTCTGAGGCTGGAGTCAGCAGTCAAAAAATCTTTTGTGCTGTTCAAGTCGCTGAATGCGGAGGACTAGGTTGCATGCTGTCTCAGTACTGGACTGGATCTCACTCGACAAGAAATGATGTGACAGCGGAGCCTTGGAGTTTCAATTGCGGTGGCATTGCGCTATCTCCATTTGCTGAGGGAACAAAAATGAACCTGTGATACATTCTGCCTGTTTCTTTCGGAAGGCAAGTGGTATCTCTGCTCGTATAGCGTTGTGTCGTTTGGAGTGTCCTTGGCGTTGCAAACTTTTTTTCCCCTATCCTCACAACTCCAGACAAAAGACCAATTCATGTTGTCATTCGTAGATGTATTTCATTTTTCTAGCACGAAATACATGCCAGGCTCGTGACCGTCCTTGACCAGAGCAAATCCATTCCCATGCATAATGCAATGTTTGCCGAAAATCGAGAAGCCGTACACCCCAAAAGTCGCCGCAGTTCACAATTGATCGTTCCCTTAGATCTCGGTGGTAACCTTTGCCTTGGGGTTGGTAACCTTGACACCCAGTTGCTTTGCGCGAGAGATGATATCGACACGCTTTCTCGACGAAACGTTGTGGGCGATCCTGTAATTCTTGTCAGCTTTGCCTCCCGCCATGATCCGTCCCAGCCAGCGGTGACCGTGGTCGACGTCAGACCAGCCAGATTCGATCGGGTCAAACATACTCTGCGGCGTAGGTGCGGTTGTGCATAAGCAGCAACTCAACGTCCTTGGTGTTGCTGACGAGGAAAGCCTTGTGGCCGGAAGGCATCATGTGGCGAGTCTTCTTGTTGGAACCGAAACCGATCTAATCAAAATTGTCCCAACATCAGCTTTCATGTTCGTTCCTGCCGTGAGAGATCTCTTGTTCGTCTCTCCATCGTCTCCTCCGTCAATCGGGTGGTAAAACGTACCGAGGGCATGACCTGGTTACCCTTGAAACGTCTGCGGACACGGTTGTCGATACCCTTGGGCTTGCGCCATGATGGGTCAACGCGCATGAAGCGGTCGCTCTGGTGGCGACGGAAGCTCTTGGTGCCTATTTGCGAAATATCATGTCAACATTGGAGGTTCCTCATTGCGTTTTCGTTTCACTCCTCGGCTCGATCGTGACATCGTTTTGCGGTGGAGATCGTGGATTCGGGTTGGACGTACGCTTCTTGACGATGGGAACGTGCTTCTTTGCGGAAACCATCTTGAATCGAATGTCAGCTGGAAAATGAACTCGAGATAATTGTCGGAATGGCGAGCAGAATCCTGTCTGCCGGGCAGCAAACGCACCTTGACTGATTTTATCCTTACCGTGTCGGGATGGTCGATGGGTTGTCGATTGAGGTCGGATCGGGTCGCTTCCAAGGGCAAATTTCCTTTGCTCTCCTGCAAGTCGCTAAATTTTTGGTGGATTGGTCGATTTGCTTAGGGTTCTGTGCGTCACGTGAGAGAAAATTTCCAAAGCAGGTGCTTTTTGGCTGGAGGAAAGCCGCAGCTTAGCGCACTTCTGAGGTGGGGCTATGTGGTTGGGTGGGGGGCGGGACTTGGAACCTCTGAACCTTTTTATGACTGATGATTGATGCATTTGATTGGGAGAAAGGCCAGTCGCCAGGGGTCTGATATGGAGCATACCACTTTGTATATGGACCTATTGTGTGTACTCTATGTACAGAGTATGTTGGCCATCATACAGGATGAACCGTAGCCCAATAACGACCATATTCAGATTGACCGCAGGTACGGTGGCAGAGGATTGATCTAGGGCCTGGCTCCGATGTCTCCGAACTTGAGTCCCTTGATGGCATGAATTCAATCTCCTTTCATAAAATAAAATCAAAATTACTTGGTTCAGTGTGAATGCCTCAGGATCTTGGTATCATTGTCACACATACTCTTCTTATTTGTTTGTCGTCTATCATGAAAATGCCCGACATGAAGACTTTGCACATCATGAACCAATGAACCAGAATTGCACTGTTATTTTTTTCTTTTATTGGTGCTGGAAGTATAGCACCAACAACTCCTCTTTACAACCAAGCAGCCGAAGAGCCCGAGGGAATCGTCAAACGTGTGGACGGCCCCCCGAGAACTCATGCCGACTTGCTTGGGCGATTCTCATAAGACCCAAATCGCAGAGATGTAACCAGTATCTCTCAACCAGTCTATAAGCAGTGCTCCCCGCCAACCTGAACCTGATACATCGCTTGTCTATACTTTTGAGTCAATGGTGTTCATGTCTCATAACTCATTACTGCTGTGCACACTGGGCACCGCCCGCCTCATCATCATCGTCAGCCCACTCATTCTGGTATCGAGGGTCTCCCGACTGGGCTCCCATCTATTTCATCAGTCAGCATATACGAACATGCCCGAAACGTTTCTCTTAACAAACTTACCTCTTCAATGTCAGCATCCTCGTCGTACTCCACCTCGTCAACTTCCTCAGCCTTGATGGGCTCAGCGGGGGGAGGCAACAGCTTGCAAAGAGCCTCGTATTGGCTGTCATCATCCTGCAACCATCCATCCTCGGGGAACTGGATCTTGACCAACAGGTAGAGATCGCCCTTGCCGTCTCCACGCTTGTGAGGCATACCTTCACCCTCGACCTTCAACACTTGGCCGGGTTGCAAGATCTTGCCCCGTGGGTGGGTAATCTTGATGCCGCGGCCGTCAAGGTGAGTCAAGACGACGCGCGAGAATCCAGTAAGAGCCTCTGCAAGAGTGATATCGAGATCTGCCGACAAATCGGCGCCGATTCTGTTGAATACGTCATGCGGCTCCTCCTCCAGGATGAAAACCAGGTCTCCAGGTCGCATATCCGGATGCTGATCAGCCTCGCCCTCGAGGACAATACGCTCGCCTTGCATGGAACCGCGCGGAATGTAAATCTCGAGCGGCTTCCTCTCCTTGACTGTGCGCTTGCCCTTGCACTTCTTGCATCGGTCCTTCTCCTTGATGGAATTGCCAGAACCCTCACATCTGTCGCAAATGGCAGCCTCCCGGGCTACCATACCAGGACCAACCTGTCTGAAGGCCTCAACCTTGCCGCGGCCCTTGCACCGCTGGCAGGTCTCGGGCTTGACCTTCTCCTTGGCGCCAGAGCCCTTGCAGGTACCGCAGACGATCTGCTTGTCTGCGGCGAACTTGACAGTCTTGCCCTTGTAGAGATCTTCCAGCGAGATGCTGTAGGCATTCTCATCGTCAGGGCCCTTCATAGGACCTCGGGGCCTGCCACCGCCAGGGCCTCCACCCATACCCATGCCGAACATTTGTGCCAGGATGTCGTTGATATCGACCTCGGGTCCCATGCCGCCGCCTCTGCTGGGGTCAAAAGCGGCCATGCCGTGGCGGTCGTACATCTCTCGCTTGTCTTCATCGCGAAGAATCTCATATGCTTGTGTGACGGCCTTGAACTTGGCTTCTGACTCTTCGCGCTGGTCCTCCGGGACCTTGTCGGGGTGGTGCTTCAGGGCAAGCTTTGGAGTTGTGAGTTAGTGGATATGCGCACAATTTCCCAGATGATGGTTACGTACCTTCCGGTAGGCCTTCTTGATCTGGTCCGGGGTTGCGCTTCTCTCGATGCCAAGCAACTCTGCAATGTGGTTGTGTCAGTCGGCGATTGCGGTACAACCAAACGATAGATGATAGGGCCTATCGATAAGTGCAGAACTCACCGTAGAGATCGAGGTCATCTTGACCTGCAGAAGGTCCGGGGCTGTCCATTTCGGCGGTACCTAAATGGGTTGGGCAGTGTCGCCAAATGCAAAGAAAAGCACAAATCTAAAACAGATGCAGTCTTTGTGTCGACGTTGTTGGTCGGAAGGTAAAGAGCGGGTTCGAAAAGCTCGATCCGCGCTGCAAGAATAGGATTATTATCTGTAGGCGGTTGGTCGGGCCTTTCAGAGAAAATATTTAGCGGGGCAGAAGTTGCACCAGCGACTGACTGACGTTTGCCGTTGGCAACCTACAACTTATTATTAGTGCGTGCCAGTGGGTGCTTGTACCTCAAGGCTGTCAGACCTACTGTCAAGCTTGTACCTACCGGCGGGCGCGGGCGGACGTTATAAACACACTTGAGAACATGGATTCACTCCAAGCTAGAAGTGATGCGAATCGCCGACAATGCAGCCCTTTCAAAAAATCAGAATCTCCCGGAACCACCCAGAACCGTATACAATTCTTTTTCCTTGTTACAAAACAATCTAATCCAGCCCACTTGTACGAAGTACTTGGATAGCTCTTACGTGAAGACGTCAATCGGCATTGCCAAACAAACGCAGCATTCATCAATCAAAAGTTGTCACCTGTAGAAAACATGGCTGCAAAACTGGCACTGAATCAATGCCGGCCTACCTCATGGAGATACATTATAAATTGTAGCTCAGGTATGTAGGTGACATCCGGACAGTCGCGAGTCGCGACACCCAGTATAAAAATTAGTGGGGTTATGGCACTCGGTCTGCGCCGTCATTGGGTGGCCCAGTAGCCAGTCGTTTTCTATCATGTTTCAACGCGATTATGGCAATTCCTTCCCTTAAGTGGTAAATCGTTCTACCCGAGTTTGTAACGAAGGCGTCCTCCTCTCCCTAGGTGACAAAAGTGCAACAAACACAAACAGCATTGAGATATGTTTTCATTTATATGAAATAGAAGAGGCCATGAGAGGACTCTTCCAGCTGCCCGGGCCTTTGCGCCGTGAGCTTTGGGCTCATCCAGCAAAAGTCTTCAAAAGGCAATATGCCTTCAAAGGCCGGCCTGAGCATATAGGAAAGCCAAAAGACGACACCAAAGACACCCTGCTACCTACAACACCAGCTCGGACGCGATTTGCTCCTTCACCAACGGGATATTTGCATCTAGGCTCTCTCAGGACGGCCTTGTACAATTACCTTTTGGCAAAAGCCACTGGGGGTCAGTTTCTTCTCAGGCTTGAAGACACAGATCAGGTATGTGTACCTTGGAAGGAAGCCTGTGGCATGGAGCAACCATTCAACTGAATCTCAAAGTCACGACTCGTTCGGGATGCTGAACCGAGGCTATACGAAGACCTCAAATGGGCTGGGCTGAATTGGGATGAAGGTACGTCGAGCCATCATAGTCCAAAGGGGGACAGGAGAGATTGACTCTGTACAGGTCCAGATGTCGGGGGTGCATTCGGTTCATATAAACAGGTAATGATTCCTCAATCATCAATTCACATCTCAGGTCTCAGAGTGCTTATATTTGATAGTCCGAGAGACTGCATATTTACCACCAGCATGCGAATGATCTCCTCTCCTCGGGGCAAGCATACCGCTGCTTCTGTACACCCGGGGAACTCGATGCATTGAGACAGTACAACATGGAAAACTCTCCTGAAAGTAGTGGACATGGTAACTATAACGGAAAATGCAACCATGTCTCGGCATCAGAGTCTGATCGCCGCGCTGCCAACGGCGAACCATATTGCATCCGGTTCAAGAGCACCGGCAAACCCGAGGTGCGAGACCTCGTGTATGGTCGTTACAGCAGACCAGAAAAGGAAGACGACTTCATCATTATCAAGCGGGACGGGTTTCCTACATACCACTTTGCAAACGTCGTTGATGACCACGCCATGGGCGTCACGCATGTAGTCAGAGGCGCTGTAAGTGAATTCACCAAA